ATTTCTTTCTCTGCTCTGATTGGTTGTTTTCATTCGGGACCCGGTGGATTCTTACAAACATCATTAGGAGCTCAAAAAACGAGCCAAAGGAACCTGATTTCTTCACACACTGTCTGTCTCAGGTTCTACTGTCAGGATACAGTGAACGTTTATAAAAGTTACCTGCCGCAGCTTTAATTTGATACAGACTCAAACTGTCTTTTCTGTTTGGGTTTTTCCTGCAGTGAAAGGAGCTCAGGAGGCTTTGACAGACATGCCCCCCAGATCAGAGGAGGTAACTATCACCACCCATCCACTCCCACTGTACTCTGTGTGTGTGTGTGTGTGTGTGTGTGTGTGTGTGTGTGTGTGTGTGTGTGTGTGTGTGTGTGTGTGCAGCTGGGCTCTCCGCACCCCTCGGCTATGTGTGATTATTCTGTTGTAATCTGCATTAACGCTGCCCGGACCTGCCCCTGCGAGCAGCCTGGAGATAACTGAGATTAATAGCATGTTCCAGTATTAGGTGTGAAGGCTTACACGGAGGTAATGGTGATAGTTTCATCGTCTTTTAACCGCTTCATTAAAATTAATGTACAGATGGAGGACACAGTCCTCGGCCCAGTCTGCACCAGCCACCGTATACAGGGACTGAGAGGAGTGTACGACTAGTGCCCCCTACTGGAATTTAATACTAGTGCATCCTGTCGGTGTCCAGATGGAAACACAAATGCCCATATGCAATAGTAATGATTTTTGTGTGTGTTATAAACCTCCTGAAGCTGTCAGCCTGTGTCTAAACTGTCTGTTTCACAAAGTTTAAGAGTCATCCACTAAAAAATCTCAAATTTATGAGGTAAACTGAGAGATTTTGATGCATTCAGAGCACATTATTTCCTGTGAATATTGATCAGAGATGAGTTTTCCTGATATTTTTAAGAAGTTTTTTATACAATTCTATGTCTGTATTATGTATTTTTGATTGAACAATCATACAGACTTAGTAAGCTTCTTTTTTGACGACCCCGAGATATTTATTATAATATTATTGGATATTTAATGAACAACCATTAATCCAAATACTGAACTCAATAACTGAAGGGAAGTTTGTGTAAAACAAATTAATTTGGAGCTGATTATTTCCTGTTTAGGGAACTTTTATTCAATACTCTGTCTGGATTATGTTTTTTTGATCATCTTTGACAAACTTTCAGTCTTAAAATTCTTCTTTTTGTATAGATTCAATGTTTTCTTGTCCCTGATACTTGGCCATTGTTCTATTACAGTATAATACATTTACATCCTCAGAGAAGTGAACCAGAGGCTGAGACAGAGGCCTACTGCGTGTATTCTTCAATAATTCGTCTAATACTGTTTGTGTGTTTGTGTGTTTTGGCAGGAGCTGGACCCGGTGACACTCCACAACCAGGCTCTGGTGAACATGGACACGAAGCCGTCGGAGGGTTTCGAGAAGCTGGCGTTCCTGCTGCAGCAGCCGTCCTTCCCCCCCGTCACCTTCGGAAACCTGCTGCTGCTCTACTGCAAACACGAGGTACGCAACAGACCGGCCTCGAAGGTTACAGCCTGTCCTGAACCTGGAGGGGGTCCCACACTGGATCAACTGTGGCTTTAAGTATCGTCGAGCAAGGAATCCTAATCTGCTCACTGACTGCTGCAGAGTGATCAAGGTTGTAGGAGGAGGTTAACAAACTGTAAAGGATTGTACCCTGAAATACAACTATAAAGGTTATAATCTTAAACAATTCCACAAAATTTAGCTTTTAGTAGACGTTGTTTCATCCATCGTCCTGGAGAACCTAGACATTTAGAGACTAGTTTTCCTGCCATGGGAACACCTGGAATTTGATTAAAATTACCCAAAATCCTGGAAATAATTTATGTTTTCCTGGAAAGATAAATTCTGCTTGACTTGAACTGTTAGCTCCGGGCTGTGGTTGTAATCTTGTGGTGAGAGGAAAACTGTAGTCAATTCACCAGAGACCACAGTGGAGCAATCTGCTGTGGTGAGAACAGCCAAGCTCGCCGGCAGACCACCTACCTGTAATGAACCTGAGACAGTTCATGAACCCTGTATCTTTAAAAAAAGAAGTGAATACTTGGCCTACTGGTAAATTATATGAGAAATGTGCTGGAAAAAGATTTCTTAAACAAAATGGGAACCCTGTTCGAAACCTAACGTACTGAGCTTCAACAATAAACAAAGAGAAATCCAGAAGCTTCTGCGGCATGAAAATCACTTTCACTCGTTTGTGTTGCTTTGGACAAAACAACGGCTTAATGAATAAATGTAAATGATTCACTTCTGAGGGTCGATGGGGAGCTGTAGTCGACCCTGGCCAGCCAAGCCTCTTTCACAATTTGACAATTCGTTTCATCCGATTTAAAATGCAGGAAATGGTGGATTCAGAGTTAGCAGGTAATGCCGGCCGGGCTTAATTACACAGAACTTTCCCATCCAGCCTGCAGCGGTTGGACAAAAGTGCAGGTTTTTATTCCAAAGTTTGTGTCGTAGCCAATTTCACACCACGTTTAGAGACTGAAGAATATCCACATTCACACAAAATACCTTCATCTCTCAAAGGGACGATTACTGACTACAGTCAAAGCCAAACATCTCTGCTTTCACTGAGTCCAGCAGCCTGTTGCAGCAGCTGTGTGCAAACTTAACATAATCATAATGTAAATAAGTACTAAGTTGTGATTTATGCATTACCAAAAGTGTGTTTCAGACTTTAATACCGCGGCCCCAACCCTGATCACTACTGCACAGACTCTGTATAGCTGGTGCAACTCGGTGCAGAGATCAATAACATCAAAAATACATCTACAGTTCTACAGCAAAAGAAATCCCCTGTTTGAAGAGAGTGACTCACTATGAACAGCAGCAGTGATTTATTGATTCATTTCAGTCGTATTTTTAAACCAATTACATGAACCGATGGCTCGCTGTAATAACCTTGTTAACAGCAGGGTTGTTATACTGAACGATACGATGTCGTTGTTATACACAGAACAAACACTGCATCAGCACTTTCCACCATACGGTACGACGGTGAGGGTGCACGCCACAAATCCCTCTGTGTTTTCAGAGGGATTTGGAGACGTGTGGCGTGAGACTCAGTGGAAAGAGCTAAAAACACACAGAGAGGTGCAGCTCTTTCATTAAAATGGTATTAATGTCACTGCTGGATCCCCTCTCTCTCTCTCTCTCTCTCTCTCTCTCTCTCTCTCTCTCTCTCTCTCTCTCTCTCTCTCTCAGTACTTCGACCTCGCAGCCGACGTCATGGCAGAGAACACACACCTCACCTATAAATTCCTCTCCCCGGTAAGCTTCTGCACCAACACGTGTGTGTTGAATGTTTTATTAAAGATCACATTCACGCTGCATGAACTCCGTCTGTTCGCCTGCACAAACATGTTTAATAATCATGAAAAGGTTTCCTATGTCAGGATCCATATTCAAAGCTGTGTGTTTGTCCTTTCCAGTATATGTTCGACTTTCTCGATGCGTTGATCACCTGTCAGACCGCTCCAGAGGAGGTACTGTAAGAATAACACAACATTTGGTGTTTATTTATAATTAAAGCCACACTGAGGCAATAGTTTTTGGTTAATAATGGATTACATGTACTCACAGAGGATTATAAGCAGCCAGTCTTTCAGCTTTTAGTAGTGTGTGTTTTTCTACACATTGACTGTATAATTCAGCCTCAGCAGCTGTTTTCAGCATGCAACCATAAATCTTGTGTAAACAGGCAGCTGTTCTCTCACAAACTCACCATAATATCTTCATACAGTGATAATATGTCACTGTTGTGTTTACAGCGTCTTCAAATATTTGGTGCATCTACTGAATGAGTTGATGTCCACTGGTCCCAGTAATTCATTATAACAAACAGCTCAGTTGTAACTTTAATAAATCCTTAATTCACTGACGTAGATGATAAAAACAGCAGTTTCAGTCGGAGCAGACCGGCTATGGAAACAAACCACAGAGAGGCTGCGATACAACACAGGCAGAGGGAGAGAGACACCATGTGATACTTTAATGGTTTATGGATATATTAATGTTTTAAATATGAAATTAAATCTAATTGTATAGTTTTTAAGTTCATCAGTCACATCTAACCACCTGTGTTTGCTTGTCTGTTTTTTCCTCCATGAATAAAATCATGTTCTCACCTGCTGTCGGATTTATTTCACAGGCTTTTAGGAAGTTTGACGAGATGAACGGCAAACTGACAGAGCAGTTACGCAAGCTGGCCAAGCAGGTTGTTGACCTTGTTGACCTCTTATTTATTATGTATTGTACTGTATGTATTTTATGATGTTATACTTCATTTTGATATATTATATATTAGACATATGTCATGCCTGCTGATGTAACTTAATCTGTCAGTTGATCTGGATACCTCAAACACTGACCTGCCTCCTGTGTTACAGTCTCATGAGTGTTTCTGAATATGTTTTACGCTGAAATAAACAGGAGATTTTGTTGTGAAGAGTTTTGGCTGAAGGTTGCTTTTCTGTTAAGGTTCAGGAGGCTCGGCTGGCTCGAGACGATGAAGTGCAGAAGAAAGCTCTGCAGGACTACGACCAGATGCAGGAGAAGTGAGGACACACACACACACACACACACATACATATACACACAGTGAGGTGTGTGAAGTAAAGCATTTGTGAGGAAGCTGCTCGCTGATATCTATAATAGCAATATTTCATATTTTTACATGTACATTGTTATATACTGAAAAAAATGCACAGCCCACTTGTACATTATACAATATACATTTAAAGGTTATATATATATTATTGGCTGCCACTAGGTGTCGCACTAGAGCACCAGCGTGTCAGACCTGCGACAGCCGACCAGACAGCATCGACAAAACCAGTAATTTTACCTCACAGAAAAATCCAATCAGCTGTTCCTTTGCCGAAGGTCCTTCTGTCCACAGCTATAACACATGTTTATGATATCCAGTTTCTCTATTACAAACTGTTTCTCCAGCGTTTATTAAAACACCCCCCAGCTCTCTCCTCTGCAGAGCTCCACCTGATTACTTCTCTCTCCGTCCTTCCTGTGTGATTGGTGTGACAGGTACATCGTGGTCCTGATGGCCCAGGCCAAGATCTACTGGAACCGGGAGAACTTCCAGATGGTGGAGAAGATCTTCCGCAAGTCGGTGGAGGTCTGCAACGAGGACGACACCTGGAAGCTGAACGTCGCCCACGTGCTCTTCATGCAGAACAAGTACAAGGAGGCCATCGGCTTCTACGAGCCCATCGTCAAGAAGCACTATGACAACGTGAGTGTGTCGGGATGGAGGGTCACACATGTGGCTGAAATACAGTGCTGTTACTCGGCCCCCGCTGACAGAGTGAGGTCAGGACTAAACCTTGTTAGTTTGCCTTTCTGTCCAGGTGGAGCAGTGTAACATTCAGGAGTGTCCGTGCAAGTGCAAACCCTCGGTAAAAAGAGACCCAACGAACTCTGTGCTGATGCCTCTGCAGTGTTTTCACATCTGTGCATGACATCTGTCCCGATGATTTTCTGTTCTCGTGTGGGTTTTTTTATTTTGTTTGCAGTGGTGTTAATGCCATCCTGATAAACCTGACTGAACATAATGGTCTCTGGAGGGTTAACGTCCCTCACTGAAAAGGCACAAGAAATTAGAAAGTGACTTTTCTCATCCTACCTCAGTGTTTCCAAGCCTTTTTCTATAAGGGACCTCGTTCCTGTGATTTGGATTAATTTTGAGCAGATTATTTTATGTTTAGGGAACTTTTGATACTTACTTTTTAAAAGTTTTCTAGCACACCTTAAACCCCCAATGAGACTTTGGCGAACCACAGGTGGGGAACCGCTGTCCTTGAATAGTCTGGTTCCCCACCTGGAGGTCGGGACCCTCACTAGGGGTCACCAAAACATCACAGGGGACCTTAACACAAGCTATATTCACTCTTTGCTAAAACACTGAAGTAAAAATACTACTAAAAATATCTGGAAATCTCATCTGTGATACAATATTTACACAAAATAATCTGCTCATATTCATCCAAATCTCTTGTTTTACACAAACTTCCTGCAGTTACTGAGTTCACTGTTTGAGTTCATTGTACAGTTTTGAATATAATATGAAATATACATAAAATATGTCACTTAGCCAGTTTACTCAATGATAGAAAAGTGGTTCCTTAAGGTTGGAAACCAGCGATCTAATATATCCTCTTAAATTCAGCTTAAACATTAATAAAATACAATTTCTTGTTGCTTGTTTCCATTGTGTCGACTATCCTCCCAAATCTTAACAGTTGCTTTTATTTACTAATGTGAATCATTTTCATTATTTTCTAATCTGGTTTTTTAACAACGTGCATGACCCTGAGTTACTTCAACAAAGGTCTGAGTGCTGGTTGGGAATATTTTATAAACCGATCGATAACGTTTAACAAAGTGATGAATGTGTGTGTGTGTGTGTGTGTGTGTGTGTGTGTGTGTGTGTGTGTGTGTGTGTGTGTGTGTCCACTGTAGATCCTGAATGTGAGCGCTGTGGTCCTCGCCAATCTGTGTGTGTCCTACATCATGACCAGCCAGAATGAAGAGGTACTGTACAGAGAGGTTAACACGGCAACATCAACACTGAAAGGAGTCATTCTGCCTAATGAGCACTTTTACACACCGGTGCAAAGTACTTTTATTCAAATTCACAAATTAGAGCTACTTATTAAATATTAACTAAAGGTTATTTTTATAAAAGTTACCTGCTGCAGCTTTAAAGTATCATCAACTTAAAGGTTCCTGTGGAGCGATGTTTGTAGGGGTACGATGTAAGCGATGCAGGATTTCAGAGATTCATAAAATCTGCTTTTTAAGTGTTTTGTTATGAATTCACTCAACACATTTGTTAGGATAGTTTAGGAAACACACACAGTGCATTATGGTGGGAAAACACTGAACGTAAGCATAACTTCAGTTTGTTAGCAGAAGTTTTAGCAATTATGACTCCTGCAACTTTAAGTAAATAAAAGTGGTCGACCAATAAGGGTTTGATCGATGCTGATATTCAGGCGTATGTTTACAGCAGGATAAAGTGATAAATAATACAATACTCCTTTGCCTGTACATATTTGTATATTAATAACTTTTATAGGGTTAATAATGAACTTCCTTCTGACTCTGATGTGGTCTAACAGGCTGAAGAGCTGATGAGGAAGATCGAGAAAGAGGAGGAGCAGATCTCCTACGACGACCCCGATAAGAAGGTCTTCCACCTCTGCATCGTCAACCTGGTCATCGGGTGAGTTCCAGCTGCGTTCACTGACAGCCAATCACAGAGCTGGGATTACTTTTTGGTCCCCATATGTACGAACACTGACACATTTCAGTTGCTTTAATTCAAAGTGAAATGACAGGTTGGACACATATAAGGAGACTTTGATATCTGATGCTGATTAATGAAGTGATTTTAAAACACAAAACAGACATTGATAAAGGTTTTTATGTATGAAACTAACACTGGATGTCGCTCTAGAGCATCTCAGATCAAAACAATGGGACAGAAATTAAAAGTACCTGATGATAAAGTGTCACTGTTGTGTTTTTCTTTCAGGACGCTGTACTGTGCGAAGGGGAACTACGACTTTGGCATCTCTCGTGTCATCAAGAGCCTGGAGCCTTACAACAAGAAGGTCAGTGATTTATTCTCTCCAGGCTTTCTTCATAACGTATAAACAGCACACTGTGATTTACAGGGAGGATTAATACTGTCGCACAACGCGCTGCAGAGACAGAAAACAGTGACAGTGTCCAAAGTTTGGGATCATTTCAAGCAGAAATTAGTTTTAAACCGAACTAATGAAAACATACTTATTAATATAATGTTACATTCCTGACTATAGGTAAATGTTACAGACTGTTTGGCTTTTATTGTCTAAGGGCAGCAGGAAGTGTTTTCAGTGACGGACAGGAGAACATAAACACATTCTGATTAAAATGTGAAACTTGAATCCGGTCCAGTCACAACACCAGATTCTGGCTGCAGCTGAGTCCACTGAGCTCCAGCTGAGAACACAAGCCGTCATCCTGAGTGTCTCCCCCTCTCATCCTCACAACAACCTCCACAGTGAGTCGCGTTCACAGTCGAAGGAATGTGAAGCCCGGCGAGCGACGCAGTCACGCCATCTTCTCTCAACCCGAACTCAGATCCCCTCAAACAGAAGGACCAAGTCTCTAAAGTCAAACCGTAACCACCGATAAACAAAGACTAGCAGCTCTTACAGACTGGTTTTATCAACACAGATGGTGCTTGCTTATATTTCATACGCAGCCTGGAAAACCTGGAAATTTAAAGACTAGTTTTAAAGTCATGGAAACACCTGGAAATTGAGGAAAATTACCAAATATCCTGGAAAATGTTTTCTATATGTTCGTACCTCGTGATCTTTTCTGTGTCGTTATGAACCTGAAACACTTAAAAAAGGAGAAATAAAAGTCAATACTCGACCTACCGGTAAATTATTTGACTGTTTGTGAGCGAGTGTTGTCCTGAATTGTCAAGAAAAACTCCTGGAAAATGATTTCTTAAAAAGAGTTAGTTATATATTATATTATATTATATTGAATTTACTCGTATTTCTGGCAGAATTAAAAAGACTATAAGGATATAAAGAGGTTCAGCACAGCGCTGCACCATCAGTGTCTGATTTATAGACTCTTCAATGCAATAACACTAACATTAAAATCACATTGAACTTTATTGAGAATCATGAGCTTCACTGAGGATGTCTGTCATTGTCTGTGGCTCCAGAGGTTTCACTGCAGAGAGAATATTAAATATAAAATGTGGTTTATTGATGTTTTACTATTATAAAACCTAAAATTAACATTTAAAAAAAGTCAAGTACGTCCTGCAGTACTCCAAAGTACCCGTAGGGGCACATGTACCCCCAGTTGAGAAACTGCTATATTCTCTGCTTCTTTTTTTAATTACTTTATACGAGTGTGATTGAAAAGAATCACATTTTTGGCGGCTGCAACGTGCTCAAAAACTCATGAAATGCAGCACACATGTGATTCGTGGCGAAAGATTACGTATTCTGTTGGTCTCTGACACATGCGTGGGGAAAATGTCTCGACAGCGCCCCCTATAGAGCAGCCCCAACAGCGCGTTTCACTGATATGTATGAAGATCTGTACACATGTAGATCAGATCCATTCGTACAAAAAGCCTTGATTGAGTTATAATTTGGTCAGTTGCTGTAACCTCTGTGTACGTGGTTTCATGTACTATGTGTGAACTATATTATACTATAAACTGCTAATATGTTATACTGTTTTATTACATTATAAACTGTATTATATATTATATATTATTCTGGTGTTCACATGTATGAGACCTGCTCACTTTGCTGCTGCTAACGACACACTACGTCCCCTATTTTAAATGTAATTCTGTTTTTTATTGTTATTTTATATACTAATTCTTTATTTTACTTCCTCTGTTTATCTGTGTGTGTGTGTGTGTGTGCGTGTGTGTGTGTGTGTGCGTGTGTGCGTGTGTGTGTGCGCGTGTGTGTTTGTGTGTGTGTGTGCGTGTGTGCGTGTGTGTGTGCGCGTGTGCGTGTGTGTGTGTGTGTGTGTGTGTGTGTGTGTAGCTCGGGACGGACACATGGTTCTACGCCAAGCGCTGTTTCCTCTCTCTGCTGGAGAACATGTCCAAACACATGGTCATGCTGCGGGACGCCGTGGTACAGGAGTGTATTCAGTTCCTGGAGCACTGCGAGGGTGAGCAGCAGTCACACACACACACACACACACACACACACAGTACCAACAGCAGTGTGTCTTAATAATAATTTATTATATATTGTTGTTGTTTTCTGTGTCTCACCTGCAGTTTACGGTAAGGAGGTTCCCGCCATCATCGAGCAGCCTCTCGAGGAGATCCACATTCACATCGGCAAGAACACCGTCACCTACGAGGCTCGACTGCTAAAGGCGCTGTTCTACGAGGTCGTCGGCTGGAACAAGTGACATCATTAAACACGAGTCGCTGTAACGCGTGAAGCTTTATGTCAGTGTCTTCGACTCAAAGACACACAGTCGCTGATGTTTTCAGAAGAAAGGCCTGCTGTGTAGGCTTTATATTTCTGGGAACCAAAACCTCCTGTTCCTGACTTCCTTCTGGACTCTCTCTCACACACACACACACACACACACACACACACACACACACACACACACACACACACACACACACACACACACTCACCCCAGGGGGAAGCTTTTATTTTGAATTTTGAGTTGAGCTGGGGGAGTTTTGGCTCCCACAGATCTTACATAATCTGTTGTGTTCTTTATGAAGGAGGCCTCTTTCTCCACAGACTCTTGTAGCCAGTAATGATCTGCATTTATTATCAGCTTAATGTTATAATACAGCAGACTTTATTTTATCGGTTAACATTAAACACGGGATAAGATTGTGTGTGTAGGTTCATGCATACAGTAGATCCTCTTTGGTCAGTGCTGGTTGTACAGCTGCCTTCTGGGCTCCTTTTATATTCAGTAGGTCCGATTGTGAAAAGCAAAAACATAATTTAAAGAAAATAAAGATTATTATTTTTTGAAAAGAAACAACTATGTGAATGTTTTTCTTTTAAAGCTACACTAAATATTTCTTAGCCTTTTAAATAGGGATGCTCCAATCAGGCTTTTAACTAACTAACTAATTAATAACTAACTAATAAAAGCCGGATGCATCAGACCTTAAAATAACTTCACACACTGACTTGTATTTGGGAGAACTGTCTCTTTCATTCCCACACTGCACCCTGAACGCCTCTTCTTGCACTTCTTGTAACTTTAGTGATCTATGATCTAACGCAAGAAGTCTGTAACACTTTACGGCCCGTCGTACCACCAACTCTGGGTCTTCAGCTCGCCAAGTGTGACAGCTTGAAAATAGCAATAAGAGGCATTGAATTTAATGAATTTTTATTTCATTCATTTTATGAAACATGTTATAACTTTATTATATACTATGGACAACAGATAGCTTTGCTTGTTGCTAAAGTAACCGCTAACAAACTAATTGCAGTGGCTGTTAGCTAGTTAGCCCAGTTAGCTGTGCAGACACTGCCTGGACTGAGAGTTTAAAGCACTACGGGAGAGCTGGCTAACACAGGAGCGTCAAAGCTTGAAACAGGCTTGAAAACTTCCTGTGTGTAATCTGACACACTGTAAGAGACCCTGCTAGCTCGTTGCATCCACAGGCCGCCTGCCTGCCTGTAACTGGAGACAACAGCAGCATGTCCAACTCCACATGGACAGGAACACGAACTGCTCTTTGACGATAGCTGGTTGAAGATCAGAGTCACTGTTTATTAACTACTTCTCTGTAAAGAGTAACCAAGAATCCTGATCACTTCCTGTGGGATTGGAGCATCACTACTTTCTAAAGGCGTCTTTATTGGGATTCAGCATCTTCCTCATTATAATCACAGAATACAAAATGAAGAAATATAGGTAGAAATACATTTTGTGTCAAAACAGCCACATCCCAGCGTTTTATTAAGCATTTTCATCATCTTACGACTATGTTCATGAAGCAACATATTGTGTCGGGAGTCAGTCTCCAGCCGTGAAGAGCATCTCTACCTGATGATCTACAGCGTTTTTCTAATGTGAACGAACCCCATGAGGAGGGAGGGAGGCTGGGGGGAGGGAGGGAGGTTTCAGGAGAGCGGCCTCTTCGTTATGTCCTGTTCTGACAGGTAGTAGTTCAGGTATCCTCCCAGAGCGCCGACAGCCACCGCCGTCATGTGACTGGAACAGCCGTCTGTGAGAGGAGAGATTTCAGAAACAGACAGTAGAGAGAGGAAGAGGAAAGAGTAAGAGAAGGAATTAGAGAAAACATGATGAGAAGTATTTAAATCCTTTGAGTAAAAATGTTAATAACACAACAAAATATCAAAACCTCTCTAAATATTCATAAATATAACCAAAAGAGCTACAAATAACTTCCTAAAAGGAACTAACAATGTACAATTATCTGCACACAATTTTCTTTTTCACCCAAAAAAATCAATCCAAGCTTCAATAACTTTGGCTGCAGGAATTTTTTAAGAATTTACCCGGACGATCCCCCATTTATGTTACGACCAGCTTGTGAAGTCAAAGGGAAGAAACATAAAACCAGTTATTTTTGGTAAAAAAAAAAACAATGTTGGAGTTCAGAATAATTCTAACAAACAAGAATAGGCGAGCTAAACTACAAAAGAAAATGGCTGTTGGATGCGACAAATAACTCCCTGAAAGAAACTGAAACTGGAAAGAAAAACCTCACTATTTTTGAATTGGATAAAAAGATAAAAGACTCAAAATTAAACAGTGACATGATAATTAGCACATCTGAACACAAATTTCCTTTTTTCCCACAAAAAATCAATCCAAGCTTCAATAATTTTGACAGAAGGAATCTTTCAAGAATTAACCCGGACGAGCCCCCATTTATCTTACGACCAGCTCGTGAAGTCAAACAACATAAAACCAGTTGTTTTTAATGAATCGTTGTCATATTTCAGTAATCCTACATGTTGTACAGGAACAGTGATGTGTGACGCTTCCTGTTTGAGCTCCGTCACAAACTGACCTGGAAGTATTTTCTCCCTCCTCTTCACTCTCCTGTGAGGCTGCAGTTGTTCCAGCAGCTCGTCTCCAATGATCTGAGAGATGACGCTCTCTGAGAGAACAAACAGAGCCGAAAATCAACTGTTAATCTATTTATCCACCACAGAGCATCTCAGTCTCCATTTATATCACCTGATAAAATCCAGATCTTCAGCTCTTGTGTGATAAAACGAACAGGAAACGTGATATTTTTAGCTCAATTATGTATAAATATACCTTACGGGAAACAAATATTTAAACTTTTAAGGCATTGTGAGTGAGCAGGTGACTTGGAATTAGCCCCCAGTAAGAGAAAACACAAGATAGTAGGCTTAAATGTTTTAATTTGACAACCATGCTGCCTGGAAATAACGTGAGGTTCAGGTTCAGTAACCTCTAACCGTTATTTATTTAAACATATTATGATGATAATGCTGTTGAAACACTCACTGTCTCTCCCGAAGCAGCCCACTTCCTCATCCTGCAGCCTGAGGATGTGCTGCAGCCAATCAGCTTTGTAGAAGTCGGAGAAACCGGCCAATCCGCAAATCAGGACTGTTGACAGAAACCAGAGGAGCTCAAGTCAGTCGACCTTCAGTTCTTCTACATTGTTCTCTGTTGAATCTCCCGCCGCACCGCGTCCTTTTTATAGCGATACTGTCTAGTATAATACTGTTTAGTTTCTGAGCTTTACATTTGTTCTCCACACGAGCGTCAGGATCTATAAAGCAGATCGCTGCACGACAGTCAGGAAAGAGTTCGGTTAAAGGAGCAACAAAGACACTAAATAGATTAAAACCTTTGTTATCTCTCGTTGGCTGATTTGTTTTCCATCTTTTTGGTTTGTTAGAGAAGGTCAAACTCAATCAATCACAGCTAATAACTGATACAGCTGAGAAACTGACCGATATTAAGGATTAAAGTATAATTAAAGACGCTCACTGTTCTCAATGAAGATGTCGACCGTCTGCTCGGTCAGACCGTCTCTGATGATGTCCTGGTTGGTCTTCATCATGTTGGAGCAGAAGATCTTCTCGTAGCTGCGTTCGGTCATGTTCTCTCGGGACGGTCGAGTGTCGCCTTTCAGCAGGTTGGTGCAGCCTCGCTGGGAGGGAAACAGGAAGCGGTCAGCGTCTCGCCACGAGGACGTTCGTTAAACAGAACAACGTATTAATATGTTTTATGTTAGCATGTGCTGAGAATCCATTACATATTAAGTTGTAATAAAATATAAATAAATTAAGTTTTAAGACATTAAGGTGAATGAACGCATGAATCATCAATAACATCCTAAATTTACATTTATATATTTAAACGCCACCCTGGCTTTTTCGTTACCCGTCTCACCATTTTCCCGATCATGAAGTAGAGCAGCTGGTGGGACAGAGAGTAGTGTGGACAACCGAATTGAGTCATGGTGTCCCGGCAGGGTTTGGTGACGATGCATGGCGTCCCGTTCATCTTCCTGCTCACACACACACACACACACACACACACACACACACACACACATACACGGTGGTCATTATTCCTTTATTTCAGGTTTTGGGCATTTTTCTGTATAAATATAAAAAGATTTTATCGTTAAAGTCGTTGTTGGTGATTTTTAATTATTTCAGCACAAAAACCCGAAGTTAAGTACAAATATTAACTTTAAATCAAAATAAACTCTTATTTTTTGATGTTTTTTTACTTGAAAAAGAACCAGAGGACTATTTTTTTACCCTCTCAGGCCCCAGCGAGCTCCACCAATCAGGGGGAAGGACAACCTGATCAAATGTCTCATAGTGAAACCGGTGTTTGTGGTCAAAAGACTCCACGTCCTCCAACTGAGATTTCTCGTGGTGAAATAAAGTCGTTTTTCGGTGTGTTTTCTGTGTGTGTGTGTGTGTGTGTGTGTGTGTGTGTGTGTGTGTGTGTGTGTGTGTGTGTGTGTGTACCAGGTTCCCAGCAGCAAGGTCAGACATTTGTCACTGAGCTGCTCGTCGTAGCACTCGGTGGTCACGGTGGACGGGTAGACCAGGCTCGGATCTGTGGCGCTCAACCCGGGAGGAATCACCCAGAAAGTCCACGACATCAGAGGCTCGAACTCTGAGAGGATGAAAGGAAACAGTTTATATTATAAATCATATTTTATATTAAAAGACAAATAATACATTAAAAAGACTATAAACATTTCAGACTATACAACGGTTGATGCTATCTACTTAGCAAGCGTTTTTAACCCTAACCATTAAATACAATTAATGATCCTTCACATTTATTAAACTTTTTTTTTATTAACATTATGAGTCTTCCGAGCTACGGGCCTACTTGAGTGAAGGGTTTGTGTTGACACCACGTGGTTTCTGGGTAATGAAGTCCTTTCTCACCTCTGTAGTACTTTGGGTCGTTCTGCTGCAGGGCAGCGACGGCCTTGTCGAAGGTTTGGTCGAGACGTTTGACGAGAGCGACGGCGGTGGTTCTCTGAGCCCAGCTGACCGGGTCGCTGTGGGGCCACGTCCGAACCGCCTCCTTCAGTTCAGCTGAGACACAGAAACAACCACAGAAGAAGACTCAGGACCAATTTTGCTGATACTTTGGTTTCTAGCTGCAAAACTAACGACATTCCCAACAACCTCAGCTCGACTTCGTGTTTAATTACAGTAAACTTTATTGGGCACAGAGCTACAATATGTAGCAAACATAAACAAAACATGAATCAGAAAACCACAAAATCAACATGAAACATTAAGAGAGTTAAGAGAATTAAGAATAAAACATTAACCTGATCTGGCTGCTCGCTTTACATTAGCATGCTAAGCTACAAGACAGTAGATGTGTTCAATCGTACGAATATATTGGAACAATTATTGACTCAAAACTGAACTTTGAAGAAAGTTGTTCTATAGCGGTTTTATTGAATCTTTTTCTTTGGTGTCGAGGTTTGAAAGTTTCTCTCTTAAGAGCAGAAACTGAATTTCAGCTTCTTCCTCCCTCTGGGCGGAGGTCTACAGTCCCGCTCTGTGCAGTGGGCGGAGGTCTACAGTCCCGCTCTGTGCAGTGGGCAGAGGTCTACAGTCCTGCCCTGTGCAGTGGGCGGAGGTCTACAGTCCCAAGATGTAGAATAAAGCTATTTTTATATAAAACAGTATAAAGACAAAGAGGTTTTATTGTTTTTACCTCATTTATCTTTGTGTTTTTTTCATGAATCTCTTTTTTTAGAGCACTTTTACTTTTATGTTTATCTTCATTCTTTATTATGTTTGTTGTTTTAAGAGGTTTTTGTTTTTTCAAACCAAATCCACATTAATGTACAAATGAAGTCAGCTCACTAAACATCAGCATGTTACTGTCATTGTGGTAACGTGTGCATTTAGTGCCTATAAGTACAGCCTCACAGAGCAGCTAGCATGGCTGCAGTCTACTTAATGTGGCTTCTGGTTAAAGACAGACAGACAGACAGACAGACAGACAGACAGACAGATAGATCTCATAAACCAAACCACCAAACCAAATCCACTTTATTCTGTATTCTGCAGTTATAACAACCAGAGATCTAATAATAGAAGAACTGTATGATTTTTAATTAATAAAATACTGACAGATAATTGTATGAAAAGTTACTAAAACTATAATAAAAACTCATTAAACTCAATAATCTGCTCACAGTTCATTAAAATCACTGGTTTTACAGAAACTTCCTGCAGTCACTGTTTACTGTTTACACTTTATCAGCTGTTCTCTGTTGTTGTTATTGTTATTGTTACACATTGAACATTATAAATCTAATAATAATAATAACCTTAAAAACCTTAAAAATAAAAGTCTTAAACTTTAACCATTCTTCCTCAAAACTTCCCACAATCACAAACATGACTCAATAGTTAATAATAAGTATTAATAATTAGCATTAGTGTATATTTATAAGTATTAATAATTAGTATTAGTGTATATTTATAAGTATTAATAATTAGTATGAGTGTATATTTATAAATATTAATAATTAGAATTAGTGTATATTTATAAGTATTAATAATTAGTATTAGTGTATATTTATAAGTGTTAATAATTAGTATTAGTGTATATTTATAAGTATTAATAATTAGCATTAGTGTATATTTATAAGTATTAATAATTAGTATTAGTGTATTTTCTCCCTACAGAGTCTCACTGATAAACAGACCCTGCAGATCTCTTCCAGATGTTTCATGCAGCTGTTTACTCACCCTGCAGCATGAGGAACCCGACCACCCCGTCCAGGTTGATGTGCTCATGCTGCCGCTCCAGGAAGGATGCTCCCCTGTTGAGGCTGCCCAGGATGTCATCGATCACCTCGGCCCGCGCTGCCCCGCACACTGCGGCAAACAGGAGCAGCGCGGCGGCCAGCTGCTGCCCCGCGGCCCGCATCTTCTCATCGGATAGTCCCAGTGTGGAGGCTCCGGGGGCTTCTCCGACCAGAGACTGAGAGAGGAGCAGGGAGGACAGGCTGTCTCTCCTCTAGCAGGGAGGAGGAGGAGGAGGAGGGAGGGAGGTGAGGAGGAGGAGGGGGGGAGGAAACAGCCGTGACGTCAGGAAGGATGTCATTACGAAACTTTTCTTTATTTCTTTTAATCACTTTTATGGATTAAAGCTCATTTCTACCAGTAAAATAACAAATGAGATGAAAACTTTACCTTAATAATCAATAAATGTTCATGTTGAGACAAAGTTATGAGATAAAAAGTCAAACTTGAAATGATGACATAATAAGGCATATTTATGAGATGAAATAAGATTAGTGAACTTGTTGTTGCAGGTTTTAATAATAATAATAATAATAATATATTGTTGACTTTTTCCAGTCTGAACTTTTGCAGGTTTTGTGGTTGAAAATAAAAATAACGTGTGTTGACAGTAGAAGTCAAACAGACAACAGGAAGTATTGTGTTATTCTTTATCTGATTAAAGGAAGGATGTCATTATGAAATCAATACTTAAGATGGTGAAACAAAGTATTTTCATTCCTCGGACACATCATCACACCAATGGAAGCTCATCTCCAGCAGTAAAATAAAAGATTATAAATCTCATAAAAACTAATATTTATGAGACAAAACAATAAGATAATTATGATGTTTTAATCTCAGAATATAGTTTTAAATTTAAAATATCCTCCTTACATTATCTATTACCTATTACTATCCTACTGTCTGTTGTATTAGTTATTTTATTGCTGCTTTCTGAAACAAATGAATCCATTAGTGCAACAGAAACTTATTATGAAGTTTATTATTATCATAAAGTCTGTTTACATTACAAAAAACTGTCATTAGACATCAAACTCCAATTATCGTAAAAGAAACATGAACTTGCCTCATGTAACAGCTGCTATATATATATTATATTTAAAGTTTTATTTATTTATTTTTAAATAGAAAATTGTTTGTTTTTGTGTCGTTGTTGTTGTTGTTGTGTTTGCAGTATACAGTATATAACACAAAGAACCATGTAAACATATTGGAGACTTCATCATCAATTTTCTGCAATAACTTGATGAACTCTGGATATAATAAAGGCAGAAATAAATGACCAACAGTAGAATCAATGCGTTTAATTAATTTAAACAACAAAGATGAAATATATTGATTAGTTTGAGGGAAATATCTGTTTTTATTACAGAGTTACGGTGTGATTCCTGTGGTGACCCTGAACGCGTCACAAACTGACGCGGTCCCTTTAAATCTGAAGCCCCTCCCCCTTCCCTCCGTTGAGCCGCGTCATCACAAACCCCAAACAAACATGGCTGCGCGCGGCTCCTGCGCTGCCTCCCTCGCGCTGTTCGCGGTCTTTTCTTTAGTTTTGGCGCCGTTTTACGCCGCGGGTTGTGACGTCACGGTACCGGCGGTGTGTGCGGCCGCTGTCACCGGGCTGCTGACGCTGTGGGTTCGGTACCGGGACGGTGGCACCGACCGGCGGGTGTGTGTGCTCGTGCTCGGGGACCTCGGTCGCAGCCCGCGGATGCAGTATCACGCGCTGTCCCTCAGCAAACACGGATATGACGTCACTGTGGTCGGGTTCCTGGGTGAGACGCAAACACGTGTTATTGTGTTATTAATCAATCAATCAATCAATCGATTAATTAATTACTACAGAGTTAGATCAGCTGGGTAATTTCTATATTTCTGTTTTATAATCTTTATTTTTGTTATTTTTATTTTATTGTATTTATTTTGACCCTTTTTTCTTCCCTTTGCACTTTATTCTCTGTTGGATCAATAAAGGAACAGTTTATCTTGTTTTTAGTTTCTGCCAATGTGACGTCATAATAATGAGGAATAATAAGATTAAAGAAAGTTTCTCGTTATAATAACTTACAGAAACCTTTATTTCCTGTCACAGAAAGAAATTGGCGTCCGTATTAACAACAGTGCTAAAATCTATTAATTAATCTATTACATATTTATTGTGGGATTATTCCTTTATTTTCCTCTGTTGGACCGGAACCAGCTGTTAACCTGTGGAGAATCGAACAGAATAAAGGTTTCATGAATCTGAACTCGGGTTTTAAAGGGTCTGTGGTGATGAAGTCTACCTTTAGTGGTTTTTGATTCACGTTCAGTTTCTTGCTCAAAGGCCCTTCAGCACATTGACAGATCAATACTTCACATTTCCTACAAACTGATCAACAAAAACAATAATATCTCCATAAAAACTGAATTTATTTTCTCCTTTTAGACTGTAAACCTCATCAGGACGTCCTGAGAGAGGAGAAGATCCGGATCGTCCCCATAAAGGAAGTGAGAGGCGTTCAAGGTAACTGGAACTGTTTGTTATCAGGAGTACTGATGCGACACTGCGGGTTTATTTAAGTCATATAAAATAAAGATTAAATGTTAATGTTTGGAGGAGCAGGACGACGTAAACTCCACATGTGTGCTCCGTTGCTCTTTCAGTGGGACCGAAGATCGTCTCGTACGTGACGAAGGTTCTGGTTCAGTGTGTGCAGCTGCTCCTCGTGCTGCTGAAGATGGACTCACAGTCTCACATATTAATGCAGGTTAGACTCAGTTAATGGAAATATTACCCAAATCTCAGAAACTGCGACGTTGTAAAGGTAAAATATGAATAATAACGGAGTTATAATGAAGCAGCGTGGATCTGAAGAGAGGAAACAGAATCTGTGTTTGAATCTTTGTTAAAGCTGCTGTGACTTTCTCTGCTCTGATCGGTCGTTATCAGTCCGATGTTAGTGTTTGTCTTTGTATCCCAGAATCCTCCGGGTCTGCCCGGCATTGCGGTGGCGTGGCTCGTGTGCGCTCTGCGTGGCAGCAGATTCGTCATCGACTGGCACAACTACGGCTACACCATCATGGCGCTGAGCCACGGACGGAGACACCCGGTGGTCCGACTGGCAGAGTGGTGAGTCTCACACATCCTGACATTATGGGCTGAGACTGAAGGGATGTCACTGACTGAGGACGCTGTAGTAAAAGGAGAAGGACTTCTTGAAGAGCTCTGATATCCGTCTGTGTTCCTGCCTCCAGGTATGAACACTTCTTCGGCCCTCTGGCCGCTCACAACCTGTGTGTCACCAACGCCATGAAGGACGACCTGCAGGAGAACTGGGGCATCAAGTACGACTCGTTTTACACTAATGGTGTTACACAACGTTACACACACACTGTTGTTATTGTTGTTGTTATTGTCAGTGTCTGACAGCATTATGGAAAGGATCCCTACAGAGATAGACCTTTAGTTTAACCACAAACAGCCATAATATCACTATCACTCTCCACCAGACTCCAGAGACAGAAACACTCATTTTACCTTCAGATCATCATAACTTCATTAAAGTGGACAGAAACAGAATAAAACTCATTAAAAGCGTCTCTGTTAGTGTTTCCAACAAGTTGTTTGATATCTTCCTTTGGACTCTAGTGAGCTGGAAGTGTTTTTTAAATGTCTGATTTATGCATGAGATTAAAGCCACTGCACCGTTCAGCCTGTTGGTCCTCGTTGATTTAAAGTGACTCGTTTGACGTCCGCAGGGCGACGACTCTGTACGACCGACCGCCCTCCATCTTCAGAGAGACGCCGCTGAAGCTGCAGCACGAACTGTTCAGGAGGCTCGCCGACACGTACCCTCAGTTCCAGAGCGAAGGGTGAGGGTCTCCTGTTTATAACGATGTCCTTTAAAACACTGGTTCCTTAAAGGAGACCTCTCATCTAAAGTGACATATCTTATAGATATTTCATATTCAATGTGTAACAATAACAACAGCTGATAATCTGTAAACAGTGAACACAATAACTGAAGGTTTGTGTAAAACCACTGATTTGGAGGAATTTCTGAGCAGATTGTGTCTGTATTGTGTCATTTCTGTTTTATAACAATCATACAGACAATGTAAACTGTCTAAACATAAACAAAACTACAGTTTAATTTTAAGTTTCCTCACAGAAATGAAGGAGATGCTGAGTTTTAGGTCTACTGTGTCAGAGCTTTATGTAAGAGTTAAAGTCATTAAGACTCATTAAAGGTCCGTTTATTATCAGTCAGCTGTATCACACTGGTTTACACTGTGGGACTGAGCTGTGTGTGCTGCAGGTCTGAGGACGGGGAGGTGAAGGTGGAGAGGACGGCGTTCTCAGTGTGTGACCTCAGCAGTGACTCAGTGACCCTGAGGGCGGAGAGACCGGCGCTGTTGCTCAGCAGCACCAGCTGGACGGGTGAGAGGGAGGGGACATCAACGCCACGTACCGAATCAACCTTTACATTAGCACTGACTCACTGTTATCCCTTTATTATTATTATTATTATTGTTGTTGTTGTGTTTCACTGTTTGTTCCTGAGCTTTTAATGGAGACGTTGTTCACTTTAATCCAACTGATGTGTGTTTGTCTCCACAGAGGATGAAGATTTCTCCGTCCTGCTGACGGCTCTCGAAGGTACGACAGGTTTTAACCTGCTGCTGTAAACATATCTGTCACACACACACACACACACACACACACACACACAGAGAGCAAATCTGATGTTTGTTTGTTTGTTTGTTCAACAGAGTACGAAGGGTTCATTAAAGGAGGAGCTTCCTTACCGTCTTTAGTCTGTGTGATCACAGGTAACGTTACAGACTGGTTGGCAACATGTCTGATCGCTAACAGGCTGCAGGTTTCATTAGTGTGTGTGTGTGTGTGTGTGTGTGTGTGTGTGTGTGTGTGTGTGTGTGTGTGTGTGCAGGTAAGGGTCCTCAGAAGGATCACTACAGGAAGCTCATTGACTCTCTACATTTGGAGCATGTGAAGATCTGCACTCCCTGGCTGGAGGCAGAAGATTATCCAGTTTTATTGGGTGAGATTAATAAACATTATATATTTATTATTGCGTTCACATACACAGGATTTATGATTTAAAACTATAATTAAACAGTTAATTAATTTGATACACTTTATTTATACAGCAATTTTCAAAATAAAGTTACATAAAGTGGTTTATATGGTTGGAACCGAGATCTAAAACATTTATGGAGGAAAAATAAAATCCATCAATAAAAAGAAATAAAAGTTTACTTGGTTTAGTCCGACAGCCAGGGGACGTTTCACACAGAAAGAACCTCTTTAATTCCAGTTTATTATTTATTTAGAACCATTGAAAGAAGACTCTGTTTGTCTCTTCAGGCTCTGCAGATCTCGGGGTTTGTCTCCACAAGTCCTCCAGCGGTCTGGATCTGCCCATGAAGGTGGTGGACATGTTCGGCTGCTGTCTGCCCGTCTGCGCCGTCCACTTCAACTGGTGAGAGTTTTACCAACAGAAACACACAGCGAGCTCCAAGGAATGTATATATCCAGATTTCACAGGTTAAAGTGGTGAATTAACGAGAAATGGAGCCGTTAATGAATCAACTGCCATTAAAGCTCAAAGATTTGTGAGCCTGATGAGTTATCCAGAGGAAATGTACAATATATTGACTTTAAATGAATTTAAAACTGGCAGTTACCTCGCTGTGCAGTGCAGCCCTCTGTCCTCTAACACACAACTCCACAACCTCGCGGGTGCCAGAGCTTCACGGCTCCTTTCTGGATTCAAACTGTTGTAATAAAACTTTATTAATAAGCTCAGTAGCTCAAATCTCAACTTGTTCAGTTCTGTGAAGGAAAGTTTACATTAAAAACCTCTCAGAGACTCTTAAAGCAAAGTGTGTGTGTGTGTGTGTGTGTGTGTGTGTGTGTGTGTGTGTGTGTGTGTGTGTGTGTGTGTGTGAGTGAGAGTGTGAGAGAGAGAGAGAGAGGTGTGAGTGAGTGAGTGAGTGTGAGAATCAAAGCTAACACTCTCTTCCTCCAGTTTACACGAGCTGGTGAAGCACGAGGAGAACGGACTGATCTTCAGAGACTCTCAGGAGCTCGCGGAGCAGCTCAAGGTGAAATATGACATAAAGCTTTAATCAGAGTTCAGTGTTTGAAGATGAGGATCTGGATCCAGTTCAGGTCTCACTGATCAGGTCTCACTGATCGGGTCTTTTATATATTTGTGTGTTTCAGTCTCTCCTGTCAGAGTTTCCCCGCTCAGACGGCAGACTGGGAGAGTTCAGGAGGAACCTCCGCACCAGCAGGGGGCAGCGCTGGGACGACAACTGGGACCAGAACGTCCTGCCTCTGCTCACCGCCCCCTGAGGGACACCAGACTCTTAATGAACAATACCGACAGTTTCACACTACAGTCGACTGACATCAACGTCTGCTTCCGTTATTCTCAGTTCAGGACAGACAGACACTAGAACGGGGCGGAGGTCGGGTTAGTCGGTACATGTTGAGTTTAATGTCTGTAGTCTGAAGGAGGGACGGGGGGGGGACGGGGGACGGGGGGTTGTGGTTAACTTTTCATTCCAGTGTGAGATTTAGTTTTTCTTACTTCCGAGCAGTTGAATGTATAAAAGAGACTTTGTTACGATGCACATTGTGTAAATAAAATCTTTATTGTGCTGCAGTCGTGTGCAGTTGGATCAGTTCTATAACGCCGTCTCTGCTGTACGGAAACACGCAGCCGACGGCGCCTGTGACCACACGATGGCGGATTCCTTCCTTATCTGTCAAAACAAAACAGATTCAGAGTCAGTTCCCAGCAACAGGCAGCATGTGTTCAGCGTGTACAGTCCGGTGGTTGATCCTCTCACCGAGCTGCTGCTTGAAGCCGCCGTACGTCTCCTGGTTTCTTACGGTGGAGCAGACGAAGACCTCCGGAGACGAACACCTCAGGATCCTGGACAGCAGCTTCACCAGACTGCCTGCGACGTCGGGGTCATACACCACATCTGCACGGCGGGGGCAGCGGATTAAATACACTTACTGAAACCACAGCTTCAGTTTCTACACACATGAACATTTATCTGAAACATTTACAGAGTTTATAAAACAGATTTTATTATAAATGAAACTACAGAACAAGATATTCGTGTACGAGCTGGAAGTCTAAAATCATTCGATGGTTCAACCTTCCCCACTGTGAATGTACGACCCCGTTGTGCGTCCTCTCTGAACTCTGACCTGCAGCGATGACGACGTCGGCTCCGATCCGTTCCAGCTGCTCCTCGCTCGCCGCCGTCCAGTCCACCTCCTCCACGCCGACGCTGGGAGGCGTCAGACCGTTCAGCTCCACGTTGCTCCTCAGCGTCTGCAGGACTCTGGGGTGACAGTCGCTGAAGACGAACCGGCGCGGGCTGCAGGAGCGACAGATGGTGATCCCGCTCAACCCCACGCCGCTGCCCAGCTCCAGGACCGTCCTGCAGATCGGAGGACAGGAAGGGACGGGGGACGCATTTCATTGGTATCTTAGAGGCTTTTTCATTGAATAAAATAAAATCTTTGTCTCAGGACCGAAGTTCTTCCTGTGGTAGTTTGAGGATACCTGCCGCTGAAGACCTGCCGGTGGTCCAGAGCCCACTCCGCCAGGTAGAGAGCGGCCTCCCACGTCACCAGGCCGGTGGTCCCCTCTGAGATCAGAGCTACGTTCTCCAACAGGCTGACGGCGTCCCCGCTGGGCTGCAAGACAGAAACCAAGACCTGAACGTCAACGTCAGGAACATTCAACTCGGAGGAATCACACACAAAACACAAATCAATACAGCGACGGTCTGTACCAGTAAGTAGCTCTTGTAGCACTCCGTCGTGTCTTCGGCTCCGACAACCTCGGCCAGCGCGTCGTACAGCTCGTCCAGAGGGTCGCAGTCCGCTGCCTCCTGCTGGAGAGACGACAGGAGCTACGTTACGGCGCGATGACGATCCAACGCTTCGGCCCGCGGCTCAACAAATATCAGAGAAACTGGCGGGAAATGTTTGTTATGTTAAATGTTAACAAAAAATATATATATATGTTTTGGTAAATTGGTGAATAAACATTAAACTATAAATAAAGATAAAAATAGAGACAATATATAGAAATATAAAAATATGTCTGAAAACTTAAATATGACATAATGTGAATATTTTTAAATGTAAAAACACTTCTTTTTACATTTAACAGAAAAAAAGATCCATCAGTTAATCAAGAATATAATTAAGAGATTAATTGATGATGTAACTATTAGTTGTATCGATAAATAACAGAATATTCACTTTAAAATCAACTTAATTTAAACTAAACCAACTATAATAACATTTATCATTTCCTGGAAACCTAAACGAAAAGATCAGGGGGTAATGAAACAGTAAAATATATACAGATATAATATATAATATTATTTATAATGCATATAAAGATAATATATAATATTTATAATATACACTAAGATATAATATATAATATGATTTATTATATTATTTATAATATATAATATTATTTATAATATATATAAAGATATAATATATAATATAATTTATAATATATATAAAGATATAATATATAATATAATGTATAATATATAACTATATAAAGAGTTATGATGAGGTGTTCAGGGACAGACTGACCCGTCTGATGAGCTCAGAGAGGAACAATCTCCTGAATCTGACCGATGGAGGAAACTTCCGGCACAAAGAGTGAAGACACGTCTGTCAGACACAGAAGAGACATTATTGATCACTTTATTGATCATTGTATTAAATTTTGATGATGATAAAGGAGTTAAAAGGTGTGTGTCTGAGCCCACTTACCTGTTTTAAGATGTCTGAAATCAGGTCTGATGATTTGTTGCTTTCAAGGTCTTTTTCTAAAAACTGGAAAGTAGAAATTATGTTTGAAAGTATTAGATTATGAAGTGGATTAAACTGTAGATTTAATCTCAGTATTTGGACTTTAATCTCAATAAAAACTACTAAAATGTGAAATATATTTCTTCCACGGTCACAAAATATCTGTAAATGTGTTTTATTCACATGAATACAGACTGAAGTCTAATGTATAGACTGTACATCATTAAAGCATTTCACACATTGTTTCTGTATGTAACCAATAAAACATCTGAACTGAACTGAAAAACTGTTCAATTCTGATTTTTTCTCAGATTGTAAAACGTGAACTTTGGGTCTCCAGAACCCAGAACCCAGAACCCAAAGGGGGACAGGACCTGAAGAAGATTTAAGGTTATTAGTGTGAATTCAGATCTGCTGGTGGATCATTTGTGTGCCGGATTACTCAGAGGAGTCCGCTGAAGTGTGGAGATAACTTCAGACACTTTCTGACTCTGAGGTCGTTTCTTTTTTAGGGCCGAATCACAAATTGGTGATTATTTGAATGGAGTTTGGTGCAGCGCTCGCTCTGAGTGAATGGAGACCGGATGAGTTTTTACTCACCGTCCAGGGGAAAGAAAGCAGCCGACTCATGGCGAAGAAAGACACCTGAAAGTCCCGTAAAATATCCGTTTTATTTCTTATCTCCCCGTCTGGAGTTCGGCTCTGCTCTGAAGGCTCCATCTTCAACGTGTCTTTGTTTACTTCCTGATTACCCACAATGCATAGCGAGGATTTCTCGCGAAACCTCCTGGGTAGTGTAGTTTTTATTTTATTTAATCTGAATTAGTTTATTGTTTAATTGAATAAAAACAACATACAGACTTTACAAACACATTAACACATAAAATAATGAATATTAAAATATTAATGAGAACAAAATGTATAGAAAGCAGAAGCATACAATATATATAAATAAACAAATTAAACATTATATTATATAGAGAATATAAAATAAACATATCATCTATGATTTATAAGATTTCTGAAAGATTTAAAGTAAAAGTTCCAGCTGAAAACGTTAAATCACCTTTAAATATGTACATTTATAAAACACTAAGTGCTTTAAAAGTATTGAGTGTTTGATGCGAATAAACTTTGAATAATATTCTTGTTATTTTTAGTCCGTCTGAGGTTTTAATCCCGCTCTTTTCTTGCTGTGTCACTGCAGGAGGAGATAAATGTCTTTACAGTTGGGCCAACTCCTCATTCACCATCAACCCTCACAGCAGCAGCACACAGTGGACGTTCACTGGTGAGTAACAGGAACATTATCATCATTATTATCATTATTATCATTATTATCATTATTATCATTATTAATGAATGAATAAAAAGGATTCTGTAAGTCATTATAATGAGAAACTCTGTGACACTAAGTCATTATTTTATTATTAATGTTCTATAGTACGTTAAAAAACAACTACAGCAACACAATACACCAGTAATATAATATATGGTAATACTATTTAAAACAGTATATCAATACAATCTAGATTACTAATGAAATTAAATACTACAGAAAAAAAACTACTAACACAACAAACCTACGAGGACATAATACAGTATTAATTAAATATATAGTATATACTATAGCATGTTACTATACTATTGACTATGTTATATACTATAATATATATATGTATATTATGTTATATAACATATCACTGTATATTAAAGTAAAGTACGCAGTGATACTAGAGTGTATTAATATTGTATTATAATACTATAGTAATACAGTATTAATGTAGTATATTATAGTAATACTAGAGGTAGTAATACTTTACCATATTATAATTTATTAATTAATATATTATTATTACTTTAGTTCATTTTAATAAAGAAAACCTCGACGGTCTATTAGAGGAACTTTTATAAACGTGTTTCTCTCCGGAGCATTTTAAGCGTCGGACTGTCAACAACAAAGATGTCGCCGGTGTCCGCTTCGATAACCGGTGTTGGACGTTAGTGACGGAAGCTGAGAGCTTCTGTCGGCCGTAAAGAAGGTAAATAACATCAGTTTCCCGCGCTCACACTCTGCCTCTGTGTAGTCCGACGGCCCCGCGGCGGGAACCGGCCTCACTTTGAACAGCCGGATCAGTTTTATTCGTTAAAGTTAAAGTATTAAACTCTTTAACGGGACTGTTAACCTACTTCCACTGCGTCACTCATCGACGTCACTGTCACTGACATCGATCCCGCCGCGGGCTTTTTCTGTTGCCACAGCAACGAGCTTCAGTATGTGAAGGGCATCAGATGAGGTCAACCGTCCAGTTCGGATACGTTCACCGAACTCCCTCCACAAACCGGGAGGTTTTACGTTTTTCCCGCCGTCGCTCTGATCAATAAAAACATTTCTTAAAGCAGGAATCCAGTTTATGATCGATAAGGAGCTCCTCTTCAATTCGGCATCAGGTATGAACTGATTTATTGGATGTCAGCAGCACAAATACAACATAACAGAGGAGAGGTAGTCTTCAGCAGCTGAGTAAAATGACAGATTTCAGAGTTTGAACATTGTTGGAAACATTTGGGATAATATAAGAACTCAGCTACACACAGAACATAGCTCTAGAGTTTCTACACTGTTTATTGATTATAGATTATTGATTAAATCAGCTACACACAGAACACAGCTCTAGAGTTTCTACACTGTTTATTGATTATAGATTATTGATTAAATCAGCTACACACAGAACACAGCTCTAGAGTTTCTACACTGTTTAATGCAGATGTATTACATATTATTATTAACTCACTGCTGCTTTGTTGACTGTAACTGAGTCTTTATGAAATCAGTCCATCCCGAGCACCAACTAGAACCAGAACCCGACCTGATTGTTGTTTCCTCTCAGATCACCAGAGCTGCTGGAGGCCGAACCCCCCCCACCCCCACCCGAGCTGCAGTCATGGTGCTGAAGGTCTTCTTCCCGCAGTGCTGTAACCGGGCGGACAGCGGACTGATGGTCGGCCGCTGGATCTCCGGCCACGACTCTGCCGTTGTGCTGGCGGTCATCCACTACCCGTTCATCCCCGGGCAGGTCAAACAGTACATCCAGCAGGTCAGTGCAGCGCCGGGGGAGAGCGGGAAGAACCATCCAAACCAACTTCCTAACTTACAGTGAGATTACGGTAACACTCCTCCATCCTTTCCCCCCCAGATGCAGGCCCAGAGCGGGGTGGAGCTGTCGGTGCTGGGCTCGTGGAGTTTACCCAAAGAGGGCCAGGAGGGCATGGAGAGCTTCCTCAGGGACCTCAGCACCATCTTCCCCCAGGAACGCTGGCTCCAGATCAACCGCGAGATCGGCAAGACGGGCTTCACCTGCCAGATCCTCGACCGGGATCAGAGTAAGACCCTCAGACTGTCGCAGGTTCAGGACAACATCCTGATCACCAGGGTTCAGTTTATAGTCTATGTGAACCCGGAAACGTTGAGTACTCCAAAGTTTTATGTTAGAAATGTTCAGTTTGGGTCCCCAGCATTCAGATGTTAGATGGTATACGTTGGACTATTATTATTATTAGCATTAATAATCATAATGGAATATTTCAGCTACAGTTTGGTGGATCTGGACAATATCGGAGAGGTTGCTGAATCCATTTCGGACTATTTCAAAGTTCAAAATGGGCGTTTTAAACCGAAAGAGGTCGTATCAGGTTGTTGGATGGATTCATTTGGACTTTATGTTCAGGAGTTGTTAATGAATTATTCTCTGTCCCGAGCAGATGGGCGAGCAGTTCAACGGGAGAGTAAGAAGAAGACTGAGAAGGCCGATAAAGCCAATGGAGAGGCTGGAGGCGACAAAGAGGAGGAGGAGGAAGAAGAGGAGGAGAAGGTGATCTTCGTCCACTACGAGCAGAGGAAGGTGATGCAGTCGCAGCTTCACCCTGTCGAAAACGGAGTTTCTGACCCTAAAACTGATCCGCCATCTGAGCTGAGACAGGTACGAGACCGAGGGACCTTCTGAATGACCAACAGGGGGCAGTGCAGTGCTCACACCATCCCATAATCCTCTGCTGCAGGTGTTCCAGACGGTGGCCCGCAGCCAGCCTCTGTTCTTCCTGGACCGATACGACGACGGGCCGCTGAAGTCGACTCACTGGCAGACGGAAGGGCGCGAGGCGAGCATCATCGTGGAGCTGCTCAAACAGGCGTCGGTGCCGCTCTGCCTGCTCATCGGCTGGCTGCTCTCCATATGGACCTGGATCTGTGGCATCCGGTGAGGACGTTAACGGGGAGGAACATGATCAGAAACTCACAATTTAGTGTTTGCTGTTTCCAGGTGTTGGATTTGAACAAACTCCTCCAAGAGAAATCAGTACCCTTTAAAGACGCTCAGCTTGAGTTCTCGTTGGTCCGTGGCGTTTAATCAACAGATCCTATGAAAACACCGATCGACAATGTCTGAATACTTTCTAACTTCCTGTCTGCGGCTCCAGACGCTGTAACTCTTTGTTTTTAATCTTTAGGCTCTTCAGTCTTTACCCGCTGCGCTTCCTGTCCAGTAAGCTGTCCACCTGCGTTCAGCTCAGCTACAGAACCGAACACATGAGGACGCTCAGCTCGATGAAACCGGCCGTCGGACACACGCAGTTTATGAGGTAACTGTTGGTCGAACTCCCCGATGTTCCTGCAGCCGCTCTGGATTGATACTGACGGGTTTATAGTTTGTCTTTAAGGGAATTACACAGCAACCTTTAGATTATTATATATGTGCACGTTTCAGGGGGTTTACCTTCATGTCTGTCTGTCTGCCTGTCTGTCTGTAGGAAAGCCAACATCTTGGTGTCGTTCCTGGTGGACGTGGCTCTGGGCATGTTGCTCATCTGGTGGCTCTACAGAGACAACCACATCACCATGTTGGCCAACACACTGGTGCCTGCAGCTGATGTGAGTGTGTTACATCAGCTGAGATCTGCACAATATATCAGTCAAAAAAACAAAATAACACTCCCCAAAAAATTTCTTTCTGCTGTTTCAACAATCACCAACTCTGATTCGCTCGAAATAAATCCATCATTCACAGAGTTAGATAGAAAAATATTCTCTAAACGAGCTGCAATGGCCGCAACGTAATCTTGGCGCCCTTCAAAATCCATCCACTGACAGTAGTTATTGTTTGTTCCACTAACAGTTGTTGTTGTTTGTCCCACTAACAGTAGTTGTTGTTTGTCCCACTAACAGTAGTTGTTGTTTGTTCCACTAACAGTAGTTGTTGTTTGTTCCACTAACAGTAGTTGTTGTTTGTTCCACTAACAGTAGTCGTTGTTTGTTCCTCTAACAGTAGTTGTTGTTTGTTCCACTAACAGTAGTAGTTGTTGTTTGTTCCTCTAACAGTAGTTGTTGTTTGTTCCACTAACAGTAGTCATTGTTTGTTCCACTAACAGTAGTCATTGTTTGTTCCACTAACAGTAGTTGTTGTTTGTTCCTCTAACAGTAGTTGTTGTTTGTTCCACTAACAGTAGTTGTTGTTTGTTCCACTAACAGTAGTAGTTGTTTGTTCCACTAACAGTAGTAGTTGTTGTTTGTTCCACCAACAGTAGTAGTTGTTTGTTCCACTAACAGTAGTAGTTGTTTGTTCCACTAACAGTAGTCGTTGTTGTTTGTTCCACTAACAGTAGTCGTTGTTTGTTCCACTAACAGTAGTTGTTGTTTGTTCCACTAACAGTAGTAGTTGTTGTTTGTTCCACTAACAGTAGTTGTTGTTTGTTCCACTAACAGTAGTAGTTGTTGTTTGTTCCACTAACAGTAGTTGTTGTTTGTTCCACTAACAGTAGTAGTTGTTTGTTCCACTAACAGTAGTCGTTGTTTGTTCCACTAACAGTTGTTGTTGTTTGTTCCACTAACAGTAGTAGTTGTTGTTTGTTCCACTAACAGTAGTCGTTGTTTGTTCCACTAACAGTTGTTGTTGTTTGTTCCACTAACAGTAGTTTTTGTTTGTTCCACTAACAGTAGTTTTTGTTTGTTCCACTAACAGTAGTTGCTGTTTGTTCCACTAACAGTAGTTGTTGTTGTTGTTGTTGTTTGTTCCACTGACAGACTCAGGTTGTTATTGTCAGTGTCTGACAGCATTATGGAAAGGATCCCTACAGAGATAGACCTTTAGTTTAACCACAAACAGCCATAATATCACTATCACTCTCCACCAGACTCCAGAGACACAAACACTCATTTTACCTTCAGATCATCGTAACTTCATTAAAGTGGACAGAAACAGAATAAAACTCAACATTAATTCACAAATGTAGATGATAAAAACTGCAGTTTCAGTCGCTCTACTCAAAGCCAACAGTTGCTGAACCAGACAAGTAAACGTTGCTCAGGGATGAAAACAGTGAGTGTGACGCCACTTTTTGGTTTCTATTCAAAAGTCAACGTACATTTTAAACTTTTAAACTTTAAAATGTATGCAATGTACAGCAGCTTCTGTAAAAAAACAAGTTACTGCAAGAAAGGTTAGAAATTTAAATCTGAACACAGTAATCAAGGCAAGTACATTTTGACCTTTTGAAGTTTGATAGAAATAATCTGCCGTCCGCTGACGACTGTAATTCTTCCTCAGCATGTGGCCAAAGAGCTGGAGCAGCTGCTGCAGTGGCTGATGGGAGCTCCTGCGGGGCTGAAGATGAACCGGGCCCTGGACCAGGTTCTGGGCCGCTTCTTCCTCTACCACATTCACCTCTGGATCAGTGAGTACAAAAGGAACACACACACACACACCCAGAGCTGTATATTGATTACTGATGTTCTCCGTGTGTCTATCAACCCATTTGTGCCCGCAACTGACATTTACTTTTCTTTTCACACTGTATTTAGTCTTTGGGCACATTGGACTACTGTGTTTTTCTTAAAATGGTTCTTAAAATGACGTTCACCTTGAGGTATGATCTCTCCATCCAGGCTACATCCACCTGATGTCCCCCTTCATCGAGGGGATCCTGTGGTACGGAGGCCTGTCAGCCTGCCTGGGCCTGACCTTTGCCCTGTCGCTGCTCTCCGACATGGTCGCCCTGCTCACCTTCCACATCTACTGTTTCTACGTCTACGGAGCCAGGTGAGGAACCCGGCACAGGTTCAGTTGTTTCCCTCTAACAGCAGACCTCCTGCAGATCTAAAACAAACAAACAGTGAAAGAGTTTGTTCTTCTTGCAGCTGTTTCAGTCTTTAACATCCTCTCTGTGTGCGCTCTGGGTGACGTCACTACTTTACGTTATGTTACGTGCAGAACGTGGCGACGGTGCACGATGTCGCCAAGCCGATTGGCGTGGAGCCGCTATAAAATATAAATATAAATGAGCTCATCTCAAAAACAAAAAGAATAGTTCAAATAACTTCTGGAGAAATATTTTGTTCATATTTCTACATTTAGAAATCGTTTGAATCACTTTTTTTGTCTTCATTTAGTAAAATGTTTGTATTTTTTAAATGTTTGACTCCATTTCAGTACTTTTTTTATTATTATTATTATTATTATGTTTTATTGACGTATGTAACCTTGTAGCTGAGGTTGTACAGATGTTAGGGATGTGAATCATCATATCATCAATCATACTGCAAGAATCACATCACAATAAGCCAAAATACCAGTGTAAGCAGTGACGGACACTTTCTGTTGAGTTCAAAGGGTTAAACTGTTGTTCAAAGTGACCAAATTCAACAGAAACTAAATAAAACTCACTAAAGTCAAACCCTCTGTTTGTCTTTGGACTGTTCCAACAACAATCAGCAACTCTGGTTTGGTTGAAATAAACCTTAAAGTCAGTTAGATGTGGAACGTGTGTGAGATGTTCCTGCTGATTGCCTGCAGGGGGCGTATGTTTCCTACATTTGTCTTCCTCTGTTGCTGTAGTAAAGACACTTTAATCACAGTTCCATATTGACCCGTACATTAGAGTCTCACTTTAACATTTTTCAATGCCACTGCGGGGGTTGAGTGCCCGTTATATTGCCTCCATCTGCACCAGGAGAGCAACAGTGCAAAATGCAACATGACCATCCTTTTTGTTTTTCATTATTTTTCCTGTGTGCTGTTAGACTAAAGGTTCAGGAGAGCTTTAAAAACATAAGGAAATGAACCAAAGAATAAACAGCAGAAGAAGCACAGCCACTACGTCCAAATGCTGCGTGAAGCAAACATTAAGAGAGCGACATTGTTATTATCCCTTCAATTATAACTGGTCCAACGACACATAACTCACCCGAATCTGACTTGCAGAACAGGATGTTTTGTTTTTTACGTCACTATTGCATAACTGGGTCAGAACGCTTGTATAAAATAATTTAGTGCTCCAAGTTGTTTCCTTCAGTCTGCTGCAGTTGGTACACACTCCAACCAGTACAGTCACTGCTAATGGTAGAATATAAGAGTATGAACACGTCCTGCTTCCTATTGGACCTAATGAAAATGTTACAAGGTCACTGGATCCTTCAGAAGCTTGTTCATATTTTCATGTTTGTTTTTTTCCTCAGATTTTTCTTCTAGCGCCACCATGAGGTAGAAATCTGTGTCTTTAAAGCTCCAGTGTGTAACATTACTGTAATATAATGTTCATAGGTATGTTTTCATTAGTGTATAATCAGCTTAGATTGAGACATTTTTATCTACAGAGGGGGCAGGTCCCTTTTCTAGTGGCAGGGTCCGCCATGTTTCTACAGGACAAACCAAACACTGACTCCAGATAGGAACCTTTTCCGAGTTTCATGACTACTGTAGTTTCTCATACATGCTTGAAAGGCGAGTGGTGTAGTTTTTACACACCAGAGGGTATGTAGTGTGTATGTATTGAGCAAAGATGGATGGTTTAATATTCTATAGCTCTGATCTAAACAGATCTAACTGACATTATTATTATTAACGCAACAAAAACAAACAACAGTTCTGAATCTTTAAATTTATTTTTTCAGTTCAGTCAAAACTTAATAAACATCAAACAAACATCATACAACACAAACACTTTAAAATAAATCATGATTAATACCAACCACTAATTTATCTGCTGTAATTTATAATATATATTTCCCTTTTATTGTCTGCAGCAGGCCCATAAGCGCCGACCACCATTGTGGTTTTGACTTGACATCTCAAAATGATGACTCAGTATCACACAAGTCATTATTTTGAGATGCTATGACAATATTTTATTAAGGTTTCTCATTCGAATGACTTAGTCTTTTTTCTCTCATCACATTGGTGGAAAAGGGCTTCCATAGCAGACAAACATGATACAAACATGATAAATGATAAAGGTTTAAAGTTCTCTAAAAATTAGGACTCACAAAGAGAGAGCAACAAAAAGAAATGCTAAAACCTGCCGTGTTACTACAACTTATAGCTGCTATTTACCACCTCGTTCTACATCTGTAATCCTGCTGACAGACAAATTAAAAACTGTCCTTGGTGGAGGTAATGAGAAATGTTGGGCTCTAAATATAGTTTCAGCTAAGTCACTGGTTCCTTTTGTCGTATTGTCTGTTGATCTTCTTTGACAACATGTTGGGGCATGTCCTCACATCTAACATGTCATTAAAGCCTGAGTCTGGTGATATTTTAATTCTCTCACCTCCTTCTGACGTCCATTCAGATTGATTTAAACCAGGAGGACTAATGGCTGTAGAGGCCGATGCGTGGTGTGATGGAAGGCACTGAACACTGTGATAATAGTCTTGGATGCTGGAGGAGAGAGAGGTTTGACTAAATTATGCATTTGCTCTAAAGATAGCTTGGCTCCCTCGCCCCTGGTGCATAATAAAATATTACCCACTTTTCCTTGTTATATATTTATGCTCCAGCAGCTCTTGGAATATGTGTTTAAATTCAGTTTGGGAACCTTTTGTCGAAGTAAGTTATTAAATCTGTATGCCCGGACCTAAAAATACCTCCCCTGCTGCGTTCACAGTCCACTTTCTGCTCCGGAGAGGATGAATCAAACCTTTCCTCGTATTCAGAATTAGCTTCAGGAAGCTTCTCTGTCTTTAAGATCTTTCGGAGGGATAATGTGGGACATTTTAGAGGGTATTAATGAACCCCCTCTCAGTCTTCTTTAAAATGAAACATATATAGGATTACAGTAGAATCCGGGGGTAGTTCTGTTTCCATTTTCTGTCCGAGAAGAAGACCAGGTGAGATACATATTCTCTCCCAATCAATTGCCTGTCAATAATCTGCACATCACACTGCAGTAACATATAAACGAGTAATTTCTGTTGCCTCTTTTTATACACTATGTATGAAGTGAGAGCACTTCCACCATTAAAACTCTGTTGGATCTGAACCTTTGGGTGTGTTGGCAGAGGATGATTCCCCATATGAACGTGTGGCGGTACGTGGTTATAAAGAAAGAAAGAAAGAAAGAAAGAAAGAAGAGAGCTAGGTTAGTTGTATGTATGTTTCAGATCTTCACATTAGATCAATTTTCAACTTCCCCAACCCAGTTCTGTCACTCTCCCTCTCCTCCCCGACTCTCTCCCCGGTTTCCTCCGTCTGTTTGCACCCACTGAGTTATTATTGAACTGGTACTGTCTGTGTGTCTGTCAGGCTGTACTGTCTGAAGATCTACGGCCTCTCGTCTCTCTGGAGGCTGTTCAGAGGGAAGAAGTGGAACGTGCTGCGGCAGAGGGTGGACTCCTGCTCATATGACGTGGACCAGGTCACACACACACACACACATATATACATATATCATAGTCATCATCATCGTCGCAGAGATACAAATGTTCACTGTGAATGTGTTTGTGGGGCTCCAGCTCTTCATAGGAACGCTGCTGTTCACCATCCTGCTGTTCCTGCTGCCCACCACGGCTCTCTACTACCTGGTCTTCACCCTGGTAAGACGAGTCACACGTCAAGAGCTCTGCAACCCTGGTTCCAGACCTCGAAATACTGAAGTCATGAGTCAAAGCACCCTTTGATAATAACCCCTTTTCATAGACAACTGACAGAAATTCTCAAAAACATATTTATTGCCTTGGTTTAATTCAAGTTCTTCCAGAGAGATCAGGGGACACATCAACTCTGTCTCTATTTTCCTGATAATAAGCACCAGATGTTCTTCCCATTAAAGTTCCTTTGAAATTATCAGGAAATGACAGAGCAGTGAATGCTGTTTCAAAGCTTTCTTCACACTGACCAGGAACACTGGTAAATTATTTATTTATTTATATATATATTAAGTAGTGGCCTATAATTAGTCTTAAAATACTGGAATCAGCCTTGAAAATGCCTTTTGTTCCAAACTTTTCAACTACCTTTAACCGTTCCAAATTTCCAATAAAATTTCTCTTGGTTTCCACATTTATATCCCACACTGATGTTCTGCACCAGTGGTAAACAATCCAGACTCATAACTTCATATTTCTTGTGGCTGATTTCTAAATAGCAAATCTACTGTAATGTGTCTGAAAATGAGCTTTGAAGGTTTCATCAGCTGATGTGATCATCAGCTGATGAAAGATCCAACATCACCCCTGCTGACTCGTGTTCAAACGGGTCTGGTGTTGAACGCGTTGGCAGCTGTTTGGAAAAACAACCAGGTCTTAAGTCTTAAGAATGAGGGTTATCTCCTTGTGACAGAACTGGAAAAATAGAGCGAATAGAGGAAAATGGCCACAAAAATGACAATTGTGGTTCGATTATTGTAAGTCGACTCTTAAATCGACATTTTTCTGTCATCAAAATGACAAACATTAAGTTAAGTGTTCCCCCAAATGCTACCGCAGCTTCTGTGTCGACTGAGAATGACGGTGGTAGATGGTAAAATGAGAAACAGATGCTGTTGGGGTGGGTTGACTATCATGGAATATCCTATCGTGATATTTTGCTTTGTGATATTGTATTCATTGAATTCATATTATATTGTATATTTGTGTCTCACAAGCACTGTATTTAACCTCCAACTACGAGACAGCAGTGTTGTAAACTGAGGGCTGTGATGTTGGACGTCACAGGGATTGTTGATCAATACAAATGCAGATCTTACAGTTCTGGTCTTTATTTTACTCAGATTCTACGCAGACGATGGTGTGTTTTTAATACTATGAAAGTTTTCTTAAAATTATCTTTAAATTAAAAAATAAATTGGAATATGTATAGATAGGTATGTAATACACAGCCCTACTTACAAATTGAACCACCTGTAAACTCTGCACTGGGTGTGTTTTGATAGTTATAAATAGAATCTGGGTGGAGTATCTCTGTCAATAGATCATGAAATGTCACTTGTAATGCAAACTAGGAACACATCCAATAGGAGATGATTGGTTTGAAAACCTTTTTTTTTTTTGGTCCATTTCCTAATTAACAAAATTCAAGAGTAGCTGAACTTTCATTTTATGTTGCCTCTGGCAGACACTGTGGACAGAAGCAGTAGTGTTTCTACCCCCTTGTTTCATTGATTTCAAGGGGAATCCGACCTGGTGGCCGACATTAAGAATAACTTTATAGAAATGGCTAATCTTCTCTCTGATGGTCTGTTTATGTAGGTAATATATAGACATTAGTATTAACCTGAGAATGTTTCATAACCAGTTAAAACCTCCTTGTAGTAGGTTGAATATTTATTCATTATTTGCAGTATGATGTGTTTGTTTTTAACACTCGTGTGTCCCTGTGTTGTGCAGTTGCGGCTGGTGGTGGTGCTGTTCCAGGGCGTCCTCCACCTCAGTGTGGACTTCATTAACTCCTTCCCTCTGTTCGCGATGGGCCTCCGCGTCTGTCGCTCCTACAGACTTGCAGGTACGCCGCCATTATCGTCTGTGTGAGACTAAAACTTTGGCAAGATGAAAGTTGAGTTCTAACGGTTGATTAACCTGCTGATTACTAACAACTGTGTTTAGTATGTTAATGAAAAGCCCCAAAGAAAGTTTTCTGTTAGAGGTGGAGACAGAATCTGTTGTGGAAACTGTTGAGACAAAATCAACATTTCTGATTCACATATTTATCAGAACCTAACATTTACGTGTTAAATATCAGTTTTACACTGGATCAAAGCACATATTATTGAAGTTGTTTTGAATCCAATGCTATTTGATATAACTCCTTATAGTCCTGTATCAGGCTGTATTTAGTCGTTAGTCACTAAGAGTTACTCATATAGTCCCACAGGGATACATTATAGAATCTCTTAGGTCTGCACAATGGCAATAGTGGAGCAGTAAAAAGACAGATTGTCATTTTTCTTTGCAGAGTAGGATGAGCGTCCAAAGCTAGAAAAGATGAATTGTCTAACTTGCAATAGAAACATTTATTCTCAGCATTTTGGTACCAGACCTTCATCAGGACAATGGTTTGCCATTGACATTGGTTCCCCACGCGCAGCAGGAAGACATTAATGACGTCAGTTTACAATGTGACGGCCTCCAAAACACATACATGGAGCTGGAAGAGTAGACTATAGTACCATCAGTGTACATAAAGTGGACACAGGCACTGTAAATAAATAAAAAACAGATTTTAATCAACAAACAATATATCTAAATCTCTGTATGTTAAACTACAATAATCATATTTCTCTCCATCAGATCAACATTCAGTACACCGAACAACAGATCACACAGGCTCCCAAAGCAACAACAATGCTTTCATGATGCATCATAATAACAGAAAAACAACAGTGAACAGAAAAGCTCCTGCAGCATTAATGCATGCATATACAAACAGTGACATTTCTAAATGGACCTGAGAGTCTGTGTTCACGTCCATGTGTATCCTGTCTCGAGCAAAGTAGTGAAAAATCCATGTAAGTAGTTGAGTGTAAGAGGAAGGTAATTCATCATTCAGTCCCAGTGGCGTCTGTAGGTGGTGGAGTGACCGGTTCAATGCCACAGAGAATTGAATCTATATTATAACAGCCCAGAACATGTGTATCAAGAGAAACAGATCTGAAAACTTTAACTGGATTTATGCTTTGCTCACTTCAGGTGCTGTAAATACAATAAATGTATTATATTAAAATATAAAAGTATAGACTGCTCAAATTTTACACAGACTTGGCTGCTTCAATTTAGTTTATTCGGGTGGAAAACTGAATGTGTGAGTTCATATTAAATCAGTGATTGTACAGACCGATGGTCGACAACATGATGAGACTTGTACTCTTTATTGAGAGTGTGTGTGTGTGTGTGTGTGTGTGTGTGTGTGTGTGTGTGTGTGTGTGTGTACTTTTCCAGAGGGTGTGAAGTTCAGGGTCCTGTGTGAGGAGCCCGGGACGGCCCTACACCTGCTGATGGAGGTGAGTTGGTCCAGTTCCCTCCAGCTGAGAACAACTTCCAAACATGGAGTCCTTCCACTTTATGTATAATTTATGTAACTTATTAACTAACAAAATTATACAGAGGCTACTCTCAGCATTGTACATAAAAACTGATGTTGATTTTCTAACAGATTAAATGTTTGAATACATTTTATTTTATTTGAAATGTTCCCTCACTGTGATGTTTTATCTTATCTCAGTTTAACACCTGGACGGACGATGCTTTTATTCTGAAGGATTTGGTCCAAAAGTCTTATTAATGTTCTTGTTGTTGTTTATTATTCTGTTTTGCATCCGTGTCTGTTTTGAGAACCTGTATAATAGAGAACTCTGTTGTAGTTCTGGTTGTTTTACTGAAGTCTTTTTCAGTATTTGTTCTTCCCATCAGGCTCTTGTTGTTGTTTACTTCCTCAGATTAACCCCCTGAAGTGCAGCACAGTGGTCCAGACCTACCGCACCCCGACCTACAGCTGTTACCCCAAAGACTCGTGGGCTGCCCTGGTCAAGAAGCTGTTTGTTGGGGAGTTGATTTACCCCTGGAGGCACAAAACCACCAAGACTGACTGAGAGACACCAGCCAGAAATATGGGGAGAGAGAGAGAGGGAGACGGAGAGAGAAAAGGAGAGATGAGGGAACAGAGGAAAGGGAAGTGTCTGAATAAATAATGAGATGGAAACAGACAGATGGGGGTGGGGGAGATGGGGAAAGGGGGGTGAATTCGGTACGAGGACCTTTTTAGAGTTATGCTGCTTTCATGTTAGACGAATGAAGAACGTCACGGAGAGCGAGACTGAAGGTGCCACACTTTATCTGATCGGTTGCTTTCTGATCAGAGTTTTAGAGCACAAACGAACATAAAGACCAGCCAGTAGTCCCGTCCTGCTGTTGTAAGAGCTGTGATCATAAGAGGACATTCAGTTCAGTGTTTTCTTGTGATGTTGAGGTCAGAAATTAAATGAAATATGAGAACTCAGACCTCCTCACTGAGGCTGGAAGGTGAGCATTGATTTATAGTGTTTCTCATAAGGAAACTACACTAAAGGACCAAAACTATTCTTTCTGTGACCTTGTTTTTCTGTTACATGTTGGTGAAACCTTCTGTTTGTATGACCAGCAAACACACACAGAGTTAGTTCATGTACTGGAGTTCACACACTGGACATTTGAGCTCTCGGCTCATTGTGATCAGCTATAAAACACTTGTATTTATGTTCCACTGACTTATGGCACACAGCTTCCCACTGTCATATACCGATTCTTATTGACATATCCCACTCCTAATTCACCAGCAGACACCACTTTTTCCTAGTGATATGATGAGTCAGGGCTGTTTCCAGACTTCTGTGCACAGGAGAGGCACTATTCCACAGGAAACAAACTGCATTGGAGTAGCATAAAGTGTCTGCAATGGGGGGACTCTTGGGGAGCCATTTTTATTCAGATATCTTGAGGTCAGAGGTCAATGGATCCCTTTTAAAAATAGGCATGGCAGACAGCTTCAAGATATGCTAGCATGCTGTGTGTCATACGCTACCAGTATCTTCACTCTAGCTTTAAAACGGAGCCCGCTGCAGCCTCCCTTCAGACAGTGTGGTTTGGTAGAGGTAACATAAAAACGAAGTCACACACAGAGTATGTCAGTAAGAATCGGTATATGTCGCACAGCCAGCTTCCCTCCTCAGAGCCCGGGGGGTGGGTACATGTTTGAAACCCCCTGCCTCACTAACAGTTACTTACAAAAGGAAATAAAAAGACAAGAGAATAGACTAAAAGAAAATATAATTGCCCAGGCAATTTCTTTCCTTTTGTAATTCTCCACGTACAGAGAGTCCTCGCTGCAGCGGTCGAGGGTTCGACTCCAACTTGTGCGCTGTCTCTAATATTTCTGAACCTGGGTCATCACTTCTACTTGTTGCTTATAGAAGACTCCCCCTTTGGTTTCTCCTCCACATTTACAGCCACAGTCACACACAGGAGTCCTACACATTGGATTGAACTTACTCTCATTAATGTCATGCTAATCCTGTCGTGTCTCACTTTTCATGTCTTATCTCGCAAAGTTTAAAAAATGGTAGTGGTATATGCAGGGATGGGGAGAGAAGGTCTGATGCATTAAATGTTTTTTTTTTTTTTTCAATAAATTGATGGCCAGATTCATTTATAGCCTATTTAATAATTATTAACAAACTTTAGTGGCTGAAACTGGTCAAATAAAAGGCAAAACCTCTTTTCTGCCATAAATACCAGATTTAAAGGGTGCTGCAGCCCTACGCCCACTGGTTATATGACAGTGGAAATACCTCTTATAAGTGCCATAAACCAATAGAACCACAGCAGCATCTCAATCCAGACTGTAACGCCACCTCCAGGATGAAATGACAGCTTCTTTACACAAGATATCCCATAATCAAAAAAGTATATGTCATAAAAAATAGAGCATCTAATTATTAGAATCGCTATGTCACCACTAGTACAGTAATATTGAACATCAGAGCTTGTAGAGGGATTTTGGAAGTCGTGTTAAAGCGAGACGATAAAGCAGCCGCTGTGAGCACAGCTGATAATTATGGGATGATGCTAAATGCTAAAACATAGCGTTACAGTAGCACAAGAAAGAACGTGTCATCAAATCAGCGGAGTGACTCAGTGTTTGGCGTTGACATTGCAGACAACCACATCTCATATTTCAAGTTGCGTTTGAGGTTATTTTTAGTTGTTATTATTAATTATTGATAGTTTTTTTGCAACGCTGTCTTTCCCATTTTTGTCGTGATAAATGGGGGCTCGTCCGGGGGGAAAAGGACCCTTAACTCACTCCATAGCTTCTTTTTAAACCCTGGATCCACTAACAAAGGGTCAGAATTCCACTTATAAATCAGGTATTTATGTATTATTAACTGTACTGACCATGTAGATAGTTGTAATGTCTTAGATTTTATATTATTAAAGTATTAAAGAAATTATACTAACTGGAAAAAATGATTTTTTAAAAATAATTTCTCTTTAATATAAAGGTTTTTTTCATTGTTAAGAGCAAAATTAAATGAATTAATCAATTAAATTGTTGTTTTAGGTTAATTTGTTGCCATAGTTACTCCATACACTGGAACTATTGGACTGCAGTTAAGAAGGGTCAGTTTGTCGGCATTAGTCTTCATTTATGTGCCAATTAATGTCATTTTTAATTAAATGTCCTTAAATTCTTAATAACAATCAGCCTGAACTAGCTCTCATTAAAAGAAAGAATCCAACGGTGAGATGATTTCAGACTGTTTCTTTAATGTGAATGATTTGTTTTATTTTGCAACCTGATCATTAAACTGCTAAATGTTTATTCTTATTTTGTCGTTTAACCTTTTATTGTGTCATTCCATGTTGAGCTGTTCTGAACCTTCCTTTGTCATTTAATAAAAATTCCTACATATTTAACACACTGATGTTCTGATGTCAATCTGTTCATAAACGGCTGATGAGAGAATAGAAATATTGCAGCCGTTCGTGATTTAATCTAATCTATAATGTCAATAAGAGACAAAACCCGGAGCTGCTCCATTAATAATTAATTCCAGACAAAATGTATGTGCTTGGATTTAATGGGATTTATTTTAACTATAAACTCCGATCACAATCCTTTCCAGGTTCTGCTGTAGCACGTTCCCGTAATCCTGTGATTGGTATTCATGTTATTATAAATCTATGGATCAGAGGAAGGGCACTTTACTGGTTCTCAGTTGAAAACACTGAATTATAATATTAAAGTTTACATTTTCTTTATGATAGAAACCACACTTCCAAAGAATTATGATTTATAATGCTTTTAATTATTTAGCAGGATTTACACAGACTGTTTGAATGTTTAATGCTTGTGGGTTTAAGTCTCTGCTTGCTTATTGTATGTTCAACTGTGGTACAAAAAGCTTTAATGTTCTTGTTCTCGTAACAGCCTAGAAAGCAATTAATGGAAAACACTCCCCTTTAATAACCAGATTGATGCTTTTCAGAATAAAAGCACTTGGCTAATAACAGAAAAATACTTAATTTGCACAATTTGTTCACAAAATGTTTTAATTTTACTCAACAGAGAGTACATCATGTAATTTAAACGTGCTTTTATTACCTTTAATTAGAATAAAAGGTCAATCTTTTAATTTCAGCCAAATAATGTTTTGGGAAACTGCTGTTGAATAACTGAAGGATATTAACATTTTATGGGTAATAGGGTTGCAAATTGATTCACTGTAAAACTGTAAACATTTTTGATTTCAATGATTTGAGTAAAGGTAACAAAGTTTTTATTGTTGAGGTAACTTAATTGAACTTAAAACTAGTTACTAAAACGGAAATCTGAAGCTTTATGACACAGCGACGCTAACATTTCTATTAATTATATAAAGTCAACTTGAAGAAAATGAGTCAGTGGAACAAACTGGAATTATATCACCAATAATTAAAATACTAATAATGAATTTAAGTTCACTAAAACAACAAGTTATTACTTCAAGTCAGACTTTTTAGGGATTGAGTGACTCCACATTAATTTACTTACTTTTATTAAGATATGCTGTTAGGTTTTACAGCGTATTAAGGATCAATTTATCGATTAATTGTAATTAAAAATACATAAACATTTTCCAGTGCCAAACAATACCACATGTGTTGTATCAGATTACATAAAAATAATCTCTACTAACATATATGGATCAATCAGTGTTTATTTTGGAGCGTGCACACAGTAGTGAGCTCTGACGGGATTAAAGGATGTTGTACCAATAATGATATTAATCATATATACTCTAAACCTGTTACTGGATGTGTTTTACTCATCGTATTTATCTTTAATGAGATCATCCGAGCTGCTGCTGCCAATACGAGACTGTGTGTGTGTGTGTGTGTGTGTGTGTGTGTGTGTGTGTGTGTGTGTGTGTGTGTGTGTGTGTGTGTGTGTAGGTGTTTAGGAGATTGTTCTGGCAAATCTAAAGAGAAGTGAGTCACGATGTTACATAAACAGATTTGACACAGATAGCATCAAACACAAACACTCAGCCTACTACTGTACGTTTCATAAGATCATTCATGTTCCTTCCTGCTGCATTCAGGGACAAACTAACACCTTTATATCTCACTCTAATCTGTTTTATTACAGTGTTTTATACGAGAAAATCACATTAAATTTAACATTTTCAATTCTGATGTCTTGTTCTTTTTGTCTGAAATTTAAAGGAACAGTCCAACAATTCAGGAACTGCTGTTTGATGAGGCAGAAGTAAGAGTTGATATATTTTACATGTCTTTTAGCGTATATTATATATGTGTGTGCGCTCAGATTAAACTAATGTAATCGTTTATTGACTGTAAGAAGGCAAGGTTTCCCAACATTACCTCAAATAATGTCTTTAATTTGAATTAAGGCTGTCTAAGAGTGTCACAATTACACTTTAAGGGGGAAACAATGCAGCTTTATGGTCATAATAAGGTGTTTTTGTCATTGTTCAGTTTGTAATCAGTGAAAAATGAATCATCTTTGTTGTCCACATTGCCCACACCATCTGCGTGGATCTGCTGAATTTAACATTTTCAACTCTTGTTCTTTTCGTTTCATGAAATCAAACATATGGATACAAATATTTGTGCCAAAACAAAATCTGAATTTTAAAGGAACAGTCCAACATTTCAGGGATTAGCAAAGGCTGGTGTATTTTACATGTCTTTTATATAAGTTTAGCCTATATATTATATGTGTGTGCTCAGATTACACTGATATAATGTTCTTTTATTGACTGTAAGAAGGCAAGGTTTCCCAAAATTACCCCAAATAATGTCTTTAATTGTTAATTAAGGCACAATTTCTCTTTGAGGGAGAAAAAAAAATCCTGTTTTATCCTCATAATAAGATATTTTTTGCCATTTTTCTGTTTGTATTCAGTGAAAAATGCATCATCTTTGTTGTCCACGGTGCCCACACCATCCTATCAGACATATTAATACATATATTTGTACCAATAATTCAAGGTTTCTCTTAATAACCCCAAATAATGTCTTTACCTTTAATTAAGGCCGTCTAAGAGAGTCACAATATGACTTTGAGTTTTAAAACAATGCAGTTTAACGGTCATAATAAGGTGTTTTTGCCATTGTTCTGTTTGTATCCAGTAAAAAATGAATCATCTTTGTTGTCCACACTCCCCGCACCATCTGCGTGTTGTTGACAGCACACTTTGACGGACGTTTTTGCTCAGCCAATGAGCGCCACTGCGCACGCCACCGTTGAGCCGGCGTCCAATCGTTGAGCGCGGGGGGCGGGTGTTGACGCGGGAGGGCGGGAACAGAGCGGGGTACGGCAGCGCTGTGGCTGTCAGCGGCGGCACACTCAGTGAGGTTGAGCGGCGCTGAGGAGCCGCAGCTGGGATTATGATCCAATATAATGCAGGAAAATGGACGGAACCGGGTCTGAGATTACCGAGCGCTTCTACGGACATTTGGACTGGACGTAAAAATGTCACTAATGCGTTTTAATCCCGCCGCAGATATCGGTGTTCTCCGGGTGTAAACGCAGAGGGGTTACGGGAATCTTTGTCACCCGGACTGAAGAAAGACAACGGCGGCCTGAAGGCACACGGACGGCGGTTGAAGTCGAGCTACGGTTAGCATTTAGCTCGCTGTTAAAACACTTTTTCTCTCTTTGAACCCAGTTGTAACGGGCGAAGCGACGTTTTATGTGGCTGTGTGTAGCATGGCACAAACCAGTGGCAGTGTCTCTGAAGAACTATCTGGTGACTGCTGCGGGTAACGATAGCACCAGAGATCACAGCTAAGCTAACGGGCTAGCTCTGTGGTAGGGATAGCTTGTTGTTCCTCTGCTAACTTAGCCAGCAGGCTGCTCTTCACTGGGAACAAAAACAGTTTCTTTACTTTCTTTCTTAAGTAGTCAGTTATATCTCAGCAGCTCAGGCATTTCTGCAAATTAGCCACATAGCTTATTATAATTAGCATTCCAGACAATAAGCATGATTTTCTTCTTCCACATTGACTTTTACCACCAAGTCCTGCAGGAGTCATCCCGTCCAGATACAGCTCCACATACAGCTCCACTCACAGCTCCACATACAGCTCCACTCACAGCTCCACATACAGCTCCACTCACAGCTCCACATACTCTTTAAATACCTGTAATATAGGATAATCTGTCACTGAGATAAGGGCTTTTTTTTCTGGCTCAAGAAGTCACTTCTCAGATTGTGGTTACACCTATTTATAACCTGTCAGCCATCAGTGTGAAGGACAGTGCCAGTTGTGTGCATTAGGTAAAGTCCCCCCCCCCACTGAGCTCGTCTTGGGACCAAATATTTCTTATCTTTACCTTTTTAACGATAAGGATGTTTTGCTTTTCAGAACCACATTTTTGGCATCCACCTTGTTTTTCAAGTGGGACATTCCTGTGAGATCGTTGGCTCGGTTTTATCTGGAAACTACCGACCCGCACACAATCTGGAAGACTGTTAAAGTTAGCAGGCAAAACAAGGAAGGGACTTTATGCTGGTGGACCCTCATTCAGCAAGTTCATGGGATAACAAACATCGCCTTTGTTTTGGTGAAAGGAGTAGAATAACGGACAGGAGGGGGTCGGTTGGTTCACCCATCCTTTTTGTGGACTCATCTTCAGCCTCCTGGGCTCAGATGTGAGAGACGATGGGCAGCCAGGGCAGCCCAGTGAAAAGCTACGACTACCTGCTCAAGTTCCTCCTGGTTGGAGACAGCGACGTGGGCAAAGGAGAGATCCTGGACAGCCTGCAGGACGGATCGGCAGAGTCCCCGTACGCTTACAGTAGTGGTGAGTCACTCCGGTCTCAGCTGATCGGGCCCTGCTGGGTCAGTTTGTCCCCTCTCGTGTGTGTCATGCTTGCTCATCACACACACACACACACACACACAAACGTCCTGAACATACTAGCTGCTGCGTTTTGCTGCGTGGACCGTGGAGGACACACAATGAGCCTCTCTCTCCAACACAGTCGTGACTGTATGTGCATTGTTGTTGAGTTGGTGCATAATTTTACTGAGTAAACAATCGTTTTCATGAGCTCATAGTTATAATAACAAGACAAAAGCTTCTAGACCTTTACAGTGAACACATTTTTATTTCCACTCAACATCCTCTCCAGTGTGATTGTACTTCCTCCTTTAAATAAAGGAAGCTGCTAACCTGAATATAGAGAGATACTTTGGTACTGGTATAAACTGCCCGGACCTGTAAGAAATCTTCTGTAGGTTTGATCTTGAATTAGATTATAAGTTTCTAAGACGTCCGTATCGTTGGCTGCATTCAGGATCACCGGCTCGTTCAGCTCCATCCTCCCCGCTGTGAAGGGGGGAGGCTGATGGAGCTGTGCCCAGTCAGATGATCCCTCCCTGGCTGTAAGAGCTCAGATCACCTGGCGCTCTCACCCGCCGCCGTTGCTCCGGGGGCTGACAGCCACTATCTGATCACCGCCTGCTGCTGCAGTGAGCCGGCGGTCTGTGGCGGTCTGTGGCGGTCTGTAAACGCACACTCACTCCCACTGCCGCCAGAGGCAGCCCGGGGCAGATAGAAAGTTCTCCAAGGATGTTTCAGCCCATTTAATACAAACATCACTGCTCCATAGTGTTTTAGATTGCAGTTATCCCACAACTTTTCTATACTTTTCATAATAAGAAGCCTTTATTTGAGGCATAGCGTGGTTTTTATAAGTACCAAATTGCTGCTGTTCCTATTCGGTGCCTGAGGTTTTGCTTTGTTGTTGCTGTTTTCCCTTATTTCTCCAAATCAGTGGCAGTTTGAACTGCGTTTCCCCAAAGGAAAGGAATTATAACTGTTAAAATACAGGAAAAAAAGCCTCGCCGGTGGGAGTAAATCCGTTTGAGTGGGTCGCTCGTATTAATTCCACATATGGAAAACACTTTATCACAATAAACATCCTGCTATTAGCGTCGGTAATGTAGCACAAATCACTCTGCACCGAGAGCTGCATTACAATGCCGACAATAAACGCAGACATGATGCTCAGTGTGATGGATCACCTCGACGCAGGCAGCGTTCAAATGTCTGCACATTATATTTAATGTGTAAGAATCAGATGAAAGCAGCAGCTGCACCGAAGGCTGCGAAAACACAATTTAAAGTACAAAAATGCATCGAAAAGTTTTGTAAATTGGCTTAAAAATACAAAAAAACGTGCTAATTTCTGAAATGTGAAACAGTCCTCGCCCAGAGACGCTGTCGGAGACGATTCCTCCCCCCAGTATCCGTTTCGGTTTTCAGATGAAGAAGATTTCCTCCCCTCGGGATGAAAGCAACTGTTCATGAAAAATACATCAGTCAGCAGATTGACCCCCTTTTTTCACCAGTGCTTATCTAATGAGTTCTGCCAAAGGGTTGATGCAGCCTGTTGGCATTTGGCAGCAGTGTGAAGACCTTCCCGGGTCATGTGTGTGTACGCTCACACTGACTGAAGGCCAAACGCTTTCACTCCAGCAGCTGACGGTGATTTACAGACAGGTTATCATTGCAAAGGAGCTGATGAGAGTCTGAAGCTGTAGGTTTTATACAGTTAAATCATGTTCTCAGGTAAATAATTTAGAGGAGAAACTTAATCAGCATTTTCATAATCAATTAATGGTTAAAATGTTTTTTTTAAGCATAAATTCTCTTCAGTTGTGTGGATTTGCTGCTTTTAAAACATTATTAACTGGATAACTTTGGGTTTTTGGTCGTACAAAGCAATTTAAAAAAAGCTTCCTTGGACTGAGTTGTAACTATTTTCTGATCAATTATTAATCATTAAAGAAAATATGAATGTGAATTTGCAGCCCAAGCACTTTAATACCACACTGCTGCCTAGCAGGGCTCAACAATTAGGATTGCCTGCTAGCCCGGGGGCAAGTAAAATGCTACGTAGGGCTAGTAAATCTAACAAAGATAAATAATTAAAGAGCTGAAGCCATCTCGCTTCCTTCTCACCTCCGTTGAGGGCTGCACACGCTCAGTACTGATTGGACACTAGAAACGGGTTTAGTTAGGTAGCGTTAGAGGATGTAGATGAAACTCCAACTATGTATTTGCGCAGTTTGATGCTTCTCGCTCGCATTGAAAGAAAGAGGATCTTTGTTGTTATTTGATTGATAACCAATAATGAGTAAGACAATCGACCAATCACATCCTATAATCGTCTTTCCGAGCCTGACCCTCTCCCGAGCAGCTTCCACCGACGCGTCCCCCTCCAAGAGGAAGATGTCCTCATTGATGCGCGCGAGATCAAACGGCGTCATTAAATATGGAGGGCGGGGGGGGCAGCTTCAGTCGGGATGTTTGTGCAGACAGAAGCTCGGTTATTGATTTCCATCCCTCTGGCTAACAGAGGTTAGCATGGAGGGGGACGCTTGTGAGGAAGATAAATATTTTAGGAGGAGAAAATCAGGACAGAAGAGCAGATTTTAATTGGATGGCACTGTCCTCGGGCTACGATTGGTTCCCTGCCTGATCCACGGACCCGTCCATCAGTGATTGTGTGCTTTATTGATCAGAAATTTGGTGACAGAATAGTCGTCTGTTGTCCCTATTAAAGGCGTCTGTGCTGGTGGAGGACGGGGTTTCCAACAGTGGGCTTTGGGTTTTTGTGGTTTATCAGTGTAGTACATTATTTAGCATTCTGCTGACGCTGAAACAATTAGTTGATTTATTGATTTGTTGATGGACAGAAACCTAAAGTAGAAGTAAATTGGGAACTGATTAATCACTTTCAAACATCGTCTGCTTCCAGTTTCTCGTATATAAAGATATGACTGCATGTTAGATCTGTTTGGTCGTTGGACAAAACAATCAATTTGAGGGACACCCTAGTCTCGGAAAGGTTAGTTAGTTAATTATTCAGTAATTTGAGTGAAAAGTGAAATGCCATTATGATATTATCTCTGAATCACCTTGTGTTCTGGGAGATTGGGAACTTTATGACATTATAGACAAACCGATGAATCAGTTAATTGTATTTGTATTTGTTTGTGTGTATTGGTAGGTATACACGATACGCCGGTATCGCTTTCTGAACTGAATTTGTATTTAACACAGTAATCCAACATCACAACCCTCAGTTTACAACACTGCTATCTAACGGTCCGGGGCTTTAAACGCACAGGTTTTCACTATCAATACAATACCTTGAACAATATATCAGTTAATCACAATTTATCACAGCACAAGTATTTAAATGTGTTGTCCAGAGCTGCCAGCGGACACAATCCTTATAAAACTGTTCAGCATATACAGAAGTATTTTGATAAATCCAATGAAATACCTCACAAGTTACCATAAAGCATTTCTGTGCATTTATTTCCAGTGTTGCTCACAATAACCTAATAATAACCTAATAATATTAATAATAACAATGGTAACAATCTATATATATTTAAGGGATAGCTATTTCAATAAAGACAATCTCTATTGTCCCTCGTGTTTGAAATCATTTACAACTGGTTTCTTGGTTGGTATCACACTCAGGACATTATAGACTCAGAAAGGGAGGCTTTGGGAGGCTTTGGGGGGGGGTGTTTGTGTGCTTGGCTTACAGATAATTTCTGAGGGGGATCTTGAGATGATTTCTTCACACTGCGATAAGGTTTTGAATTTCCCAGCCGGTTGATGTCAGCCATCAGATAAGAGCCGCCTCGGAGGGAAGAAGAAGCCAATTAAAATGCAAAAAGCAGGTTGAAAAGAGACTTTTCGGTGCAGCTGCGAGACTCTTAAATCTCTTTTTTTCCATTCAGCGCACACTAACAATGGAATATTCCCCCGGGGGGGTCGCGCAGCCACGGCGGCCCATTGTTCCCCTGTAGCTGCACACTGCCTGTTATGACAGTGGCATATCCATACACAACGGTTATCGCTGGATGCAGACCAGTGCAGAGATAACCCCCCTCTTATACTGCCCTCCTGGGGGGCAGTGGGCTGGAGAGTGTTTGTAGGTAAATGAAATCCTCTTGAAAGACTCAGAGTTTAGCAGATTTCTTCACAACCTCTCGATGTTATTCTACGATGGAGTATTCGGGCCATACTGAGAGGAAAAATAAATAAATACAATTTTGGAAATTACGAGAATAAAATCGTAATATTACCAGAATAAAGTCATAATACCAGGATAAAGTTGCAATATTACCAGAATAATGTACAAAAGAAGCAATTTCTTCCACGTCTGTGTGGTTCTTTCTTCGAAATAGTTTAGTCGTTTGCACAATCCTGATACTGATTAAGTATTTCCTTATTTGTGAAACCGATACCAAAGTATAACTTCACAAGATGCTCAACATTCCTCATTTTAACTCAGCGGGAAGAGTTCTCATAAAAGTACGACTTTATTCTCGCAATATTACGACTTTATTCTCGCAATATTACGACTTTATTCTCGCAATATTACGACTTTATTCTCGCAATATTACGACTTTATTCTCGTAATGTTACGACTTTATTCTCGTAATGTTAAGACTTTATTCTCGCAATATTATGACTTCATTCTCTTAATGTTACGACTTTTATTCTAGCAATATTCTGACTTTATTCTCGCAATATTACGACTTTATTCTCGCAATATTACGACTTTATTCTCTATTCAAATTTTATTCGAATTACGACTTATTCCATTAAACACTTTATTCTCGCAATGTTACGACTTTATTCTCCAATATTAACTTTATTCTAAAAAGACTTTATTCTCGCAATATTACGACTTTATTCTCGCAATATTACGACTTTATTCTCGCAATGTTACGACTTTATTCTCGCAATGTTACGACTTTATTCTCGCAATGTTACGACTTTATTCTCGCAATGTTACGACTTTATTCTCGCAATGTTATGACTTTATTCTCGTAATGTTATGCCTTCGTCGTGTTATTCACACCTGCAGATGTGTTTAATATCCACTGGTAGTCCACGGTAGTCTTAGTTCTGGGTCCAGGTTTTAAAGTTTGAATATAAGGCTGCATCCAGTCCGATAGACCAGCTGTGTATGAGAACAGCCTGTCCACCTGCTTTATTAATCCCCTGTACAGATGTTGGTAGTTGATGATGTGTTTCCCAGCCACAGAGTCTCTCAAGGGTCATATTTATTTATTTTTTCAGTGTGTAGAGTTTCGTGTGCGTCCCTCATTGTAATTAATTCCTTCGTTCTGTTGGAGGCGGACAGATGGCGTGTTTTTGAGGCAGATAGTGATATTTGAATTTTTTAATAATGCAATAGGGATGTAAGAGATTTTAACCCAGGGGTTCCCACACATGCTGGAAAAACCTGGAAATTCTAGTTCTCCACTCTAGGAAACATCTGGAAATAGATTTAAATGTTACGGTTAGAGAAAAAGCTGTGGACTTTTTCACAGCAGCCATTTTGACATGAAGTAGTCGGGTAAACACAGGTGTTACCAATGACACCAGTAAAGGTTATGCTGGAAATGCTCTGCTACACTAAATGGAACTGGGTCCTGGAAAACTAATGTGAGCGCTCTCTGGTAGCAGACTGTGTAACAATGTAATGGAGAAACAGTTTCTATATCTCCAATAAGCTGGTACTGGCTGATTCATTGCCCCACCGGTTTATATCCGTGGTATTTAATGAGCTTTGGCAGCTCATTCTGGATGCAGTTTTTATGATATTGGATAATAATGTGATGCCTTAAGCCCGCTCTATCTCCATGATGTTGGAATAATGAATGACACAGAGAGGCACACGTGTTTCTGAGCCAACCGAGCCGCCAATTAAAGGAAAAAGAAATGTTCTTGAGTGTCAAATGTTGAAGTGTAGGCCTGAGGAATGAAATCTGTTTAATTAGGCCACTTTCAGCAATGCACTGCTTTCTGTAGTGAAGTCTGATTGATTATTTATATATATATATATATATCAATAGATTATCTGCATTGCACTCTTTACATCCACACTTTGCAGCATTCATCAACACCATTAATGTTCAATTCATTTCAAACACCATTAATCTTTTATTAAGTAAATTAATTAAGTGGATATAATAGTGAATATTACCGTCAGTGTTAGCAGTGTTTCTTTTAGCAGTGGGGGCAGGCCCGTCCGAACACCCCCCCCCGCGGCGGGATAGCTGTGGAAGAACAGGTGGCTTATGGGAACCTTTCTTTTATGGCTTATACTGTCAGAAATATTATAACACAGTTCAGACTGATGTTGCAGTTTGTGAAATAGCTTCAGCTTTATGGGAAATGTTACTTCATGCTCTGGATTAACCAGACGCACACATACGGCTCGCTGTCGGCTCAGTGTTTCCATAAGCAGCGTCTCAGCTGATTTTGTGGAAAATGTGCTAATGATAGAGAATTACATCCACTGTGAGTGAGGATTTTACTAGAGTGTATAAAAACATCTCAGACATGAGAGTAAAACCAGCACCTCTCTGCCACAATCTCCACAAAGGCAGAGCGCTGAGAGCTTCACACGGCGTCGAGTACATCCGAAGAACAAACAAAGTCATCCGACTGACTCCCAGAATAGAAGCAGCAGCGTTCAGCTAAGACATCAGAGACATCAGAGACATCAGAGGAGCTATTGATTATCTGGGATATCTAAGTGAGCCCTGGCAACGAGAGGAGAGGAAGCACTTGGTACGAAGCCCTGCACTCGCTCCAATTCAATTACACTAGCCTGAGCTCAGCACTTTAGCTCAACAGCAGCTTTATGCTGCCTGGAAAATTGGAAGATATTGGTAATGTCGTTAGCCAGCAGCTGCTAACCTGCCAGAGGCTGATGCAGTCATGTGTGAGAGTCTGGGAACCGGGAAGGCTTGCTCTGTAGCTGTTTCCAACATTAATGCTGCGTTTATGTCTTCTTCTCCCAGGAGACTTAGTGTCTAATCTTAATACACATTCACCATTTGGTGTTTGTTGAGTTTGCACTTAAACTGGCGTTTTATCCGTGTGAAAGGTTTTACTCATCAGACATTTTGGATCTTTAGCTCGGCCGCTAACAGGGACGAGATGCAGTATTATCGTGTATCGCGATAAAAAACACTTTTCTAATATCGTGACAGTCGTGAATGGTGGTAATTGTGAATATCCTCACGTGGCTTGACTTGAAAAAGTGTGTCCAGCTCAGCAGCACACAGTCCTTTATTGATTCCCTGATTTATTTTGAACAAGGGGGACAAAGGGGGGGAAGCCCTGGTGCATCTTTACAGTCCAGAATCCTAATCCTGTCTCCAAGGCTGAAGGCTCGGCTTGATTTATATCCACCACAAAAGAAGTTAAACTGGGTGTGTGGAAATAGTGTAGATTGGACAATAAAGAATAGGGTGAGGAGGTGTTGTTGTGTATCGCAATTATTGTGTCCAAGATAATCGTGAGAGGAAATTATCGACACATTCCTGGCTGCAAATGTGTTATGTGTCTCAGTTTAACATTCACTTATCATTATTTGTCTTTAGTTCAAAATAATTGTTAGTTAAGTTCCAGATCTAGCCAATACCCATAATATTATAAAGGTGTTATTATGGATTATTGTTAACAAATGGCCACTAAAGACTAAAACCAACCATGTGTCAGTCTGTCTCTGGGTGCTTTCTGTCTGCGTCTCTCAGCTCGAGCCCATTGTTGTGTTGTGTTGTTTTAACAAACGTTAGTCAAACAGGGGGAAATGTTTGTTGGTGACTATGTTCAGTGGCGGATTAATGCCCAACGTTGTGGCTCATTTGGCTCTTTTATTAGACTTTGTTGACGGTAAGAAAAACGATTTAATATAAAATGAAATAAATAAAACAGCCCTCAACATTTAAACTCACAAACATCTTATAAGACGTTGAAACCCTGATTATCCAGTGGTTCACCTGTTTGGCCTCAGGTGGTACCACACTCACTGGAAACCACGGGAACCTGGCGAGCAGATCAAACATGTCGGGACGTGGAGCAGCAGGGCGACAGGTGTAGCAGTCAGACAGGTTCTGTCAGATGAGCTAAACAACGGGGCAGAACTGTTAGTGCCCGAGGCCACTCACTGCTGAGTCAGTAAACACGGTTCAAACTTTCACTGCTCCAGTTGTCAAATGTTGAATGAATTGACGTTACGACTCTACCGGACGCCATTTTGTCATCTTCAAAATGTGAGAATGACCCGCAAATATTCAAAGCTTCAACGGGAGTTTGGGAGGGTTAAAACATCTCTATGTGGCTGAGTTGTGTTCTTACATTATCCCAAATGCTTCCAACAATGTTCAAACTCACTACTTGTTTCTAGTGGCTATAACTTCCAGGTAGCTCACCTCATTCGTGAGTAACGTCAGGTAGATTTCAGATCAGTGGTGAATGAAGACTTCCCATGATCCAGTGCTACTCCACCATGCGTCTTTTGTTACTGTTTTGATGTGTGTGAGATTACGTGTTGTACATGCATCCATCTGCCTAACGCCCGTCTCTGTCTGCCCTCCTCTCTCTGTCCAGGTATCGACTATAAGACCACCACCATTCTTCTGGACGGGAGGAGAGTGAAGCTGGAGCTTTGGTAAGCACACGACAACCTGTTGCTGTCTGCACAACAGAGAGAGCCACTGCTGCTCTTTTTCTGGCGTACACGCTTAAATCCCTCAATGCAGCACTGTTCTAGACCTCCTGGACCTTTAATGGGTTCGTTCAGCCAGATTATAAATTATAAAACAATGTTTTCTCAGTGCTATAAGTCTCAAACCTGATACATAGACTTTATAAAAGAAGTTTCTGGAGCCAGAAGTGACCATATTTAGACTAGAGGGTGGAGCTGGCATAGTCAGGATAGCAAACGCTACGTTATCAGCTGACATAAGCTAGCTTCATGAGCAAAGTGCATCCATAATTCGTGTTAACTGTGATGAAATTGCTAATTTTAGCTCGTGAGAAACAGAAAACCTGGGTGTCTTTCAGTACAACCGAACACTGAACGAGGTTGTTGGCCCCAAACAGCCAGCGTCGATCAGATGTTAGTTGTAAGACAGACACAGTGACTTTGTGTTTGTAGGAGTGTGCCTGTAGATTTGTTCGAGTTCTAGGATAATCACAAATGTAATTAGCTCGAATTGAAAAGACAGGATTTTGTATATTGGCTGAACCGACTCTTTAACCTCTTGAATATTTTGGACCTGCTGGTCGTAAACAAGTCTTGCTGTGCCATCAAACATTGTTCAAATCCACAAAACTTAACTTCAAATTTCCAAAGATCCCAAATATGTCAGGCAGAATTTTGGGGAAACGTGTATAAAATGATGCACAATGAATATTTCTGTCTGATGGAGCCGAGCAGCCATAAAAAAAGTCTTGGGTCTGAATATTTCATTCACAGAGCTTCAATGAAGAGTTGGAACAACATGTTACAGAATATATATCTGATCGTGTCAGACAGTGAAAGCTACTTAAGGGAAAAACAGGAATACTGTTTGTCAGGGTGGGAACATTTACATAATATAACACATCACATTTTAAAAGAGGAGAAGGAGAAACATTCAAAAACACAGAGTAGGAAGGTTTATATAATGATTGCAGAAAGATTACACAGACGAGAAGATGTGGAAGACTGTGAGTGTGTTTAACCCAAACTGGATGACAGGCAGCAGAACAACGATCCATCTTAAATCCACCAAACATAAAAAGGTGTCCTGGTTACATCAGGTGTTTACTCTTCAGTATCATACAGATCCTATCCAAACAGCTTTGTTAGTCTAATATTGGCACACAGAGAAAAGTGCCCTGCGTATTGTTACATGCCTCAGAAATAATGTTGCGTCAGAGATGCAGCAGATGTGTGTAATTGTCAGTGAAGACATGCTGCAGTGCGAGGCGAGGCCTGTTTGGTGGAAGTAGGCCAAGGAATTCAACTACTCAGGGGAGAAGCAACGCCTTGTCTTCCTTGCGGAGAAGTTTAAAGGCAGCGCTGTGATGCAGAATCTTCTTTATTTCTGCTGCGTCAGTCTTTCCTCCGCTGCTCTCTCTCTGTCTCGCTGTCGTTTTACTGTCTAAATGTTGTCTTTCTTCTCACTCGCACTCTTTAACTCGCCCTCTGCTTCTTTTCCATTCCTGTCTCTGGTGCCATCTGTTTCTGTCTGTGTATCATGACTCAGTGTCTCTGAGGTGGCAAACGAGAACGACTGCAGAGAATAAAACCTTAAAGCGGGGTCTGGTGTTCTTCTGTATTTTTATTATCGACAAAAAATCACACGAAAAGACCAAAAACCAACAACTAATGTCACATAATCCTTCTGACAAGTATTGTGTGTGTCAGAGTCTGAGCCTTAGAGCTCCTTTGTCCCTAAAAACTATTAAAAACACATCAATGAGTCTCACTGTCACTGGGTGCCTCATTACCACGAACACACACACTGTAGTTTATTCTAGTATACTCAGTCCCACAGACACCGTCCTGCTGTCCCAAATACTCACTACAGCACCGAACGTGGTTTCATCCGCCGCTAAAAATAGTCCCAGCACTATTTCTTCCTGTTTGTTTGATTAAAAACTACAGTGAGCAGCTGTAAACAAACTCTATGAAGCAGCGTACACAACCTCCTGAGTCGTCTTCTTTAAATTAAACTGTATTTGTGAGGAAGTCAGAACGTATTGGGAGTTGGACTGATGCTGCATTCACATGTAAACTGTTTTATTAATACATTTGTTTTTAATACATTGTAAGGAAGGTCCTGTCCGTCTGTCTGAACCGTTGTGAATGCAGCATGTTGGTCCTTTCATGTGATTCGCTGACAATAAGAAAAGTGAAGCTTTTTCTTTACACTTACAGCTTCACCGCTGACTGTTGTCACCTATAAGTCCCTCCAGATGGGGGACTGACTGAGTTTATGTTTCTCATTCATTTAGCTGTTCGACCATTACTTTATTAGAGCAGTGGATCTCGACTGCCCACATTTTCCGTTGGCCATAAAGTCGCCAAAACCCACTTTTATAGAATTCAAACAGAGCAAATTTGTTTTTCAAATAGGCTATTAAACACATGTTCGAGGTCATATTTTCCTCCCTGCAATCAGAGCACATTAGCATCATAACCACATGCTGCTGGCTCTAATATGAATGCAACTAGCACCATCACAACGGGCTAAAAGTCAGACCTCAGATAGCTCAACATTTAAAATAAATGTACGTGGCACAAACTCTGAGACACATTCAGAACGAGCTGAGCCACCAGTTGAGATGACAGGAAATGATGTGAGAGAGAAATGGGGAATTAAATTCAACAAAGGTTGAATCAAACCCCCCTACAGGCCACAAGGGCAAACCCCCCATAGATTGTGACGGTTTAATGAACTGATTGCTATCCGTTCATTAAACCGTCGTCAGGCTCAAAGAGTAATATATATTGGTTTGAGGATTTCTACGTCTGATTGCACCTTTTATTAAAAAGCTGATATTGGACTGTCAGTTTGATCCGATGAGACAGGTGAGCATCATTTAACTCTTTAACAGACGTTCATAAAACCGGTGCTGCACCTCCTGCCTCAAGAAGCAAACAACATTTCATAAGTGGGGATGTCATTTCTGGTAGACTACACAATACGTGATCGACAGATGATTTTCTGTCAGGCGTCACTGAACGAACGCACCGAGCTCTGACTAGTCTTTGCTGTTCACTTCAAGACTGGAAGAGCAGAGCAGCTGTGTTTTTTCAAACACTAAAAATAGTTTCTAAACCTGAGGTGCCAAACAAGCTGTGAAGTTGTAAAGTGATGCTTTTTCTTTATATCTGTAACATCTGTTTGAAGTAGCCGTTGGCAGGGTTTGTAGAAAGACAACAGATCAACATTATCGTCTACAGTGAACACTCACCTTCAGTCGCTGTAACATGTAGACTCTGAGGCTGAGAGCTGCCACTAAAATGCTACTAGAATTAATAAATTAGGATTAAAATGACTTAAACTAGTCTAAGAAATATGAATATAGTCATCCAGATATATGTGATAAACATTCAGTAAAAGTAAAGAGTGTTGCTTTAAGACGGTATCAGTAGCTCTACATATTTTGACTGCTGCTTGCCTTGTGGTGCTCCGTTTGAAGAGCTCCTCTGAACCGATATGAGAGTTTGATCACTGCTGCCTCTGCTGAAACCGAAAGGGTTGATTTGTTGATGAAAAATTCAGGCCAGTGTTTCGTCCTCGGTGCTGAAACCTGCTGCTTTTCAGGCTATTGAGTCCACAAAAAAAGTTTTACTTCTTGACTGGTAGTTGAAGACATTCTAGCTGACTGTTAATCCTCATTTCTACTTTTTTCTTTCTGTCTTCAGGGACACTTCAGGACAAGGGAGGTTCTGCACCATCTTTCGCTCTTACTCCCGTGGGGCTCAGGTGAGGAACAAACTGCTTAAAAAACTGAAACCGACTCCACTCTGCATGAAGCTACCTGCTTAACTTGTGTCTGTCTGCCTGGCTGTCTGTAGGGGATCCTGTTGGTGTATGACATCACGAACCGGTGGTCCTTTGATGGAATCGACAGGTGGATCAGAGAGATTGATGAGGTGAGTCTAAGAGATGGATGGATGGATGATTGGTTTGATGGATGTTGGTGGGGCATTGAGCTCTGGATGAATTAGAGAGGAAGGTGAGAACATTATACGTACTGAAGTCCAGGGTCTGTATCACAAAGCCAGGTTAGTAACTCGGGAAGTGGGTTCGCTTATAACCGAGGCAGCAACTCTAACCCTGACTTATACTGCATGGCAACCCTGTTCCAGTCCAAGATAACGATCTCTTCTGATCAATTACATCACTGGAAATAAAAGACATAATTTAAGAGCAATAGAAAGTGTTTTATAGATCAGTAAAACCACTTGCAGTGATAATTATGTCAGAGATTGAAGACTACACCAACTGCTATAATAGTGGTGATTATGTTTGTAGATTAATTGGGTTTCATTAATTCCTAACAGGGTTCCTGTTAACTGATCATCAGCTTTATGATATTCAGTATTCATATTTGTGATACAGGTTTGTTGAGGCAACATTATTAGGAATCACCCCATTAACTTTCATTGTTATGCAGATGATACCCAATTATATCTGTTGATAAAGCCTGATGAAATTAATCAGTTGACTAAATTACAAGGATGCCTTAAGGACATAAAAACCTTTTCTGATGTTAAATACCAAAGTTCTTGTACTTTTTCCCAAACAAACACAATTACATTCACATATGAGGGAATGTGACAGATACTAAGTTCTCATTTAGTTGTGGATCAGTTTGGATCTTTAAAGTAACTCGTTAATAACTGTGATCTTTTACAGTGAATAGATGTTGAGTTTTCCCTGGACTGTTGGCCGTAGAAGAATAGAAAAAATAGAAAAAATATCAGAAATTAAATATTTTTCAAGATGTTTTGCGGTTTTAAGGTTGTAAGTTTTTCGTCTTATCTTATTTTCGCTTTCAGGCCTCAGCAATTACAAACATGTCCCTGTTTATAGGATGGGACAAAGGGTCGATGGGAGTTAAGTGAATCACTTAAGACAACCTGTGTGTGTGTGTGTGTGTGTGTGTGTGTGTGTGTGTGTGTGTGTGTGTGTGTGTGTGTGTGTGTGTGTGTGTGTGTGTGTGTGTGTGTGTGGGCTACTCTCATCATGTCCTTCCTGCTGACTGAAACAAAAAGGATGTCTGTGTGTGTGAGAGATATTTTTGGCCTGTGGAATGTATGTTTCAGTTTGGCCTTTCCTGCTCCACCTCCACCGACACGGTGTGGTCGGCCACTTTTTAAAAGACAGAAATAAAGCAGAGATGGATGGATGAAAAACGTCTGGATGGTGAAAGTTAACGTTTGTAAAGAAGATAAAAACAGATGTAGAAGTTCAAAGGGCACCATTTACAGTAATCACTGGTTATGTGATGTATTATCAGGCAGTTTTGCTTTTAGTTTTATTAATTTATACATTTCTGGATCAACTTATTATCAGTTGGTGTATAAAATATCAGAAAATAGTGACAAAGACCTCACATTTTTCCAGTGTTATAATATTTTGTCGAAATCAAAAGATATTCAATTTAAAACAAAATGAAACAGAAAATGAAGAAAGAACTTAATAAAAAAAAGATAAAATAGTTGCCTTCTTTTAATGAACTAATCGTTACATGTTGGTATCTCAGTGATATGGGATTATATAATGGCATCAACCCAGCACAGTTAGTACTTCTTCTGTAGTGCCATAACCACTCGCTGTATCTCCTTGACAGCTAGTGTAACTGACAGTAATTGTACAGTATCTTATCTTGTTTTTGACAAAGTCACCTCATTTTCAGTCATAATGGCAGCAGAGGAAGACGAGTACAGCTGGTTTGTGTTGAACAGAGTTGACTGTAATTCACTGACATCTCTCACAGTGACAAGAAACGCCTAAATACAAAGACTAATAATACACGTCATTTTTATTTACCAGCGACTTCTTATCGTCCCCAAGGGGAAAATTCATCCTGCAACCGGGTGGAACAGAGAACATAATAACATACACAGCACATCAGTATATCATACAATACATCTAGCCGTCATTATCAACCCAGTTATCACTAGTTAAAAGAACATTACAACCCACGGACAGAGGAATGGCTCACCCTGTTAGACCTTTACTCTTTAGCCTTTGCTAAGCTGAATATCCATCCTGAGAGTGGAAGCTCAGTCTCTCAATACAGCGAGCTCTCCAGCATCTCTTTGAAATTGTTCTGTTGTGGAAAATGTGAGACAAATCAAGCAGTTGAACAGCAACGACACTGGCAAAGTACAAACCCTGACGTCTGTAGAAACCTCCAGTATTTGCTCCTACTGCTTTTTCCACCTTCATCACCACCACCACCACCACCGCCGCTGCTGCTGCTGCTACAGCCGTTACCCTCTCCTCTGGGACCTCTGCTGCTGCAGCCGCTGGTACAAGACCGACCTCTTTGGACAGACTCTGGGCATGAAAGGGCTCAGAAGAGAGGCTGATGAGCGGTGACAGTCAGAAGGAGTGAAGGAGTAAAGGAGGAGAGAGGTCGGCCGCTCGCTGCCATCATGTTTCATTCAGTTTGTCAGAACAGATGAGCATGAATTAGAGAGACCGATACACGCCGTTCCCTTCAGCGCGTTGAATTAATAACGAGCCTCTGCTCAGGTCACTTTGTATGAACGTAAAGTCTCTCAGTCTCTTTCTGTTTCTGTCTGATGCTTTTAAATCAGCTCGAGATTCTGCAGAGATTATTATGTAAGCAAATCTTTTCCGACAAAGGTGTGAAAAATAAAGGGACGCCAGCTGTGTTTACTTAAAATCCTCCAAATATTCAGGGATTGGGAACCCACCCCATTAAAGCCAGTGGGGCTTTTCCTCTGGCAACAACTGTAACTGAACACAATAACTGCAGGAAGTTTGTGTAAAACCAACAGTTTGGATGAATTTGGAGCAGATTATTACCTGTGAATATTGATCAGAGATGAGTTTTTCTGATATTTTTAGGACCTTTTTATGCATTTCTCTGTTGGTATTATGTTTGTGTTCATTTATTAACAATAGTACAGATTAATAGGCTGCTTCTTTGACAAATTACGTGTTTTCTTCTGCCTGATGCTTCTTCTATTAGCTCTTTGGCTGTTATAACTGTAAACTTTTTAATGCAAGACTGCCTCACGGGTTTCCGAACCCCCAGGTTGGGAACCACTGTTCTTGGGTAATCTAATCAGTACCGTAACTGATAAGATTTCTTGCTCTGGATCAATATGTTGGTCACTGTCATCCCTAACCCCCAACTAAAACTAAACTAAGCTATTTATTTATAGAAGGTGGCTCTTGTACCACAACAGTAAAAGAGACGCAGGTCCAGTAACAGCAGGCAGAGAATAGTTACCTTTTAAAGTTACAGAGAGAAATAAGTGTTTTAATATAAAATGTTAATTCTCTCCTCTGTTTTGAATATCCCTTCCCAGCATGCCCCAGGCGTGCCTCGAATCCTCGTTGGTAACCGTCTACATCTGGCCTTCAAACGGCAAGTGCCCACCGAGCAGGCGAGGGCGTACGCCGAGAAGAACGGCATGACCTTCTTCGAGGTGAGCCCCCTGTGCAACTTCAACGTCATCGAGTCGTTCACGGAGCTGTCGCGCATCGTCCTGATGAGGCACGGCATGGAGAAGTTCTGGAGGCCCAACAGAGGTGAGTGCCACCGCCAACAGCGAGTGACGGTCAATGTCAGAACAATTCCTGGAAAACAAACTGAAGTGCACAGCTTGTCTGCTGTCATCACAGAAGTGTGCTTTAACACTGCCGAGCCAATATTCAAATAATGGCCAAACACTGCAGCAAGGACGAATAAAGGTCGGGTAGATTAATCAGGAATTACCTGTAGCTCTCGTTAGTCACCACTCTGCTGCTGCCTTTCTCTGTTTTACACAGAAATACTGTGAAAAACAGGAAGTGTTGAGTTTAATCAATAGTATTTTAACAACAACAATCCAGGATTATAATGTAGAAAAACTATAAACATGTTTCAGTTGTATTATTCAGAAGATCCTGTCTGTAATATAAGTAGATTTGAGTAGAGCTCCAACCCACTGTTGCAGAATTTACATACGTTCAATAGTAGGAATATATATCCGTCTGTTTAAAATACACTTTAGTTTCAATTGAATTAACTGTACGTGGTTTCAGTCATCCTGAGGGTACAGTAATAAATCTGTGCTGTAGACAAAATCTGAGACTTTCTGTGCTAATGTTCCAAAATAGTCCTCAGATGGATGACACACTCCCTCGTAGGCTAATTAATTCTCCCTCGTTCCTGCCAGCCTTTTGTCTGCCTCATCTGTAATTACAGAGGAGAGCAGGTGGAAGTGATGTCCCTCAGAGAATTAATGACTCTCTGGCTTTCTGAAACTCAGTCTGAACTTTATTTATGTCTTCAGGGCTTCGTCCCGTTGACACTGAAGTTATTTAACACGTCAGATTGAGGTCTAACTTCTCTATCTTGTCTGTGGCTGTCAGCTCTGAGCCCATACTGTTCACAGACTCACTATGTAGGCTGTGCTGAGAAGAATAACAAATTATATGACTACTGTGAAACTCATAAATGCTGCTGTTCATATTGACTTTCTTAACAAATAAAATCTGTATTTTGTAGGTTGAAAAAGGCTCAAAAAGCCGAGATAAAGTCGACTGTTTGGGCCTAGTTTACGTTGATGAACAGCGTGAATGTGCTTCTAGTGACTGTAGAAGCTCCAGCAGCTGCTCATTAGCTCTGTTAGCTCTCTTAGCTCTGACTACCAGCTCGCAGTGCTGTGGTCATTATCGAGGCCACGCCCCCTAACGTCCTCTGCAGGTCATTAAGTTAAAAAAGGGAAATATTCAGCAGCTGACAATCAGAACGTAACTCCTCTCTGTCCTCCTCCCTCTCCGCAGTGTTCAGCCTGCAGGACCTCTGCTGCAGAGCCATCGTGTCGTGCACGCCGGTCCACCTCATCGACAAGCTCCCGCTCCCCGTCGCCATCAAGTCCCACCTCAAGTCCTTCTCCATGGCCAACGGCATGAACGCCGTCATGATGCACGGACGCTCTTACTCGCTGGCCAACCCGGCCGGCGGCTCCAAAGGCAACAGCTTGAAGCGCTCCAAGTCCATCCGTCCACCGCAGAGCCCGCCGCAGAACTGCACCCGCAACAACTGTAAAATCTCCTAATTAACAGCTTCCTCGTGGCGGCGAGGGCGGGCGGGGGGGGGCTGTGGGATCAGGAGACGGATGTACAGGATGGAAGGAGGGAAAAGAGCACATCCCTGAACCGGAAGAGCTGAAGAGCAGGAATGATGGATAAAGGGATGAATGAGTGCTACCTCTCACCTTCATGACAAAGAGTGTGACGTATTTTCCAGGTTGGGGGGCGGAGCTCGAATGGTGCCTCACGATATCAGACAAACATTTCAGCCTCCACAGACGTGATTCTCACTACTACCAACTGCTCCAATGGGAACGAGACTCCGGACTCACTTCCTGTCTGCTGGAGCGTCGGCTACATGTACAGAAATCTCTCACCAACTCGACCGCTGTCGTTCCTCTGCAGGTCGCACGCCGCTCGCTGTGTGCGTCACAGAAATCACCTCAACATCAGTTTTTACGTTTCACCTTTCTTTCTTTTCTTTCTTTTGTCCGTCTGTCTGGTTTTAATTCCACCTTTTTCTGTTCACACCTCCGTTTATTTGCTCTTTTACTGACCAATAAGCTAACGATGGAGACACTAGTAACCAGTCGGTCCTTGTACTGATCGCTCATCCTCCACAGTTGTGTCTGAACACTCACAGGTTAACACTCGCTGAAGGGAAATCTTGGCGGCAACATGAGTGAAGGTTCCCGTCAGGTGTCGTAGTCGAAGCGGAGGCAAAACTGACCCCCCTAAAATCCCCTGAAAAAGACCCAACCTGAACCGGATCTCAGGTCCAGTCCTGTTAGTGTGAGTCGAGACCAGACTGGAGGTCAATGTAAACATCAACAAACCTTAAAGCACAAAGATATTCCCCAGCATGCAGTTCACACATTTCGGCTGGTTTGATAATTCACACAACCGCCTACTTCGAACGAGGGATCCAATGATGCTTGTTGCCATGGATACCATTTAACGCTATAAAAAGCGTTTCTTCATATTTTTGTGAAATTTATTTTAGGTAAAAGTTGTTCAAATAAAACTGATTCGGTCGGATATTTGCGTTCGGCTCAAGAGCTTCTGGGAGTTGTAGTCTGGAGATGAAGTCTGGATTTGCACTTCCTCCTCCTCCTCCTCCTTTCCCATTTTCCACCTCTTTCCCGCTCTGCCAAACGTTTAGCGACTCCTACTCTGTGCATGTTTACAGATTTCACACCTCACCTGTCCTGTCACACCTGTCCCATGCAGTGGGAACATGCCCCCCCCCCACACACACACACACACACACACACCTCCTCCACCAGTCCGGGCTAATTATACATAACACACAGTGTGTCTGCTCCTCATAGTGATACTCCAGTAATCACTGATTCACCAAAATCTGTACAAATTAAACTGAACTAGAGCTGAAACAGTTAATCAGTGGAGAAAGGCTCAATATTTTCTGTTTGCAGTTTCTCCAATTTGAGGATTTTCTCTGTTTTATATATTTCTGATTTCAGACTGTTGTTTGGAAGTTATTTAAAGACGTATACTTGGGTATATATCCAGTATAATATAATACACACTGTTGTCACACGTTAGATCACCCAGTTCCTGCAGTATGTGGAGTCGCCCCCCCCCCATGGTATGTGCTAATGTGTTTACCATACATTCGTTTCAGTGCTGGACGTGGAGGGAGGGCGAACCGTCAGGGAAAGAAAGCTCAGGTTTCTGATGGCGTAGCTCCTGGTGTTCGGTCGTCCTCCGATGGCGGCGAGCGTAAACAGGAACCGGTCGGAGTAGCTGGACGGGATCAGATCAGATAGACACACAACGTAGAGCGGAGTAAGTGCTGACAGTAAACAGGAATATCACCTGGAGGCAGTTTCATTGTGATTATGAGAAATACAGCCACTCGCTGCCCCTCATAGTCTCACACCGTGCTGCGTTCATGGACAGTGGGAAAGGCTGCAGATGTGGCTGCACGAGTTGTAAGCATGTAGAGAAAAGAGCTGCAGTGTCGCTCAGAACCGAGTCTTCTTCTCTCCCTCTGATCTGCACCACCGCCGCCGCCTCCGCGTGCTGCGTGCTGTCCCATGATTCATAGCTGCTGAATAATAGATGCTCTTTTCATAGATCTCTAGAGGGCTTCATCAGAACGCTGCGGCTGCGTCTCTCCTCTTTCATCCTCCGCTCCTCCACAGGAAGCTCAGCGTGGTTCGTTCCTTCGTCCTCCTCAGCAGCTGCTTTCTTTTTCTCCCGACTTTCTCTTGTTTTCTGTCCCCGGGATCCACGTTTTCTCCCCAGGTGTGGTTTTCCCTCCTAACCCGTTCCTGTCCATTGAGCCCAGCGTTAGTCCTCCTCCTCCTCCTCCTCCTCCTCCTCCTCCTCCTCCTCCTCCTCTCTCAGTCTGATCTCAGGGAGTTGTCTTTGCCTCCAGACTTTTAAGATGTCTTGACTCACGCGATGAAGCCTCCTCGCTTTAGGAAAGATTTTCCACTGATCCAGAGTCAGTTTACTGCAGGCTGGACCACACCGAGCTTTTGACTTTAGCCCGTTTACTGCAGATGATTTAAATCTTTCAGCTCGGTCGGTGGTTGCCTGTTCAAAGAGCAGTTTTGGCTTCTCAGGTTGTTTTATTTGAATATTTTAGGCCCCTAAAGAGATACAATTATTTAGTAATTTACAACAACAACAACAACAACAACGTGTAGAATTCTGTTCGTTCTTTCTGCTGTTATTCATCTCACGACACTTCAGACACATTTAGCTCGAAGCCCCGCCGCCTCAGAGCTGCTAGTGTGACTGTCGACTGTAGAGCTGCTGTGATTGGTCGACTGATCGATCAATCTACAGAAAAATAATCGCCAACTATTTTAATAATCAATGAATTGTTAAAGTCAGAGTCATTTCTCTTTAAGTTAGCTGAACAGAAATGAGTCTTAATCTATACAGAGCAGTAATGATTCATTCATTCATTCATTCATTCATTCATTAATAATCAGGTTTCCTCTGGCTCCTCCTACTCCACCGGGCCCGAAGGAAAACAACCAATCAGAGCCGAGATAGTTTGTTCGTTTCCAGGCTGTCAAATTCAGACCCGGACTACAAACCTTGTTCTCCAGATTTAAGAGAAACCTGTTTGTTCGGTACAGACTCTGAAATGATGGTTCCCACTAATGGTGCCTCATATCGGTCGGTAGAATGATGTTTGTACCGTTGGGTGCAGCACTCATACAGTCAGTGAATGGACACCAGCAGAAACAAAGAGAACGCATTTATAACTCAACATTTTGTTTGTGGTAAACGGGTTAAAACCAGCAGAAAACAGGCGGTTTGGTCCTTTAACGGCGAGCTGGAGCTTTAGAAAGAGCGTCAGACGGTTTGTGTTCTGCGGCTGTTTGGTCACCGTCGGAGTTTTTAAGGAAGACGGAGACCAAAAGGAATTTGACTCGAGCTTGTTGCCAAGATTTCTGGAAGAGGTTTCCCTCTCTGCTCAGAGCGCAGTGACCCTCACTGACTCTCTCTCTCTCTCTCTCTCTCCCTCCCCCCCTCCCTCCCTCTGTTATGTGGTAACACAACCATCTTCCTCCATGTTTTGCCTCTGCGTCTCTGTTTGTGTACGGACTCCCTCTCTCTGTTTGTGTTTCTCTTCAACTGAGTTTCCATTTTGAAATTTTCATGGATGTTTTTAAAAAAAAAAAAAAAAAAAAGGTAAAAAGATGGAGGTAGTAGACGTTGTGGAGAGATTCAGGGACGGCCTCTGATATATTGCCTGTTGTAGAAGTGTTTGTATAAAGGAGCAGACTGTTGTGATGATGATGGGAAACAAAAAAAAAAACACCTGTAAACACTATTCTGGTTTTTGGCTGAAGCTGCTGAGTGTGTGTGTGTGTGTGTGTGTGTGTGTGTGTGTGTGTGTGTGTGTGTGTGAGTGTGAGTGAAACACAGAGCTGAACTTTTTTCTTTTTTTAAATTATTGATTGTACAGTTTCGAGGCAGGAGTATGAAGAGAGACTTTTTCACAATAAAACTATTGAATGTTGAAGTCAGAACTTCGCAGCTGGTTGTTTTTGTTGTCGGGCTGCTGCTTTAAAGGAGGCTGCTGCCCCCTGCTGGACACAACCCAAAACACACCCACCCCCCCCCCCCCCCCCCCCCCCCCCCCCACAAAAAATTTTTATTTTTTTTTTCTTTAATTTTAATTAAAATTTTATTTTTTTTTTTTTTTTTTTTTTTTTTTTTTTTTTTTTTTTTAAAATTTTTTTTTTAAATTTATTTTTCTTTTTGGTTTTGGGACAGTTTGACAGTTTAAAGGTTATTTGTTGTAATTTTACAATAAATAAATTTGATCAGAGGAAAAAGCAAAGTATTATAAGAAAGAAGAGTAGTAATGGTAGCACAATAAATAAAGAAATTATACTTACAGAGGAAAATGGACACTGATGTGTAAACATTAAAATATTTTAGATTTTCAGTTAAATTCAACAAATAGAAATTAACATATAAAAATCAAAACATGCAAATAAGAATATATCTAAATAAAGACGATATAAGAACAATATATATTAATATATATATATAAAGTTGAACTTTCCTGTTTTTATATCCTTTAAAAAGCTCTTCATCTTCTCAAAGGCAGATATTATTTTATTTCTTTCAATGTATTAATTAATAAATGAGCATTTCTGACTAACGCTGACTAAATAGAGAAATTTATAACGGTGTATATGTTTTATGTATATTTTCTGATGTGAAGTCAATGATATTGTGCAGCCACTCTTCAATCAACGTCAACAGACAGATATATAGGAAACTAGAAATGCATGGCAACAGATACGAAAAGGGAAAATGTAGTGCACAGAGTAGAAAATACAAATAAATATCATAAAAAAAGAATCAAATATTCAGAACCAGTCTGAACACGCCCATAGCCTAACAAACGTAAACAAGCTTTTATTTTGAAAAGGAATGAAAACCTGACCGGAAACGCCTCCCGCCAGCTGGGCGCACGCGTCACCTTGACACCCGCCGGACGCTGCATGTATCGATCCGCTTTCCCACAACACAAACCCCGAATATCCTTCAGCTCGGTGCCGGTGAACCCAGCCGGGGCTCGGCCCGCACCATGTCCGCCGTCCAGCTGCTCCGGGTGCTGGTGAACGAGCGGCTGTCGGCGGCCGCGGAGGAGATCTTCGAGGCGGTGAAGAAGACCATCGCGGGCTACGAGGAGGAGATCCTGCTCTCCAAGCGGGAGATCCGCCGGCAGCGGAGGATGCTGCAGACCGTCCTCCAGCCCGAGATCAAGATCAACAAACACTCAGGTGGGTGAGCTGCTGCAGGCGGGCATCGTTTCACCACCGCGGCGGCAGCAGGTTCGAGTCCCGTCCGCGGCAACGGGTCGCCATCACCAGTCAACGCCCACTGCTCGGGTCCAGATGGAGTCTGGTTCTGGTTCTGGTTCTGTTTTCTCCTTTTTTATGGGGAAGAGAAATAAAGTGGGAGCTCAATGTGACGCTAAAGGTTCAGTACCAGGTTAACGGAGCAGGCCCTTCCGGGGTAAGAGCGTACCTGCCCAATGGAAACAACGCCAGACTCCGTTTGAATTATCTCAATATTTAACACCTTGCTCTTTTCTTTTTAAGGTTATGTATAAATATACAGCTGTTTAAGTTATATTGTTGGTTGTTAGGGTGTAGCTTTACATTCGGCTCTGCACAGATTTAAAAAGCGGCTTTACATTTAGTTAAAAATAAACTTTTATTGTTTCTGACAACTTGTTGTGACGGCAGTGTGTCGGGTCGGAGCAGCTGTGGTGTTCAGCTCTGTGTCGATTGGCACTTTTATACTGAAGCCGAGTTATTGATCACATCTGAATGATTGGAAAAAAAACACTAGTTTGATGACTTAGCCTGACATTGTTAGCTGCTAGCCTAAATAAAGAAATGTTGTCTTATTGAATGGAGTCTGGTGCCAGCAAACTCCAGCAGTTATCAGCAGATGGCTGTAGTTGTTGTTTTGTAGTTTCTTACATAGGCAATGTTTTATTATTCCAACATTTGACTTTTTGACATGAAACAGACATTTACTTATAGAACATTGTAAATATTTTAAGTTTGATATTCAGTTAAAATCACTTTAAAGTATATTTATCTGCAGTTATATCGGTTTAGTCGGACTGGTGCTAATGTATTTGCTTGATTGGGATCAAAATGTGGCATAAAAATTAATTTTGTACAGTTTCATCATGAAAAAGAAAATTAATTACTATTTCACTAAAACTCAAATATTCCCTCGTCCCAGTTTCTTTGTCTTCTGATATTAAGAGAATTAACTGAATATCTTTGGTTCGATCAGCAGTTCCCAACATTTTCTCCTTAACAGACATTTTCTATCATTTAACCTAAACATTTAGCCTACTGTGTGTATTTCTTAAGTTCTTTAAATCAAGAACCTTTTGTGACACCCCCCCCAGGAAGCTATGGCGACCCCCAGTTTAGGAACCACTGATTTAGATAAAACAAGCCATTTAAGGAGGATTAAAATATCTATTTGTTGCATAGAGCAGCAGTGTGTGCAGTGAAACACAAAGTGATGTTCTCACAAATGTGTGAAAGGCAACAAAATCCACACTGATGATGATTGTGACATCAAAACTATTGATGATTAATCAAATCATTAAAAGTCTGATGAGTCAATAATGAGAAGAACTGTTAGCTGGAGCTCTAATTAAAAGCTGTATCGAGTTAATAAAACCTTGTCTGACGTATTCTAGTTGGTTTTCTGTTCTTTAAGATCGTTGTTGTCTTGCAGACCAACCACAGCTGGCCCTCTCCGTCTGGGACGAGGACTTCGGCTCCGATCAGCAACACTGCGTTCAGGAGTTGAGCTCCGGTCAGGACCAGGACGACCAGGAACCCCCGCACGCCGAGAAGAGCCTGCGGGAGCTCCCCAACAGCCGAGAGGAGGAGCAGGTTCAGGAGCTGGACGAGGACAACACCATCAGGTTCATCTTCACCGGTCCGTACGTGAAGAGCGAGCTGGACCAGCTGCAGTCCGGCTACCAGAGCGCCAAAGGAGAAGGAGATCCTCTGCCGAGCACCTCGGCCGGGCAGGAGCAGGCGAAGGTGGATGGCGACGACGGGGCGTCCTCCGGCTCCGCGCCCGAACACGAGGACAGCGACGAGGAGTGGAGGGGCAGCGCGGGGTCTCCGAGCGACGACAGCGACAGCAACCACAAGTGTAAGAAGAAGAAGGGGCCTCGTCTGCCGATGGCGCCGACGCTGCACCCCAACAAAAAAGCTAAATCGCGGATCTGCTGTAAAGTCTGCGGGAAGGCCTTCCACGCCAACGTCTCTCTGGTCAACCACATGGAAGTTCACCCCAAGGACGTCTGCGGCGTGTGCGGGGAACGCTCCGAGACCGAGGACGAATTTCAGGCTCACCTGAAGACGCACGTGAAAGCCGAAGTCTGCGGCGTCTGCGGGAAATGCTTTGGGGCGTCGAGCTCTCTGCAGACGCACATGCGGATCCACACGGGGGAGAAACCGTTCAACTGCAGCGAGTGCGGGAAGTCCTTCAACTGCCGCCACAACATGATGCGACACATCAGGATCCACACGGGGGAAAAGCCGTATCCGTGCACCGTCTGCGGCAAATGCTTCAACGACTACTCCACGCTGAAGCGCCACCTGCTGGTTCACGTGCACAAGAAGCACCGCGAGCCGAGCAACGCGTCCGCGAACGAGAGCGAAGGCGGCAACGGTGACGGCGACGGCGAGGCGAAGATGAAGCCGTCGTCACCAAAAAAGCAGCACGCTCGCACCATATGTGAAGTGTGCGGTAAAATGTTCCACTCCATGGTCTCCCTGGTAAATCACGCCAAAAGTCACGCCACGGACCTCTGCGGCGTTTGCGGGACGCACTTCGACTCGGAGGAGGACTTAAAGCTTCACCTGAAGACTCACAAAAACGGGAAAGTGTGCGAGGTGTGCGGGAAGTGCTTCGACAGCCAGGGAAACCTGGAGATGCACATGAGGATCCACACGGGGGAGAAACCGTTCCTCTGCAGCGAGTGCGGGAAGTCCTTCAACTGCCGCCACAACATGATGCGACACATCCGGACGCACACGGGAGAGAAACCCTACCTGTGCAACATCTGCGGCAGGTCCTTCAGCGACCACTCCAGCCTGAAGCAGCACAGCAGCACGCACACCGGGGAGAAACCGCACCGCTGCGAGATCTGCGGGAAGGGCTTCCACCGAAAGACGTACGTGAGGCTTCACATGAAGAGCCACTCGACTGAGAAGTGACTGTTACTGTAAATATGGCAGCGTGTAAATAAAAACTTTTATTATTTTTTTTTACGTTTGAATGTGCTGAAATCACCTTTTTCCTCTCGTCGTCACGACCTCTCATGCGTCCTGGTCGAGTTGTGATCATGTGGGATCTGTTATGTTTTATTGACAACGAATGAAACAACTGTGAACTATGAACGATTATTCGTTGGAAGATAAAAATAATGCAGTTTTTAAACTGTAATCATCGCAGCAGTAGAATTAATGTTGCATTCCCACCAAAAGCAAAGCGAATATTTTCCCTTTAATCTGGTTTACAGCCTAAAATAAACAGATTTAATGTCAATAAACGGATCAAAATGATGCTGAAATAACCAAATAAAAGTTGGAAGAAGTCTGAATTCAGACTTTGTCGACTGTCTGCGAGAAAACAAACAACTTTTAAAATGCTTGTTTTGTGAATGGAGTTTGGTTGATCAGGGCTACGCTAATTACCACCAGATTCTGCAGTTTGTTGGAAGATAAAAATAATGCAGTTTTAAAACTGTAATTATTATTATTTGCCACTTGAGGGCAGCAGAACTGTCTATAAACACATCATATAATTCAGTAAGTAATGGCAAATATTAGTTAACCAATATAGAGTTTTATTTAAAAAGAGAGAGTTCAGTAAAGTTCCTAAAACAAAAAGGAGGAAATAGTTTGTTGGGGACTATTTTCAGCAGCAGATTAATCCACATTTGGTGCTTTAGTGGCAGCAGGACGGCGTATAAATACACCACAGTGTGAAGGAAGAGTGTGTCTCACTCACTGTTAACAGGCTTTAAAATACTCTCAGTCCATGCTGCGTTCAGGTGCAGTGGGAAAGATGAGCATGTTGGGATGCATCCATTGATGGTTGTCTCATCCTCTGATCACAGTCTGGTGCCTCGTTGCCTTTCATCAAAACCTGATCTGGAGAATCTAATCTGTAAAACTGTTATTATTTGTTATATAGCTGCATATTTTTTACATTTTCACTCAGATTTTGTTTTAGGTTTCAATCCCTTCAGCAGAGAGTGAATGCGTTGTAGTGTAGCTTTGTTCCTCTGCTGCCTGTGGACTGATCTCTATGTGTCTCTATGTAGGGATGAGGGTCAAAGGTTGTGACCTTTATGCTCCTGAGTGCCTTCTCTCTCCGCTTCCCTACTATGTTTGTCACTGTCGGACGCTGACTGCAGTTCACTGAACGGCCACTGGCGGTGCTGTTAATATTTGCATCTCACACACATTTAACTCTCATTCTGAAGTTGTAGTATTGAAATGTTTAATAACCTCTATGTGCTGTTAGTGTTCACTGCAGCAACAGATTCCTTTAGAGACACTACAGTGACATTATTATACAGTAACACACAGACACTAACAGTCCTTCTGATGTACGTAGTGATGTGTAGTCACAGCGTGCCTACGACAGATTATTATAGATATAAACCGACTTTTTATTGTTAATTAATGTTTGAAGTCTAGTGTTCAACCAAAGACGTCTGCGGAGCTGTGAGACTCAAAGTGTTCCAGTTTGTTTCAATAAACTTTCACATTATGACGAATTCTTGGGACTTTGTTTTTGTTTTTTTTTTGTGGCCACAGAGTCGCAGGGGAATTCACAGAAACCAGAAATTCCTGTTTTAAGCTTAAAAACCAGCAGTTAGACAATGACAGTATATAAAATGGAGTTAATGCAGAAGTGTCTTAAACCTGCATTCTCTGTAACAACCAGCAGGGGGAGCTCCACTGGTTGCAATATAACCTGATCCCATACAGTCTTATGGAGAAATGAGTCGACTTCTCAGCTGACTGATGAGCTCAGTAAACAGTTTCCTGATGAGTTTCTGGTCTCAGTCTCTAGTTTCAGTCTTCTTCCATACAGCATGATGTTCATTTAGTAACTGATGGTCCCATTTAGAGTAAAACAGACCATAAAGCAGGGTATGCTTTAGGGCGGGGCTACCGTCCAGCTCAACGCACCAAACTCAGATCAAACTGTCAAACAGTGCTGATCAGATATGGATCCAGATTCTGTTGTTGACTATTTCTCTCCTCAGATCTGTTCCGACAAACTGGAGCAGGGTTTCTGATCTCCAGTGAAATATAATTCATGCTGTGATATGCTCGTGAATACAAGTTTCTTTTATTGTGCACACAAGAGAAAGGAGAGTCTCTGAGTTGTCTCTGCCCCTCAGGAATGTCCCGTCCTTCTTGTAGTAGCAACCAAGAGAAAAACAGCCGTTATGTAACTGGCGGGATCTGCTTGGCTGCCACAGACTGTAACTCTTAAGGCCCCCGACACACCAGCTGTTGCATCGCCTCACGTCGCCTGTTTCTCGGCCTTAAAGAGACACTAGAACACGTCACACCGACTACAGCGAACAGCCGAGTGGCACCAACGTTCTGCGCCTGCACGAGAGGTAATAAGTCTCCACACCTGCATGTATCATTCAAACAACTCCGCATATAAACAAAAGCTTTAGGGCTGCCTCCGACTAACGATTGTCCCCGTCGACTTGTAGTCGTTAGATAAAGCCAATAATCAACTAGTCGTAGCACGTTTAGGATATTAATTTAATGCTTATAATCTTTATATTTATAACAGAAACAGCAGTAATGATTGTGAATCAGAACCAGCAGCAAGGAGACTGAACCTTTAGTTCATTTATTCCAACACAGAGTAACATCACACAGACTGGTTGTTCAACACTCGGAATAAATAACTTCCAACTTCACTGAAACTGATCCTGACTGATCGATACGATGGATGATGGATAACGTTAACAGTTACTGAGTACAAACTGGCTCCTCTTCCTCCGTTTCCTTCCTCTTCTGTCGCCTGAACCCGCCGGGTCTTCATCCCCGGAGTCAGAGTCCTGGTCGGAGCTCAGAGAAACTTTCAGCAGACGAATGTGAAAAAAAACCTTTCTAGAGTCAAACTGCAGTAAAAAGAACTGATTTCTGACGGAAGCTTTAAACTTTATTATTATTGTTATTGACACTAAATAAACATCCACACTGAGGTTTCAGTTTATTTCCCACACAGACGCAAAATAAAGCCGCTCAGAGATCACCGATGAGTCACCATGTGTCATCAGTTAATGAGGGAAAACAGTGTGTGATCGACCGCATTGATTTTAAACTGTCGTATAAATCTGCTCGTTGAGGTAAAGTTGTGAGGCGGAGCGAGAGAGTAATCAATCACAGCGTCAGCCCCCCCCCCGCCCATCTGATCAGCCATCTGTGTGACAATGTTACACAGAGATATTGATCCACAGATTACTCAACAGGAGACCACGTCACTGCAGGAGAACAAATAAAACTTCTTTATTGGTAATTCTGATCAACGATTATATTATATACACACTGTAAAAATATTTGTACGTTTACAAGGTTTTTACTGTTTATTTTACAGACTTTTTCTGTATTTTTAAATTCATGGAAATATTAATAAAATTACAAAAATAGCCTGTGAGTTAACATTTATAATCTGTAACTGTAAGTAATCATAAAATGGCTGCTTATTTAAAAAGAAAATGTATATTTTGAAATAAAAAGATTAAAATACATTTATTTAATAGATTAAACTCTTAAATTCAAGTTTAATGTGTTATTTTTCTAAAATTATGTAAAATTAACAGTAAATAAAGTATTTGTTCAGTAATTTTACGTGGATTTGTTAGTTAACTGACAGATATCTTGTATAATTATAAGTTTTACAACAAAAATGTTGAATAAATGTTGTTTATCAGTGTAAAAGCCTAGGTAAACCGTCAAAATAGAGTTTATATCAGTGAAAACAGCAATAATTACTGTAATTTCACAGATAATGACTTTTATTACAGTTACTGTAACCTTTCAAATTCAGATTAAAATAAGAAAAATCAAATAATAACAGCACTCTGCTGTAAATGTATTTGTTTTTTGTATTATAGCAGTGTTCTCTTGTATTTATAGCTCATTGCATTGGTTTTACTTGGTGTAAATATCTTTAATTAAACATTAAAAAGACCAAAAAAAATGACAAGATTTTATGTAAAATTAAAGCCAGTTTCTTTTATTTTACATTTTTTACAGTGTATAATGATTTCTAGAAAAAATACTCACAAATTTTTATTTTACTCACAATTTTTTTTGGTGATGACTCAAGAATTGATGCAGCAATTATGACAAAATTTCACACACATGTTTATTTGGATACATTGATGAAGTGATGCCATTGTTTATCTAAAAGGTCAAAGGTCAACTTTAGTTTGACATCATAATGTCCTGAAAAAACACCTTTTTGGTCTTTTTCAACACCATAACTCAGGAAGAAGAGGATATTGTGATCATATATTCATAATTGGTCAGACATTGAATTGGTCATACTCAAAGATCAAAGGTCATGACCTCAAAATTGTTCTTTAGCCATAATTTAAAGAATTGGGTAATTGAACTGAACAAAACCTGGTTCAAAGTTCTTGTTTCATTTTGTTTTACATATAAGAGTCAAAGGCTTTCACAGAGGGAACGTTGGATGTCTGTTTTTATCTCCATAAATCTTTTTTTGTCATGTTTTTAGGAATAAAATGTGACATAAATCCGGCTGTGAATGGTATATGAGCGGACCTTCAGATTATATAGAGGAATAAAGCTGGAAGGTTTGGTGGATGTAAAAGCTGCTGAAGAGATTTCTGGCTCAGATTGGGAGGAAAAGGAAAACGTCCTTTAAAGATATATATTGTCAAATTCACAACAAAAGACGTTTAACTAATAGATATCAGCATGAAACTCATCCAGTTGATTATTTACATTAAGACAATTCTATTTTTTATCAAATGAGGCATTATTTAATTAAAAATGTGTGGATTTGCATAAAATAAGGGTAAAATAAGAGATGTTTTACTCCTATTGCACTTCAACCTTAGTTCCCTAAATCAGTGGTTCCCAAACCTTTCCACTCAAAGGACTCCTTTTCTGTTATTGACTAAATTATATATTTTATAGATATTTCATATTATATTCAATGTGTAACAATAAGAGAGAATAACTGATAAACAGTGGACACAATAACTGCAGGAAGTTTGAATAAAAAGAGAGATTCGGAGGAATTTTCTGATATTTTTAGGAACTTTTTATACAATTCTCTGTCTGTATTATTTATTTATTGATATATTATTTATTCATACAGTCATACAGACGCATACACTTCTTCTATTTGCTCTTTGGATGATAAGATATTAGGCCTACTGAGTGTACTTTTAAAGTTTTCTTACACCCCCTAAAATCAAGAAGGACCACCGTGAATGAAGTCGGCCTGAGGGGAAGGAGGTGGTTGGTCCAGTCCAGTATGGACAAAGATCGGCATCAGTCTCTCCGGGACATTATCACCTTCCCAGCAACCTTTACAATGTGGTTCAGGTGGTTTTCATCCTCTTTTCTTTCCATCATGTCGCTCAGTTTTCGGAGACAAGAAACCAAATTAGATTTTCTTTACAGGAAAACAACTCGGAGCGGAAGTGAAACGATTAGTTGCCCACTTTCATGCTCGTTCTGCGGTTTGCTTCAGGGTGAGTCACAGTGTGGTTTCCTATTAAACGGGAGAAAAGTGTGTCATCCACAGCAAAGAGCATATTAATGCATCTCCACACACACACACACACACACAATGACTTGATAAACTTGATTCAGCATGAAACTGACTCATATCTGAGCGACCATCGAGGCTGCAGAGGATCACAGATTGCTCCCCGAGGCAACGTGGAAAGAGAACGCCTTCATAATGTTGTCTTTGTTCATGGCTGCAGACAGGGACTTGTTTTATGTTGTAATCTGAGAAGCATGGAAAGTTTCATAATTCCCACACTCACATGTGCCCATAAGGCCGCCGCGTTGACCGCGCCCAAATACAAACCTCCCACCTACCTTTCTGTAAAGGTACGTCATAAAACAGTTGAAAAAGGTAAACAAAACTGAAAGCTGAGCGCACATTTCCAGCCCCAAAGTCCTTATAAAGAGCAGAGTGAACTCACAGCCACGAGTGGAGGAAGAGAGAGAGAGAGAGAGAGAGGAGTTACTACAGGTAGGTTTCTACAGGTTTACTGTAAATATTATCATTGTGCTTGTAAGAGGAGATAAAGATGATTATTATTATTATTGACTTAGTATTTTAAAATAATTATTATTCTAAGATTGAGAAAGTTTCTCATTATTTTGACTTACAGAAATTTTTTTTCGTTTTTGTACACATTCCTGTTGAGCTGTGGTCTCTTCATGCTGCACAAGACAAACTGTGTATGTGATACTGTGTATCTGTAGTGTAGCCTTTTAATGGTTTCCTTTAGTCGTTTCTGGGCTTTCTGTACCAGGGCGGGGGTGTGAGTCCACCATGACAGCTTCCCTGTGACGTGTGACGTATATTTGTTTAACAAAACATATGTGAAAATGGTTTGTTATACTGGACTATATACACCAACACTATACAAAGAGATAATCTGCTGTCACGATTACAGATCCTTCCTGTTCATCTTCATGACCATTGTCCTCAGGATTTCTGAACTGTCTCCCGAATATAAAACAACACACTGAGCTTTAATCACTCACTCAATCAAATCACAGAATCAATAATTAATAGTGCACGCGCTGTAAGCAGGGGCACCCTTTGCCCTTTCACCCTCTGTTGTTTACTTATTCTCTCAAATAAAAGAAGTTGAGGACTACACTTCCTTTAATGTCCATTCTCAAAACAAAGAACACGACAGATGCTGATTCACAGGAACCTAAAACTGTTCACTGATGTAGAAAGTCGTGTCTGTCTTTGCTTCAACAATCAGCTGCTGGGTTTTGCTGGAGTCGAGCAGGAGGTTGTTTTCTGTAACCGGACTCAAAAGATCACGAAACCGCATGAGAATCCATCTTACCGGGCTTCGAGCTACGTGTCCGGACCAATAATTCTGCCGTCAACAAAACCAAATTTTACATTTAGACTAGTCAAGTAGTCTAAAAGCCAGACTTCAGTATCTATTATAATCTATTATTTATCTCAGTGTCCTGTTACACATTTAGTTTAGTTTATTATTTATATGAAATGTCTTTACACTAATAAACCTCTGTCGCCAACAGTGATACTAACATGAACCAACTGTATTGGGCTGAAGATCCCTTTTGTCTGCCCGATGGGGTGTTTCAACTGGGCGCCTCTGACCCAGTTTGGGGTATAAACTATGTCATGTACCACGGCACCACCTGGCAGAACGCCCAAGCCATCCTGCGCACAGGATTTCGCCCGTCCGCAGACGGGATGCTCGGCCCCGGCGTCTACCTCAGCAGAGACCTGAACAAAGCCAGCCGTTATCCCATCGACTGCCCAGAGTCTCACAGGGTCGTCATTAAGGTCGTGGTCAACGTGGGGAAAGTGATCGCCATCAATTATCAAGGCCACCCGCTTCAGAAGTCCTGGCATTATTGGGGCTACGACACCGCCTGGGTGCCGCCCAACTGCGGGATGGTGGAGAGCGGATTGGAGGAGGATTGTGTCTGGGATCCCCGTCGAATCCAGATCCTCGGTACCATCCACCCTCGCCCAGTCTATCCATATTATTATAATTATCCATATGGGATGTACATGTGACCCCCTAAGAGCTGGTACCAAATTATTTTGTACGTTCAAATGTATTTTTATAAAAAAAGTCAATGAGCTTCTGTCTGTTTAAAGAGTTTATATTTATTTTGTGATATTAGTCTCTGCTGCCACTTTAATACAATGGAGGTGAATGAAATGTTGGTGCTGGTGCTCAATAAATAATGAATAAATGTAAAAAATAGAAGAAGGGTTTTCTGTCTTTAAACACTTTCTAATATCTGATGTCTGTCTGTGGAGTGAATAATATAAAATGTCATCAAACTTTTATTTTTCTGTCAACGTTGGTAAACTGTTGGTGTCTCTGTTCATATTGTCTCTCCATAAATAATCTGTGAGCTCTGCAGTTCACAAAACAGAACACATAACTCCCGTGCTCACATCTTTCCATAAGGCCACTGATCACACAAATAGGTAAATGAAACTGAAAGCTGAGTGCGCACTTCCTACTAATAAAAGGCAGAGTGAACAGCCTGAACTGGTGGAGGTAGAGAGAGAGAGAGACAAAGAGGTACGTGAACACAAACAGTTTTTTACAGTCTTACAGTAAATGATCACTTTGCATGTACGAGGAGATAAAGTTAGTCCGATGAAGAGTTTGCTCTTAAACCTTTACTGGAATATGTTGATGTGTCTGACTCAACTGTGACTTCCTGGCTGATAAAAGCAGATTCGTTTGGCGTTTGCAGACGTAATTGATCACACGTTTGAACTTGTGTGTAACCCCCGGTGAGAAGCTGCAGCATTCTGTGGTGCAATGTTAGCATACTAGCATTGTGAGCATTCAGACCGACTGTAGCCGGGGAAAAAAACCTAAACCTAAACCTGGTTCAACTTTTCCTGGACCGAATGTGATGTCACCCAACAAGGCAAAACAGATGTGTATGGAAGCCCATTTCTGCCAATTTGACGTCATTATTTTTACCATTAAATAAATAAATACCATCTCATAAGGCAAACAGTAAATATAACTTGACAGCATGTTTATGAGATATTTAGTTAGATTTAGTTTTCCTTTATTAATTAATAGACATCAAGCAGCCATTCAGAATCGAGTACCCACCCAGATCGTGATATAAGACAAGGTGTTTGCGACTGCGTGTATGTGAAGCAACTGTTTGCTCGAAAAACAGCCAGAGTCAGAGCTGAGGGGGTGTGGATAAGTGATAAGGGAGTTCATCAAAAGTCCAAGGACACCTAGAAATACCAGTTTGTGGAAACAGAGTCAACAGAAAATGAGAGGAGGGATGCACGCCACATAGAAACTATAGAAAGTTATGATGGAGTTCATAGAAAGTTCAACCATATGAAAGATATAAAACATTTGATCCTAAATTTGAGCATAAACAAACATCACCACTTCACCACGGTCGTTCAATAAACCTTCTGCGGAGCATCTTTCTGAGTATGTTAGTGTTTAGACTTCTCCTGACCTAAAGTTGGTATATTTCCTCCAACATGTACAAACCTGGAGGAGGTCAGAGACGAGACTCTGCAGAGGAGCTGATAAGGTTGAACACTGAGCACCCAATATATCGTACATTGTTATGGAACACCAAGGTTAAGAGCAGTCTAACAGGCTCCTTTATGTGTTTATGTGTGATTCAACTAAAGATGAAGAGTTGGTAGACTTAGGTTGTTTTGAACCAAAGCCCAATTGGATCTTGACACATACGTAGCTGCGTAAGTTATGACCATATTTGGGACACTAGTGGATCTTGTGGGTCTACATTTGTGTTAAATATCCCCTCGACAGGAGACAACCTTCTGAACTGTGGTGGCAGCTGCTGTGTAAGTCTTCAAGGTCTCCTGAGCTCTTCATCGGGTACGAATGGTTCATCTTCTTCACGGTTTTTGGTGGTTCTTCCAGTCATTCAGTATTTTTTAAATGTTCCTGTGCCTATCCAATGACGACTTCCCAGATGGTTCTGTGTAAGAAACCGGGTGGCACAGTCAGGTCAGCGAGATTGTCGGTGACGATCAACAACACAAACACATTGTCTGTATGTGTTTGAGGGTTCAGTTACTCTTCAAGTAAAGTCACATAAAGCTGCTGGCGTGACTGTATAGACTCAGAGATTATACTACAGAGTTATTGGATTGTTTCATTTGCAATGATGTTTAGTTTCTTTGACTGGAATCTTTCTGGAAGTCTTCACACTAATAAATCTCTCTCTCCTATAGTGACACCAACATGGAGTACCAGTGGGCTGAAGATGACTTTGATCTGCCCAACGGGGTAGTTCGACTGGGCCTCTGTGAGCCTGTTAGTGGTCAAACGTATGTCATGTACCACGGCACCAGCAGCCAATATGTTAAATCCATCCTGGCCTCAGGGTTTAGCCAGTCTGAAGGCGGGATGCTCGGCCGCGGCGTCTACCTCAGCAGAGACCTCAACAAAGCCAGCCGCTACCCCATCAACTGCCCGGAGTCTGACAGGGTCGTCATTAAGGTCGTGGTCAATGTGGGGAAAGTGATCGCCATCAATTTTAAAGGCCACCCTCTTCAGAAGACCTGGCACAGCCACGGCTACGACACCGCCTGGGTGCCGCCCAACTGTGGAATGGTGAAGAGCGGATTGGAGGAGGATTGTGTCTGGGATCCCAGTCGAATCACCGTCATCGATAAAATCAAACCACGCCTAGTTAGTGTGTCTGGTGGTGCATACGGCTACAAATGAGCTCTTTTATTTTGTACCTTCAAATGAATTTTTATATATTTGGATAAAAAGTCAATGACGTTGCATTTTGTTACTGTGTCTCTGTAACCTGGAGAATAAATGCTTCATATTAACTCTGAGCCTCTGTTTGGTTTTGTTTACAGTGTGAACATTTTTATTTTGAGTGACTCTGTTCATCTTTTCTCTCCATACCCTTAACAATAATAATAATAATAATAATCTGCATCAATTCTCACAGATTAAAATCAACTAGTTTATTAATTTCTTCAGTTTTTTTAAATGAGTTGTTTCACAAACTGTGAGTTTCACTTGAGTTGAGGAACTTTGTGGCTGCTACTGTTAAACCAGCCATAACATTATGACCACCTGGACTCCCTGACTGGTCTCAGACCAACAACCTGCTCTGCACTGTGTGTTCTGACCCCTTTCTATTAGAACCAGGATTAACTGTTTCAGCAGTTTGAACTACAGTAGCTCTTCTGTTGGATCGGACAACACGGGCAAGCCTTCACTCCCCACCTGCATCAATGAACCTCGGCCCCCCATGACCCTGTCTCTGGTTCCGTTCCTTCCTTAGACCACTTTTGATTAGTACTGACCTCTGCAGACCAGGAACCCCCCACAAGAGCTGCAGGTTTGGAGATGCTCTGACCCAGTCGTCCATCACAATGTGGTTCTTGTCAAAGTCACTCAGATCCTCACGCTGCCCATTTTTCCTGCTTCTAACACATCAACTCTGAGGACCAAATGTTCACTTGCTGCCTGATATATCCCCCCACTGACAGGAGCCCTGATAACCAGATAATCACTGTTATATTTAATGGACAGAGCCTCTGGTTCGGCGAACTGAAGCCAACATGTAAGTGTCTTAAACCTGCATTTTATGTAATGGCCAGCAGGGGGCAGCTCCATGGGCTGCAAAAAAAAGAAGCCTGATAGTAGTCTTATGGAGGAATTAGTTTACTTCTCAGTTGATTTAAGAGCTCAACGAACAGTTTCTGGATGAGTTTCTGGTCTCAGTCTCTAGTTTCAGTCATCTTCCATACAGTATGATGTTCATTTAGTAAATTATTGTGCTACAATAGAAACGTAAGTGTCCTCAAATGTCTTGTGTTATCCATTAAAAAGTCCAAAGCCCAAAGATTTTAGATGAACTACAATGTAAGACAAAATAATTTCACATCCAAGAAGTTGTGACCATCATGTGTTTGGGATTTTTACATCATGATACAAAACAAATAAAAACTACTCACCGGCCCCTTTCCTGTACAGTTACAGTGCTGCACGTTGACCCACTTATTGTGCTGGAAAATATCCATAAAAATACAGGTACAGAGGAGAAAACTAGGAAAGGAAAATGAGAGATTAACTTAAAGAAAATAATTTTATTTAACAGAAATTAATTTAGCTGAACAAAACCTCAGTTTTTACTAATTAAACTGGCAGGTTAACTAAGACAAAATAATACTTTAAGTACAGGAAACCAAAGCACTGGTGCCAGGGGGGAAAGTCTCCAGACTACCAGGAGTGGACAGGTAACCTGGAGACACACAACAACAACACACACACACACACACACACACACACACAGACACACACACACACAAGCCGAATCACAGGTGAGAGAAGTGAAATTAAACATAAAAGGAAATTTATCCCAAAGCCCAAAGGTCCTTTGAACAGACAGCCGGCACTCTTGGAGGAACCTGGTGGAAGGTGAGTGTGTTAATACTGATTATATGAGGAGATTCAGTTAGTGAGTCCGATGGAAAGTTAACTCTTAAACCATCAATATGTTGAAGTGAAGTCATCATCACTTTTGGACACACCTGCATATTTTTCTTTATGTGAGAATAACAGGACTCTACAGTGGAGCTCTGTGCGGCTGTAGTTTGAGGTCCGTATGCTAACCTGCTCACACTGACAATGTTAATGTAATGTGAGTATACAATACAAATGTAATGATGTTTAGCAGTTACAAGTTTTTTTTACCATTAAAGGCCAGTTGCTTAGCATGTTAACATTTGCTAATTATCGTGAAACATTAAGTGATTGGTGACAATTATCAAATGTTACCAAAGAAGAAGCGAAACTGCGAACATAGTAAACATTATAGCTGTTAAACATTAACATATTAGAACTGTCACTGTGATGTCAGGCTAACATGCTTGAAGTTAGCATTCTGCTCAAAGCACTGTTGTACTGAAGGAAGTGTTCAGACCGACTGTAGCTGTGTGTTGAACCAAGCTCAACTCGCTGTAACCGGCAAGGTGCTTTAGGCTGGTTAATCAAACCTCTCTCTCTACAGTGACGCCAACATGCATTACCAGTGGGCCGAAGATGACTTTGATCAGCCCGATGGGGTACTGCGACTGGGCCTCTCTGAGCCAGTTAGCGGTCAAACGTATGTCATGTATCACGGCACCACCTGGCAGAACGCCCAAGCCATCCTGGTGTCAGGATTTCGCCAGTCTGCAGGCGGGATGCTCGGCCGCGGCGTCTACCTCAGCAGAGACCTCAACAAAGCCAGCCGCTACCCCCTCGATCACCTTGAGTTTGACAGGGTCGTCATTAGGGTCGTGGTCAACGTGGGGAAAGTGATCGCCATCAAACATCAAGGCCACCCGCTTCAGAAGACCTGGCACAGCCACGGCTACGACACCGCCTGGGTGCCGCCCAACTGTGGAATGGTGAAGAGCGGATTGGAGGAGGATTGTGTCTGGGATCCCAGTCGAATCCAGATCCTGGGTACCATCAACCCACGTCCAGTCCAAGACCGACGTTCAGTCCAACCTTTCCTTAGGAGTGGTTTATTGGCCTGTGCACTTCTGTGTGTTTTTATATTCTTATTCTTTATTTTACATATTTGGTTAAAACAATAATGTTACAGGATAAATTTGTCGTCTGGTGGGATGAGCATATTTCATTTGTTTTCTTCCTGCTCACTCTTCTGCGTCTTACATGCATCCTGTCAGTGAGATTAATCTTTTAAATGTTTCATATGTAACTTTCAATAAAACCGTTGTTAACTCTGTGCTATTAATTAGCTTTCCATTTAGGAATCACCCCATCAGCCAACACCACGAAGCAACCGACACCAGACCCAGTCTTGTTTCATCCATTAATCGGTCCACAGCCCAGATATATAAAATTTACGATAACGAAAGACAAAAAACAACAGCAGAAATATCACATTCAATAAGCTGCAACCATTAAATGTTTGGTGTTTTACATCATGATTATACAACAGAAGTAAGAAAGAAATAATTACTCAGCTGATCCCTTCTGATTGGCCGGAGGGAGTGTATTATTCTTTGATAACATCACAGCTGTAACACAAATCAGCTTCCTGAGTTCGTCTTTGTGAAGCTGCACCTTCTCGTACTCACCGGGCAGGGAAAGGGACATTTTTTTCTGCCTATTCATAAACAGTGATAACGTTTACAGGGAAATCATTAGCTGCTGGAACACTATCCTAACAAACGTGTTTACAATCAATCACACATTGTATTTCTTCCGATATTGTATACTGTTTGATTAGAGTCTAATGCACAGGCTCAAGGAAAAGATTCAAAATGAACACAAAGAAAAACAAAAAATCTACAGAGAGACACAAAGCAGTTAGAAGGAAACACAAAGTGACCACAAAGAGACACAAAACAACTAGAACTGAAGCATTCAGGTATAAAAAGGAGAGTAAAGATAAGGTCTGCAGGGCAGCTTCCTTCCAGATGCAACTAGGAACAAACTAGTTGTACAAAATGTTCCAAAGTGTTTTTGGCAATCCCACATCCGCAGACGTGGATCTGTTGTTTCTATTGGCCTGGAAAGTCCCATGACTCCCTCCCATATCTCCCAAGCCCCACCAGTACCATGACCAACCTCTAATTATAAACCCTGTCTGAGTGTAAACAGGAGTCCTTAAAAGGCAACCGAAACTGAAAGTGCACATTCCTTTCCTCCTGTGAACTCACAGTGTGCAGCAGTGGAGAGAGGAGAGGTACGTGAACACAAACTGTTTATTCCCTATAAAAGACTACAGTAAGCATTTTCACTTTGCATGTACGAGGAGGTAAAGTTAGTCTGATGAAGAGTTTGCTCTTGTCTAGAATACGTTGACGTGACATTTTTCTGGTGTATGCCGACTTAACCAAACATACCTTTGAACCGTATTTAATCTGCAGCAAATAAGTGAATTTCTCAGGGTTTTCTGGTTTTTGTGTTGGTGGACTTTGAGACTTTGGGCCTTGCTTATGGCTTGCATGATGGCTGCAGAGTGAACAACCTGTGACTGGGTAACTGTCTCTTAGTATCAGTATCAAACTGTTTACAACTACACACATTACTGTAATTAAGTCATTATTTTGGGTACTTTTTTAGTGTTTTTTTCAAGCCTTATTTTTGTGTTTTCACGGTGTGGTCCACATATGATGCTGAATCATGGCTACTTGCAGCTTTAATGAACTGATTTGACTTGTTACAACTATGGAGGAAATATTGTCCATTTTTTAAAAACAATCATCCTTAAAAATACAAAAAAGTTTTACTGGAGTCAACATACAAGACTACAAACATCCAATTGTATATATTGTATATGTAGCTCCTCCTTCACTGCAGTCCAATGTGTTATTATTGATGAATCAGAAACTAAATTATAATTTGGACAGGTTTATGCGCAATTATAAGAAACAAAACTAATGTTTTTTTATTTTTTCATACGTCTGAACTCTCGCTCAACTCCACCCTGACCTACTTTTACTCAATAGTTCCTATGTGGAGTGCCGGTCATGTTGCAGGAGCACCCCTCCCCTTGTCTTCTGCTACTTCTGGAGACTTTCCAAAAAGGGGGGAGAGGAGAGTAACACTGTTATAATAAACCCTGGATAAAAGAAACATAATTATATGTGCAAAGAAAAAGGCTTGTAAATGAAGATGATGATAACCAGCCATGAGCAGCTGCTGTCAGACTCTCTGTGTTTCTGGCACGGACACAGAGAGGATGGAAATTTTACAGTTACTAGAATGATCAATTCGCGTCGATAGTGAACAACAACACTTTTAAATACCCATGTACTTAGGTTTTCAGCTGAAAAAAAAAGGTTTAGGGGTTTATAATGTCGCAATTTAGCTCCGTGATCAGCACTTCTTCAAATCCCACAGAGATCGATTCAGAGGCCATTGACTGACTGACTTGTGGCCTGGTGCCACAGCATTGATCTAGCGTGAAGTTCAATCTGGAGTCTGCATTTTGTATCTTATTTTATTTTGAAAATTAAAGGATTGTCGTTGGTGTGGGTCTGCCAGAAATAGACCAGCTGCGTATTCTAAAGCATGGCTTAGAATGGGCGCCGTTAGTGTGACTTTGTGCTCAGCTAGGCTAAACACCAAACTTAACTATCCTTAACTTAACTGTGTTAATTTTCTGGTCTCATTCCTGTGTGTCTGATCTCCGGTGAGGCTGCAATGATGTTTAGTTGGAATCTGTCTGAAGTCTTTACACTAACAAACTCTCTCTCCTACAGTGACCCCGTCATGGAGTACCAGTGGACTGAACGTGATCTTCCCGATGGGGTAGTTCGACTGGGCGCCTCTGAGCCAGTTAGTCATAGCACGTATGTCATGTACCACGGCACCAGCAGCCGGAACGCGCGATCCATCCTGGCCTCAGGATTTTGCCAGTCTGCAGACGGGATGCTCGGCCGCGGCGTCTACCTCAGCAGAGACCTGAACAAAGCTCGCTGCTATCCCGCTTTTCACCCTGAGTCTGACCAGGTCGTCATCAGGGTTAAGGTCAACGTGGGGAAAGTGATCGCCATCAATTATCAAAACCACCCGTTTCAGAAGTCCTGGCATGAGTACGGCTACGACACCGCCTGGGTGCCGCCTATGTGTGGAATGGTGAATTGCGGTTTGGAGGAGGATTGTGTCTGGGATCCTCGTCGAATCGAGATCATCGATACCATCAACCCACAACCAGTCTCAGCCGGTATTCTTGCTGCAGGTGTTGCAGTGTTGTCAGGTATTGCTCTACTCGCATTGGCTTTGGTAAAGTCTTAATGGCGACACCGACTGTGCGTGGAATGGTGGATCCAGATCATAGATAGCATCAAACCACAGACAGTCCAAGACCCACTTGCAGGTGGATTTCTCTTGTTGCCTTTCTCTGTTGCCATATATTCTTGGAGAATGTTAAATCTGAGTTGCAGTCTGTATTTTTGAAAGCAGAGAGTGATGTTTCGTATATTTTTATGTGCCGACAGGAATATTGTCACAACTGTGTTATATTCTGTCTGATTACTCTCAGTGGTTACGTCTTATTAATCTTTTATTATTATTATTTTAATCATACTCATCATGCGTTTATCATTTATGTATGTAAGATGTGGGTCTCCATCAGAGAGTGAATAGGTCTGTTATTAGTTGATGTGGTGAGTCATTCATTCATTCATTTATTCTACTTGTATTCACTTAGTTACAGTATTAATAATTTATGCTTTACCCATGTGTGCATTATTCACCACACTATTACTATTAGATTATAATGACTTGTTGACATCATATTACTTATCACATATTATTATGATTTAAAGAGTGTCACTTGTTTATTAAGAATAAATAAGATGAGCTTCTGTTTGTGGTTGTGACCGGCTCCGTTCAGGTCGAACTGAGATGGCTGACAGAGAGCAGCATTGGTGTAACTGCAAAGCTGAATCATGTGCAAAAAACAGAAGTTCAAAAATTAAGTTGAGGTTCTGAAACCATAAAAACAAGAAGAGGAGAAGAGTACACAAAGTTTTTGAAAGGTTCCTGATGGGAGGAGTAAAACCACAAGAGGGTAGAAAGCAGAAACTGGAACCTCGATAAAGGGAAGAACTTCCACCGCTGGCGGTTTTTGGTTTCTCTGTTTTCAGACCACAGCGGTGTTTGAGGATTGTGAGTTTTCAATCTCTTGCCTGAACAGTGAGAAACAGATAACCGTGAGTATTGGATGAGTCGCAAATCAGTAAACAACTGAGGTTTATTAGATTCAAATTTAGCAGATAGATAGAAGGACTGAATTTAAACAGAAATCTAAAACTCTTAGAAAACAAGTCGATCATAGTGGTTCTGAGCAAAGTCGGTTTCAATCTTTTACTTTTATTTTTTTCTATTTTTTGTAAACCAAGACTTATAATTGATAAAATAAAAACTACTTTAAACATAAATATGAACTCTCACTTCCCTTTTTTATCCTGAGGAACACTTCTGTGAAGACCATCCGAGGAGAGTTCTTCAAACGAGATGTCAGTGCTAAGTCTGCTTTAAGTCAGGGACGAAGTCAGTGAGCAGGGCGTTTCTGTGCTTTCTCTCCACCTGCAAAGACTACCAGGACTCTATGAGTGTGCACAGTCAACATTGGTACCATCATTAAGGACACATACATCCGTTCTAATGGAACGTTTGTTATGGTTTTGGGGTTTCCGCAGTCATTTCCTGTTTTATTTTGTAGATTGGCTCTGTCCTCTGGTTAGAGGGCAAGGGATTTTGGGGGTTTCAACCATATTATTCTGCTGAGACACATTTAGCTGCAGGAGGGATGCAGGTGTGGAGATGGCTTGTGAGAGCAGAACCAGAGTTGTTTACTCAAGCCATGTTTGGAATTAGGTGATGTGACAAAGCCGGGAAAAGATAAAGGGAAAAGTGGAGTATTTGTAATGTGTGTGTGCAGCCAGGAAATAAAGAAAGTCTGTGGTGTGACCCATCGGCTGCTTATTACATTGGAAACTAACATATTTTTTTGATGAATAAAATGGCCCAAAGATATTATATTTAGTATAATAAAGACAAAGAAATGTCACATTCAATCATGATACAAAACTAAAAACACTCCACTGACCCTTCCTTGTACGCATCAACTATAAAGTACAGGAAACTAAAGCCCTGGTGGCAGAGAGTCTCCAGGACTATCAGGATGGGAGGGGACAGGAAACCTGCACACACACACACGCACACACACACACACACACACACACACACACACACACACATCGTTAAAGATTAAACAATTAAAACAAAAGTGAAACATGAATGCACTTTTTTTCCTGATATGAAGCAACGTGAACGGACAGCCTGCACTCTTGGAGCAACCTGCAGAGAGGTAAGGACTGCCTGAACACACACAATATTATCAATGCTGCGTATATGAGGACGTTAGTGAGTCTGATGGAAATGTGCTATACAACAGGACGGTCTATAAATCTGTGCAGAATTCAATTCAATTCAATTTTATTTGTATAGTGCCAATTCATAACAGATGTTATCTCAGGACACTTTACAAATAGAGCAGGTCTAGACCGAACTCTTTAAAATAATTTAAATACATTTTTAGAATAAAGAATGTTCTTATTGACATGTGATAATATTGTAGTAAAAGTCAGCTACGGTTTCATTTCTTCATGTGAATCAGGTGTCTGTGGACCGAGGTTGTCGTAAAACTGTACAGATTGTAATGTATCTGAGGCAAATTTGTGATTTGTGTCCAAAATTAAAGAGATGACATTAGATTCCAGGATTTCTCCTGTGATCATTAATTCAAATATCTTGGCACAGTAGTTGAGGACACTGTATGTAAGAAAGCAAACCTCTCTCCTGTTTTATGGCGGATGCTTCCACTTTTTAATGAGTTTGAGTTGTTAACTCATTTCTTCCTGCTGCAGTTGGACTTTTAATAATGTGATATTTGTATTTATGTACTTAAAGCACTTTATTTATTGTCTCATCGGTTGTTGTGTGTTGATTATATTGATACTGATATACTGCTGGTTGTACCACAAACAGGGATAATAAAGCTACCCTTGGACCCTTGAACCTTGTTTAGCAGCTATGAACTGAATGTTTCTTCCTGTTTCTAATGTTGGCGCTACATGAAGCCAAAGTTATTACACAATGTCACACTATCCAGCAAGGCGCTGTAGGCTTATTATGATATATTGTAATGTGTTCATTTCTTAATTTTCTGGGATGGTTTCAGTGTTGAACCCAGCAAAGGATGTAAGCCCGAAGGTAGCACACACAGATTTTCAGTAAAAAGTTGACTAATCTCAATTACACCAAATTATTTTGACCATGTCAGAAAAACAACAATTTAAGCATGAAAAAATATTTGATTTGAGTTGCAGTCATTTATTGTTAATGAAAAGAAAATTAAATGACTTGTACTCCAAACTTATTTAAAATGCGTGAACAGAATTTATCTGAATAAAGTAACTTAAATGCATCTTGTTATCACTTAAATTAAATTTACTCAGTTTTTTTGTTACCAGCCGAAACAGCTGATGTACAACAAAAATAATTCACAATTAATCGACTATCAAATCAGTAGCCAATCACTTTTGGGGCTTATATTCTGACCGCGATGCTAGGCTGACAGTTTCCCACTGCTTCTTCCTGTCTTTGTGCTAAGCTAGGCTAAGCACAGAACTTAAAGTGGACCTTAAATATTAAACAGTCTGTTTGTTTTTCAGATTTCGTTCCTGTGTTATATCCTTCTGAAGTCTTCACACTAATAAACCACCAACATGAGCAGGTACCAGTGGGCTGAAGATGACTTCGTCCTGCCTCCTGGGGTAGTTCGACTGGGCGTCTCTAAGCCAGTTAGTGGTCAAACGTATGTCATGTACCACGGCACCACCAGGCAGTGCGCTCAGTCCATCCTGCGCAAAGGATTTCGCCCATCTGCAGACGGGATGCTCGGCCGCGGCGTCTACCTCAGCAGAGACCTGGAGAAAGCCAGCCGCTACCCCCTCGACTGCCCAGAGTCTGACAGGGCCGTCGTCAGGGTTAAAGTCAACGTGGGGAAAGTGAAAGCCATCGATTGTCAAGGCCACCCACTTCAGAAGACCTGGCACGACCACGGCTACGACACCGCCTGGGTGCCGCCCGACTGTGGAATGGTGAAGAGCGGATTGGAGGAGAATTGTGTCTGGGATCCCCGTCGAATCCAGATCATCGATACCATCAACCCACAACCAGTCGAAGACCTGTCAGGTGGAATTCTTGCTGCAGGTGTTGCATGGTTGCCAACCGCAAAAGACCTTTGTCCTTTAATGTAGTAATTTCCATTTATTGTCACTTTTTCCACTAAGGTTCAGAGGCAAATAAAGAACTTCTTACCAGACTATGTTGAGTGGACAGTTACTTTACATTTAAGACTGCTGACAGAGCCTGGCTACCTGATTTCCCCTGTTTGTGCTAAGCTAAGCTAACCAGGTGCTAACTTCAGCTTCATATTTACTTTACACACAAGTTTTTATTACTTTTCCAAAATGTTAACCCATACCTACAATATACAGTCAAACTTCCAATAAAAGCACGTTCCGTAATAAACGCTGGTCTCCAATAAAGGCCTGGTGTGGATTTTATAGACATGATCTGAATGTATAAAACACCTTAAACCCTACCTGGTCCACTGATCAAAAGAATCAAAGGCTTTCATTAAAATGAATCAGAGTTGTGAATATTATCACGTGAAGTCGGTTGCTCACTGATTGTACGCTGGCTGCCGTAAAACGACATTCACGTTCCAGTGGCGCTAGCATGGAGAAAAAAAAGTATGACCTGAAATTTACTGTAAGTTGTCAAATTTACTTAACGAAACTCAAGAGAAGCAGTACAGTTAGAGATCTGTCCTAAAGGAAAGTCCCAAATAGAGGCCTGTCCCCAATAAAGGCAGGGGGAGTTCACTGATTTAAGCAAATAAACGCCCGGGCTATTATTCGAAGTTTTACGGTAACGTGATTGAATATGTTTGATTTGGATGGTAAATCGTTAAAGTTTTCGTAGAGCTTTCAAGAAATAATCTTTTCTAATGTTTGACTTATGTATTGATTAATGTGGGTCATAAAAAGGATCTGTGGGTTAAAGCTATAAGATATAAAGTGTCGGATGATGAGCATTAAAGGTGCTGGAAGGTGAAGTTTATCACTTTTGGACTGCTGGCTGGATTCATATTTACCTAACAGACACCATGATATCACTCAAACAGCTGTTGTTATTGTAAAACACTTAACTAATCCTACATGGATCTGAGTGAGTATGTGAACTGTATATTGATCTCATCAAATGTATTGTTTTATCCATTAAATATATTCAATTTACTATAATGTAAGACAAAGAACAACAGCGGAAGTATCACATTCAACAAGCAGGTGCACAAGCAAACCATGAGCAAACATACAAGGCCCTAAAATCACTGATCACTGTGAGCCACGCCGCTGTGTTGACCACACCCAAAACCCACATCCTTGTCTGACTGTAAACGAAAGTCATAAAAAAATGTGAGAGGTGAAACGAAAGTGAAACATCGGACACAACTTTATGCAAAAGTTCCTCCCTACGCCTGAAGTTTCTTATAAAAAGAAGAGCGAACTCACAGCCGTCACTCTCGGAGGAACCCAGAGAAAGGTATGTGCACACAGTTTGTTTGTTTCTTCCCTAAAAAGTCTGCAGATTTACAGAGAATATTATCAATATTATACAATATGAATCATAGGAGGAAGTAAAATTAGTTACACAAATGTCCCTTTTAAACATAGTGAGAGGCTGCAGTTGTTCAGAACTTAAGTTATAAATAGAGTAATCGTTACACTGATATCAGACTCTGGATCTTTGTTAAACAGGTTTTGTGGAGAGTTTTTCCTCATCTGAATCGAGGATGTTGCATTCAGTGTCACTCCCTTTTATTAATGGCAACAGTTTAAGCATGAAAAAACATTTTTTTTTGAGTTGAAGTCATTTATTGTTAATGAAAGGTAAATTAAATTACTTGTATTCAATATTGAAAGTTTTCTTTGCATTTCTCCAAACTTATTTAAAATGTGTGAATAAAGAAACTTAAATGCATCTTGTTACCACTTAAATTGAACTTACTTTTTCTTCAACACAGCTGACGTACGATAAAAACACAATCGACTATCGAAAGCGTAGCCAATCACTTTTGGGGCTTATATTTTAAAGAAAATGAGTCAATGGAACAAACTGGAATTGAATCATTAATGCTTAAAATACTGCACAATTGATCTTATTTTTGAGTTGGGTTTAATTCATGTGAATGAATTTATTTATGTTAACTTACTTCCATTATTAAGATGTGTTGTCAGGATTTAAGGTGTACCTTAATTTAGCTGCTATAGTCAGTGTTATCAGTAAGCTACGAACTCTTTCTTTAACATTATCGTTGTTAGCATTCAGCTGGAAGCTCTGCTGTGCATTCAGACCAACAGTCCTTCATTTGAGCCAACACTGACGCTCTGCTTAAAAAAATGCATTGTGATGTCTGTGATGCTAGGCTGACAGTTTCCGACTGCTTCTTCCTGTCTTTGTGCTAAGCTAGGCTAAACACAGAACTTAAAGTGGATCTTAAATATTAAACAGTCTATTTGTTTTTCAGATTTCCTTCCTGTGTTATATCCTTCTGAAGTCTTCACACTAATAAACCACCAACATGAGCAGGTACCAGTGGGCTGAAGATGACTTCGTCCTGCCTCCTGGGGTAGTTCGACTGGGCGCCTCTCAGCCAGTTAATGGTCAAACGTATGTCATGTACCACGGCACCACCAGGCAGACCGCTAAGTCTATCCAGGCCTCCGGATTTCGCCCATCTGAAGACGGGATGCTCGGCCGCGGCGTCTACCTCAGCAGAGACCTGGAGAAAGCCAGCCGCTATCCCCTCGACTGCCCAGAGTCTGACAGGGCCGTCGTCAGGGTTAAGGTCAACGTGGGGAAAGTGAAAGCCATCGATCGTCAACGCCACCCACTTCAGAAGACCTGGCATGACCACGGCTACGACACCGCCTGGGTGCCGCCCAACTGTGGAATGGTGCCGAGCGGATTAGAGGAGGATTGTGTCTGGGATCCGGATCGAATCCAGATTCTCGGTACAGTCAAGCCACGTCCACTCCAACCCTCCGGTGGATGCGGTGCATACGGCTACAAGTGAGCTCTGCAAGCTGTTTATTCTGTATGCTCAAATGTATTTTTATATATTTGTATACAAACTAAACTTACTGTGTGATTGTAAGTGGGAAAATAAACGGTTCATATTAAATCTAAAGCTTCTGTCTGGTTATATTTATAACAGTATGAATATGCTGAGTATATCTTATCTTGAGCCGCTTAAACTGCTTAGTTAGACAAACACAGAATCATCTTTTAAAAAAAGACAAAGCTTATTGAGTTTTATGTTTTCCATTGAACAAAGCAGAGAAAGTAAATATAACAACTATTTACATGTAAACTATTTACTATGTTACATCTCTGTTGAGCACAGGCTTACCCACTGAGGTCAGAAAGGTATTTGTCTGAGGGGGGTTGAAGCAAAATTGATAATTTCTGTAGGTTTTCTATAATTATTATTGCACATTTTATCACTAGTACACTGTATATAAATAACACTGAAGGCTGTTGGGTTGGGAAACCACTTCCCCCTCCTCCTTAGAACAGTAAATTCCAGCCAAGAAGGGAAGCAGGAAGAGCATATCGCCAAAATATGAGACATCCAACGCACCAGGCAGAGACCGACAGTGCTCAAGGCCACGAGTTCCTTCCTCATTCACTCCACGTTACAGTCCGCACATAAAACATGTGATTATCTCTCTTTGTCAGAGCTGAAACATACTTTTTTTATTACCCTGCTTTTTATTAAATAGACCAAAGACAGCTTCTTGTTACATGATCATTTATTTGTTTTAACAGGCAGTTTTTCCTTGCCCTTGTCTCCAAGGTCTTGCTCATGGTGGTACTGTTGGGTCTCTGTAAATAATGTTATAAGGAGTTCGGTCTAGACCTGCTCTATTTGAAAAGTGTCCTGAGATAACTTCTGAATAGAGGGTATGCACGTGACGTCACGGTACCCGGAAGTCGCTGCGGTTACGTCCACTGAGTGGCAAGTAGAGCGCAGTAACGTTTACCAGCGTCAACACTGCCAGAATCCTATAAGAAAAAGAAGAAGAGCCGCCAAGATTTTATATTCAACATGGGGAAGAGCTGCTGTGCTATCGACTGCACTAATAGATTTGCAAAGGGGTCGGAGCAAAGTTTCTATAGGCTACCGAAAGCAACAGAAAAGAGACGGCGATGGATCACTGCGATCCGGAGAGACAGCTGGTATCCAGGCACCGAGACCTGGATCTGCGGTTCACATTTTGTGTCAGGGAACGTTAAATTATGCTGTATTTTCGGACAAAATCATATCATTAAATTACATAATATATTGCCAACGTGACTTCAGTAAAGCTCTTAACGTTATCTTTCATTTAGCTAACGTTAGCTTCTGTATTATGTATTCATTAATGTTAATAATCCTAGCTAGTTTAAGGTAACTGAAGGACCCAAAAGTCATACTTTAGTACAAATAAAGATATCGTGTTAAAGTATTACTCTGGTAAAAGTGAAAGTCACCTAAATAAATAGTACTTGGGTAAAAGTCTCAAAGTATCTGATGTTGGCTGTACTTAAAAATCAAGTACAAGTAAATTATTTACTTGTGTCAATACACTGTATAGGCTCCTGTAAACTGACTTTATCAGCTTATTTTCTGCTATGATGTTTAGTTTTGGATTCTGTTTAAATCTAATGGCTGATTGAATAAATAGATTTTTAAATGTGCTAACCTGGCTCTGATTCATATAGAAATCGTTATATGTATATATTCGCTGCTACCAACCATGTATATTTGTTTTTTCAGGAAAAAAGAGTGATGATCCTCTACACCCTGACTATGTGCCAAGTTTATTCAGCTTCACCTCTACTGCTGATCGGACTCGGGCTATCTCCCCTGGAGAGATATGTGCGAACTCAAAACGTTTCTGGCAAAAGACATGATGGGCTAACTGCAACAGACAGAGGTACTCCGTCAGAGCAAGAATTACAGGTAGATCAAGGAGATAATAACACAATACAATACATTTTACAGCATAAGACATCAGAGTCTCCTGAACACTTTCTGAACTCCTGACCATTGACTTCAGCTATTTCTTCTCAACAGGTACAAACTGAAACTGGAGTCCAAGGCACTGAGGTCCAGACAGAGGAGACACACAATGACATTGCCTCATTATATAAACAAATTGAATCTTTAAACATCGAATGTCAATCACTGAGAGATAAAATTCATGGACTAGAAAGTGAGTTGAAGCATCGTACCCTTGACCCTTCACAATTTGATGACAGCAAAATGAAATTTTTCACAGGACTTCCCAATTTACAGACTTTCATGTTATTGTTTAGCTTTGTGTTGTCAGTTTTTCCTGCTACTCCAAAGCAGTCCCTCAAGCCTGCTCAGGAACTGCTTCTTACACTGATGAAGCTGCGCCTCAATCTGTCAGAGGAATTTTTAGGTTACCTCTTTGGGATTCACCAGTCAACAGTATCCAGAGTCTTTCACCGTTGGATACATGTTATGGCAAGCAGGCTTCATCCTCTGATATTGTGGCCAGAAAGAGAAGACCTTAGACGCAGCTTACCAATGTGTTTTCGTACATTTCTTAAGAACTGTGTAAGCATAATCGACTGCTTTGAAGTGTTCATAGAGCGTCCTTCTGACTTAAAAGCTCGAGCTCAAACTTGGAGCAACTACAAACAACACAACACTATAAAATTTCTTATTTCAATCACCCCACAAGGAAGCATCTCTTTCATGTCCAAGGCCTGGGGTGGACGTGTTACAGACAAACACCTGACAGAACACAGTGGGTTCCTTGACAAGCTCCTACCAGGGGACTTGGTACTGGCTGACCGAGGTTTCACAATTGAGGATAGTGTTGGCCTATTTTGCGCAGAATTAATAACGCCTCCATTCACACGAGGGAAGAAACAGCTTAGCCGAAAAGAAATTGAATCGGCTCGTGAAATTTCTCGTGTGAGAATCCACGTCGAAAGAGTGATTGGAATGTTGAGGCAGAAATACACAATTCTGGGCTCAACGCTGCCTGTAAGTCTCGTTAGAGTGGAGGAAAATGGCAAAGTGGAGGACAGCCTTATAGACAAGATTGTGTTAACATGCTGTGCTTTATGCAATATGTGTGGGTCCATAGTGCCTTCAGATTGAGGTGAACATTAGTTCAAACCTTTTGTCTTAATAGTTCGTATCAATATATATTGGATGATAAGTGTAAATATTAATTTTAAAACTTTTGCGTGATTTTCATTGATAAGCCCGTAAAGGGTTACATTTTGTAAATATTTACTCTGTGATGTATCTGTTATGTATTTACTCTAAGTTATTTCACAGTAACATATGAAGTAGGTTTATATTCATGTTTATGTGTTATCATATTTAGTATGTATATATGTTATTGTTTAGTATACCTATGTGATGGGTAGCGTTCCCTCCCCACTCTAGTTTAGCCACACCCTGCAATCATTGATTGTCAGCAGGTGAGGCTAATCACTTCTCAGTCCTTAAATGTAGCTGTGTAGCAGTCAGCAGTACGTTTTGCCTCACCCTACCCTGACTCTACAGTTGTTTGAGGGATGCCGATGCCCAACTAAGGTATGAATTGTTCTTTGCTTGTTTGTCATATAGTGGGCGCATGCATTAAATTCTTCCCTCACATCTGTGCAGGGGTAATGGCAGGAATATGGGAGCTAATTGAAGGTAGTTGCTGCTCCCTCCACTAGAAGAGTGGTGTGTGTATGTGCCAGATTCTAGTTGGATAAATTGTTCATGTAACTCGCAGGTATGTTAATCTTTACGTTGTATGTCTTGTGTACTATTCTTCTCAGTGGTCTTTAGATTTTAATGACTGAAACATATGTTTTTGGATTATTGTTTATATTGTATACATGTCACCATATATTTTGTATGTGTTTTCTTTACAGTAGGAACTGGAACATGGTGTCTGTTCCCATGACCTAGTCTTCTGGCTACTGCTGTTTTTGCCCTTCTACAAATGTATTTATTGTATATGGTTACCTTGTTTTACTGTGTAGATTGTTAATTTTTGATAGTTGGTTTGTGTTTTCTTGGTTTCTTTCATAAACCAAACTTGTGAGTTAATGATATAGTGGAGCTCTTTTTAGTGTTTGTACAGGTGGGCTGTCATACGCTTACAATTGGTGGGTTACTGGGTGGAGGGTTTCCCCCTGTCTGGGTTCTATGTGCATGCTTACGTTGCTGTGTATTCTATGTGCTTTATTGTTTTGCAGTGTGTGTGTGATCTCTTCTTCCCTGTACATACTGGTGGTGGTGACCCCCCCCCCCCTTTTCTCTCACTCCCTCATTCCTGTAGGCCTTCCTGACAGCCCCCCTCCCCCTTGTACTGGTAATTACCTGTTTAGTGAATATAAGTATATTTTGGTAATAAATCGTAAATTTTAACCTATCCCAAATGGTTTTTTTTTTTTTTTTTTTAGAGTGACATTAAATCTGTGTAAATAAATGTAGTGGTCGAAACTGGAAATTCACATCTCTGCTCCTTTTTCTCTGTACTATAAGAACCTGTGAAAGTGGGTGTTCTCTGGGTGAAAGTCCCAGGGTGGCGTTGTTGCACTTGCTGTCAGGGCGCTTAGTTGCCCTGGTCACACCTATATACTTTTATACTGTTATTGTTTTGTATACCTATAAAAGCAGAATAGGCTCTTAAAGCTTATTATTTATTGAAAATAATTGTAATAGTTTTGACAACTGTCAAGTCAGTCTAGATATGCTAATATGTCACTTTCCAACCTTAAACATGTAAACAGTGTGTGGAAATAACCCCAGACTTACATTCTAAATAGTTACATTTTATATACAATGATAGGACTAATAAGAAAAAGATTACGCCAAAAATGCTGTAAAAACTTTGGTTTTGAATAATAATGTAACATATTTACAAATGTGAAATGTGTCACCAACTGCTCCTTTGAATGGGAGGTGGAAACAGTTCACAAGCATCAGTCAGTAATTTGGGGCTTTTCAAAATGTTCAGTAGTTCCCCCATCATAAAATAACTTTCTATATCATCTTTTCTCTGTAGGCAAAGTGTCACTTACGTATAAATATGTACAAGTTAAGTGCAAGCTGTAACATCATCCCTAAGGTGAAGGGCTTAACACAATAACAGTCCTACAGATGAGATGTTGCACCAGGATTCAGTACTGCATTTTTGGTGAACTCTTTTCCCAATAATTCTGGCAGCACTCCATACTTGAAAAACGTTGTGGCCTTCATAACATGTCTTTCAAAATTTACATCTGGGGTTATTCTTTCAATATACAATTCTGAAGGTGTCCACACACAAAAGTCACAGTACAGAGATTTTGTGACATGAATCTGGCACTGCACTTGAAAGTAGTAGTTGTGCTGTCTGTTAAGTGTCAGCGTCACATCTGAGGATGAAGATGTGACCAAGGGAAAGTCTTTTTCTTTTGACAGTTCAAGCAGTGTCTTGTCTTTTGCCAAGTAGGGACATTTGATTTCCAGGCAGCCTGAGCCACAACAGTCACAAGACCCCTTCCCATCCGGGGAAGCGCCTAGGTGAGGGTAATGTGAGGAAATATTGAGTCCAGTGGTGGTCACATCAAAATTGACATGTCTTGATGACATGGTTTCAGTGTATTTCTCCTTTGCCTTGTTTTCCTGATGAATGCCCCACCTGAAAATATTTGAGGAAAACATGTTACTTTTAAATTAGGGCATACATATACATGTCCACAATTACTTTTCATCAGGTTTTGTAAGATTTTATCATTCACTAGTTTTATCCTTCTGAGAAGAGAACAACTTTGAAATTTCATAAATTTACTATGTTGTTAAAGCAATAAATAATACCTTGTTGCTGCAGTGGTAAACTTTGCTGATTCTGGGTAGCATACAGCTTTCACAAGTGGTTTTGGGGGCTGATTTTCATTGCTTTTGATAACTGCACCAAACTTGGAAGCTGTTACTCTGCCACATCTGTAGGTATACCACACCCTTGTCTCCAAGGTCCTGCTCATGGTGGTACTGTTGGGTCTCTGTAAATAATGTTATAAGGAGTTCGGTCTAGACCTGCTCTATTTGAAAAGTGTCCTGAGATAACTTCTGTTATGAATTGGCGCTATATAAATAAATTGAATTAAAGTGGACCTTAAATATTAAACAGTCTGTTTGTTTTTCAGATTTCGTTCCTGTGTTATATCCTTCTGAAGTCTTCACACTAATAAACCACCAACATGAGCAGGTACCAGTGGGCTGAAGATGACTTCGTCCTGCCTCCTGGGGTAGTTCGACTGGGCGTCTCTAAGCCAGTTAGTGGTCAAACGTATGTCATGTACCACGGCACCACCAGGCAGTGCGCTCAGTCCATCCTGCGCAAAGGATTTCGCCCATCTGCAGGCGGGATGCTCGGCCGCGGCGTCTACCTCAGCAGAGACCTGGAGAAAGCCAGCCGCTACCCCATCGACTGCCCAGAGTCTGACAGAGTCGTCGTCAGGGTTAAAGTCAACGTGGGGAAAGTGAAAGCCATCAAACATCAAGGCCACCCACTTCAGAAGACCTGGCATGACCACGGCTACGATACCGCCTGGGTGCCGCCCAACTGTGGAATGGTGAAGAGCGGATTGGAGGAGAATTGTGTCTGGGATCCCCGTCGAATCCAGATCATCGATACCATCAACCCACAACCAGTCGAAGACCTGTCAGGTGGAATTCTTGCTGCAGGTGTTGCAGTGTTGTCAGGTATTGCTCTCGCTGCGTTGGCTTTCGTAAAGAATTAATGACGACACCGACTATGTGTGGAATGGTGGAGAGCAGTTTGAAGGAAGATCCAGATTAGTGGTACCATCAACCCACGTCCAACCGCAAAAGACCTTTGTCCTTTAATGTAGTAATTTTCATTTATTGTCACTTTTTCCACTAAGGTTCAGAGGCAAATAAAGAACTTCTTACCAGACTATGTTGAGTTGACAGTTACTTTACATTTAAGACTGCTGACAGAGCCTGGCTACCTGATTTCCCCTGTTTGTGATAAGCTAAGCTAAGCTAACCAGGTGCTAACTTCAGCTTCATATTTACTTTACACACAAGTTTTTATTACTTTTCCAAAATGTTAAACCATACCTACAATATACAGTCAAACTTCCAATAAAAGCACGGTCCCTAATAAACGCTGGTCTCCAATAAAGGCCTGGTGTGGATTTTATAGACATGATCTGAATGTATAAAACACCTTAAACCCTACCTGGTCCACTGATCAAAAGAATCAAAGGCTTTCATTAAAATGAATCCGAGTTGTGAATATTATCACGTGAAGTCGGTTGCTCACTGATTGTACGCCGGCTGCCGTAAAACGACATTCACGTTCCAGTGGCGCTAGCATGAAGAAAAAAAAAGTACGACCTGAAATTTACTGTAAGTTGTCAAATTTACTTAACGAAACTCAAGAGAAGCAGTACAGTTAGAGATCTGTCCTAAAGGAAAGTCCCAAATAGAGGCCTGTCCCCAATAGGGCAGGGGGAGTTCACTGATTTAAGCAAATAAACGCCCGGGCTATTATTCGAAGTTTTACGGTAACGTGATTGAATATGTTTGATTTGGATGGTAAATCGTTAAAGTTTTCGTAGAGCTTCCAAGAAATCTTTTCTAATGTTTGACTTATGTATTGATTAATGTGGGTCATAAAAAGGATCTGTGGGTTAAAGCTATAAGATATAAAGTGTCGGATGATGAGCATTAAAGGTGCTGGAAGGTGAAGTTTATCACTTTTGGACTGCTGGCTGGATTCATATTTACCTAACAGACACCATGATATCACTCAAACAGCTGTTGTTATTGTAAAACACTTAACTAATCCTACATGGATCTGAGTGAGTATGTGAACTGTATATTGATCTCATCAAATGTCTTGTTTTATCCATTAAATATATTCAATTTACTATAATGTAAGACAAAGAACAACAGCGGAAGTATCACATTCAACAAGCAGGTGCACAAGCAAACCATGAGCAAACATACAAGGCCCTAAAATCACTGATCACTGTGAGCCACGCCGCTGTGTTGACCACACCCAAAACACACATCCTTGTCTGACTGTAAATGAAAGTCATAAAAAAATGTGAGAGGTGAAACGAAAGTGAAACATCGGACACAACTTTATGCAAAAGTTCCTCCCTACGCCTGAAGTTTCTTATAAAAAGAAGAGCGAACTCACAGCCGTCACTCTCGGAGGAACCCAGAGAAAGGTATGTGCACACAGTTTGTTTGTTTCTTCCCTAAAAAGTCTGCAGATTTACAGAGAATATTATCAATATTATACAATATGAATCATAGGAGGAAGTAAAATTAGTTACACAAATGTCCCTTTTAATCATAGTGAGAGGCTGCAGTTGTTCAGAACTTAAGTTATAAATAGAGTAATCGTTACACTGATATCAGACTCTGGATCTTTGTTAAACAGGTTTTGTGGAGAGTTTTTCCTCATCTGAATCGAGGATGTTGCATTCAGTGTCACTCCCTTTTATTAGAGGCAAGAGTTTAAGCATGAAAAAATATTTTTTTTTGAGTTGAAGTCATTTATTGTTAATGAAAGGTAAATTGAATTACTTGTATTCAATATGGGAAGTTTTCTTTGCATTTCTCCAAACTTATTTAAAATGTGTGAATAAAGTAACTTAAATGCATCTTGTTACTTCTTCAAAACAGCTGACGTACGATAAAAACACAATCGACTATCGAAAGCGTAGCCAATCACTTTTGGGGCTTATATTTTAAAGAAAATGAGTCAATGGAACAAACTGGAATTGAATCATTAATGCTTAAAATACTGCACAATTGATCTTATTTTTGAGTTGGGTTTAATTCATGTGAATGAATTTATTTATGTTAACTTACTTCCTTTATTAAGATGTGTTGTCAGGATTTAAGGTGTACCTTAATTTAGCTGCTATAGTCAGTGTTATCAGTAAGCTACGAACTCTTTCTTTAACATTATCGTTGTTAGCATTCAGCTGGAAGCTCTGCTGTGCATTCAGACCAACAGTCCTTCATTTGAGCCAACACTGACGCTCTGCTTAAAAAAATGCATTGTGATGTCTGTGATGCTAGGCTGACAGTTTCCCACTGCTTCTTCCTGTCTTTGTGCTAAGCTAGGCTAAACACAGAACTTAAAGTGGATCTTAAATATTAAACAGTCTGTTTGTTTTTCAGATTTCGTTCCTGTGTTATATCCTTCTGAAGTCTTCACACTAATAAACCACCAACATGAGCAGGTACCAGTGGGCTGAAGATGACTTCGTCCTGCCTCCTGGGGTAGTTCGACTGGGCGCCTCTCAGCCAGTTAATGGTCAAACGTATGTCATGTACCATGGCACCACCAGGCAGACCGCTAAGTCTATCCAGGCCTCCGGATTTCGCCCATCTGAAGACGGGATGCTCGGCCGCGGCGTCTACCTCAGCAGAGACCTGGAGAAAGCCAGCCGCTATCCCCTCGACTGCCCAGAGTCTGACAGGGCCGTCGTCAGGGTTAAGGTCAACGTGGGGAAAGTGAAAGCCATCGATCGTCAACGCCACCCACTTCAGAAGACCTGGCATGACCAGGGCTACGACACCGCCTGGGTGCCGCCCAACTGTGGAATGGTGCCGAGCGGATTAGAGGAGGATTGTGTCTGGGATCCGGATCGAATCCAGATTCTCGGTACAGTCAAGCCACGTCCACTCCAACCCTCCGGTGGATGCGGTGCATACGGCTACAAGTGAGCTCTGCAAGCTGTTTATTCTGTATGCTCAAATGTATTTTTATATATTTGTATACAAACTAAACTTACTGTGTGATTGTAAGTGGGAAAATAAACGGTTCATATTAAATCTAAAGCTTCTGTCTGGTTATATTTATAACAGTATGAATATGCTTAGTATATCTTATCTTGAGCCGCTTAAACTGCTTAGTTAGACAAACACAGAATCATCTTTAAAAAAAAGACAAAGCTTATTGAGTTTTATGTTTTCCATTGAACAAAGCAGAGACAGTAAATATAACAACAGGCTTACCCACTGAGGTCAGAAAGGTATTTGTCTGAGGGGGGTTGAAGCAAAATTGACTAATTTCTGTAGGTTTTCTATCATTATTATTGCACATTTTATCACTAGTACACTGTATATAAATAACACTGAAGGCTGTCGGGTTGGGAAACCACTTCCCCCTCCTCCTTAGAACAGTAAATTCCAGCCAAGAAGGGAAGCAGGAAGAGCATATAGCCAAAATATGAGACATCCAACGCACCAGGCGGAGACCGACAGTGCTCAAGGCCACGAGTTCCTTCCTCATTCACTCCACGTTACAGTCCGCACATAAAACATGTGATTATCTCTCTTTGTCAGAGCTGAAACATACTTTTTTTTTATTACCCTGCTTTTTATTAAATAGACCAAAGACAGCTTCTTGTTATATGATCATTTATTTGTTCATTTCTCCGTGAGGTAAACACAGCCACCACCACGCGGGTTATACAATAAAAGTTGTGCAATAAAACTTACTTTGATGCCCCAAACCTCCTCTAGCGAAGACAAAACCCGGACGCTCCCGGAAACAGCTACAACACCCCCTTCTAAAAGGATTGAGAGTGTGACGACCCACCCTCCGTCTTCCTGTTCCTGTTTGTGTGGCTGTTTTCTGTGCAGGTACTTTAGTGGGCGGGCAGAGGGTTGTCAGGAAATTGGACAAACCTGAGGCCTCTGTGCCATGGTCCTTTAAAAACCCTCTGGGAGCTCAGTACTCTCTCTCTCTCTCTCTCCTCCCTGAGACAACTATCTGGTGTTTGGGTTTGACGGTTTGATTGTGTTGCTGCATCTTAATACAACACAGCACTCATACACTTCTCCACTCATGCACATCAATAAGATTAAGATTAGATAAATGTTGTCTGTGTGTTGATCCTGAGTTCAGTACTTTACTTTAAGTGTACATTTGAGGTACTCAAGTATTTCCATTTAATCCTTCAACTCCACCTTTATCTGATAATAGTGAATGATGTATTGATTAATGGGTAAAAGTTTTCCCTCAACCTCTGAGAATACAGTCATTCTCATGTATTTGCATATAACTGAGACTATATCTGATATATGTGACATGTCCATATATGTAGTAAACCTTTTTTTAAAATATCAGCTCATTATAAATCAAAATAACCACATATTATTTCATAATTATGAATAAGAAAAGTGTTTTAATGTATGTAATCACATGTAAACTGAGGTGTGTGATACACGTTGTGGCTCCACGGTTAACAGCGGTGTAAAGTTTTTGCTAACCTACTAAAGATAAGAAATTATGATCATTCATATATAAGGACATCATTATATTTAGAATGAAAATTGAGCCAACTCCATTTCATTTTCTTAAAAACTATATTGTACAATTAGTCCAAATCTCCCAGGAGTACAGTGGAGGTCATCCTTAACAAGATTACATTTGAATATTCAGTTAACCTACTAAAGAGAAAGAAAATATGATCATTCAAATATAAATACATTTTAATTATGAAAATTGAGCAGACCTTCCCTTTAATTATCAAAAAAAAAAAAAACAGCACATTAAAATCAGTATAAATCTTACATAGTTTTTTTATGTTATTGTAATTCTGTAGTTCTGTAGTTTATTTAAGAACAGGATCTATAAGGCCACCCTAATAACTCTACTGTAGGCACAACATCGGCCTGTACGACCCTCTGACTGATGGATCACTGTGCAGCTGCTCAGGAAAGAAACCCAACGCCAGCGCTGTGATTAGAAACAGTCTCAAAATGAAAGTAAAAAACACAACTTCACTTCCCAACGCCTGAAGTTTCTCACAAGAAGCAGAAGAGCGAACCTCCTGTACTCCCGGAGGAACCTGAAGAGAGGTATGTGCACACACAGATTATTGTTATTTATTATTTCTTTATCCTTAAACCGTAAACTCAAAGTACACAACGAGCCCAATAACACTGATCTCTGTGGACTGAGTGCGCAGGGATTTATATAAGGAAAACACACACAATGAACAATAACTGTACTCTCATATATTGTAGCCTCACCAGAATCCCTTCACACACCGCTGGTCTTGTGTTGGTGATACTCGAACAGTTTATGTATAATTAATTTATGTTATACTGAATGTATTTGTAGGAATTGGGCTGATATTTATTGGGGGAAATAATCAATAACTCTTTTGTGCTGTAGTGCCATCACATTCACTGCATGCATCACTGCCCCCCCCTCCTGGTGGTGATACTACAACACACAGTTTGTCTTCAATTCCTTTTCTCAAAATAAAGAGTAGAGCGAACCAAATTCAGTCCACATTAACCACCTGGAGATCCCATGGACGCCACCAGGTTTTTAGTTAAACATTTAAGAATTTTAATCAGGCTGTCTCCTTGAACAAACTCAGACACACAGTCAGTATTATATGTCGTTGTGGAGGTGGAGAGAGAGGTGTGGGGAAGGCTTGTGAGAGCAGCCAGGTGAGGTGATTATATCAGCTGGTACTCATGGAGTTATCACACTCCTCTCTCTAAAGACAGTAGTGTGCTGGACCTCGAGGCCGACACACACAGAAGAGACAAGCAGAGCAAGCCTCGGAGGACTTTGAAGTTGTATGATTAGTGTGTACGGCTGAAAGAAATAAAGTTGTCTTGTTTACTAAGCTCTGTTGGTGGTCCTTGTGCTGAGACAACCCTCGGTAGTAGGGTAGTTCATTACATTCTAAAACCAAAGAAATATTGTTTCTGAAATTATTTGTGATTGTTTTTGTTCCAGGAAAAATCACTTTTGGTTCTAATTTACCAAATCTGACCATGAAAGCAATATCCCAAAATATGATGGTGAACATAGTCTCACAGAGAGAAGAAGCCATGTTTAAGTCTGGTTGCACTTTCCTGTATTGTTTTATTAGATTCTCTTTAAGCTGATAAATCTCTCTGTTGGACAGCGATACTGACGCTAACATGCAGTACCAGTGGCCTGAAGATGACGACTTTGATCTGCCCACTGGGGTACTACGCCTGGACCTCCCTGAGCCAGTTAGTGGTAGGAGGTACATCATGTACCACGGCACCTGCAGGAAGACAGTTAAATCCATCCTGGCCTCAGGGTTTCGGCTGTCTGAAGACGGGATGCTCGGCCGCGGCGTCTACCTCAGCAGAGACCTGGACAAAGCCAGCCGCTATCCCCTCGATCACTGTGAGTCTGACAAGGTCGTCATTAAGGTTATTGTTGATGTGGGTAAAGTGAAAGCCATCAATTATCAAGGCCACCCGCTTCAGACAACCTGGCATGACGACGGCTACGACACCGCCTGGGTGCCGCCAAAGTGTGGAATGGTGCCGAGCGGATTGGAGGAGGATTGTGTCTGGGATCCCCGTCGAATCCAGATTATTGGTACCATCCACCCACACCAGGTCCAGGCCTCCGGTGGATCCCTGTGAGTATCACGAACCACTTTATTTTACAGAATATTGTATATTTATTGCATTCGGGTACGATATTCGTGTTTTTTGTATGTGTGTGTGTGTTTGTTCTCCCAGGTTTCTTTTCATAACTGAAGCTTCTCTCAAAATGTTTGATCAAGATGATTTTCTTGACTTTCATACATTTATATCACCACAGTTGCATTTTATTTACCTTTTAATTTGAGTTTCTTTGCATGGAATCCTTCTGAAGTCTTGACACTAATAAACCTCTCTCCTGCAGTGAGTATCAGTGGGTTGAAGATGACTTCAAACTACCTGCTGGAGTAGGTCGATTGGATCTCCCTGAAGTAGTTAGTGATAAAACGTATGTCATGTACCACGGCACCTGCTGGAAGAATGTTTTATCCATCCTGAAAAAAGGATTTCGCCCGTCTGAAGAAGGGATGCTCGGCCGTGGCGTCTACCTCAGCAGAGACCTGAAGAAAGCTAGCCGCTATCCGATGGATCATCATGAGTCTGACAGGGTCGTCATTAAGGTTAAGGTCGACGTTGGGAAAGTGATCGCCATCAAACTAAAAAAACACATTTTTAAGAAGACCTGGCATAACCACGACTACGACACCGCCTGGATGCTGCTAAAGAGTAGAACAGGGAAGAGCGGTTTGGAGAGGATTTGTGTCTGGGATCCCCGTCGAATCACGGTCATCGATACAATCACACCACGCCCAGTCAGTTAGTCTCATTTATTTTATACGTTCAAATGTAGTTTTATATATTTGGATTAAAAGTCAGTGACGTTGCATGTTGTTACTGTGTCTCTGTAACCTGGAGAATAAATGTGTCATAACTCTGAGCTTCTGTTTGGTGTTGTTGACAGTGTGATGAGTATATTTTTTAGAGATATTAGTCTCTGCAGACAGTTTAATACAATGGAGGCGAATAAATACATTCATCTTTGATCCTGTAATATGAATCATTTAAAGGAATAGTTCAACTGTTTGCAGTCACTTCCTGGAGTTAAGATATAGTTCAGCACATAATCCCCCATACATTTTTATATTTGTACACTTCTTGGTTTGATCCTGACTGGCCGGAAGGTGTGTATTATTATATCATTATCTTCAGTTCATCTTTATTTATTTATCTTGTACTCTTTGGCAGGTATAATAAAAATGAATTTCCCTTCATTCAAAAACAATAAAACAATCACAAGGCTTACAGTGGAATGCTGTAATCAAGTCATAAAACAATGTGAGAAGTGAAATGTAAGTCAAAGATCGGACACAATTTCATGTAAAAGTTCCTCCGGACGCCTGAAGTTTCTTATAAAAAGAAGAGCGAACTCACAGCCGTTACTCTCGGAGGAACCTGGAGAAAGGTATGTGCACACAGTTTGTTTCATCTCTAAGTCTGCAGTTTTACAGAGACCTGTATGGAAGAGACATATATACGTTTTACTAAATGTTTGTATGTTTTATCTGAAACAGGAAATATTATATATGACAGCAAATCCACATACAGTGTCCTTAGTTTTTATGTGTATCAAAGCAGCAATCCATTCAACAGAACAGTGTATAATTACAATACACAGCTGAATAAAGAGTAATCTTTATACGGATTTATTATATTTAATATAGCGAAAACACTCCAGGAAGTCTTTGGCAGCTCTGAACAGTTACATTTGTTAGACAGGTAAAGCCCCCTGAGGCAAATGTGTGATTTGTGAATTTGGGATTTATAAATAAGATTGACTGGATTTGATGAGACAGTTTAAAGTCTCCTGTCACCTGACCTAGTAAAACAGGCTAATCTCTCTCCTGCAGTGGGGATCAGTGGGCTGAAGAGGACGTCAAACTACCTGCTGGAGTAGGTCGATTGGATCTCTCTGAGCCAGTTAGTGGTCAAACGTATGTCATGTACCAAAGCACCACCGGCCAGAACACCCAATCCATCCAGGTCTCAGGATTTAGCAAGTCTGCAGACGGGAGGCTCAGCCGCAGCGTCTACCTCAGCAGAAACTTGGAGAAAACTTGTTGCTATCCAATTAATCACCCTGAGTCTGACAAGGTCGTCATTAAGGTTCAGGTCAACGTTCAACGTCGAATCCAGACTATTACTACTTTCCAAACAACGCCCAGTCAGTTAGTCTTGTGGTGCATACGGCTACAAATGAGCTCATTTATTTTATACGTCCAAATGTAGTTTTATATATTTGGATAAAAAGTCAGTGACATTGCATTTTGTTACTGTGTCTCTGTAACCTGGAGAATAAATGCTTCATATTAACTCTGAGCTTCTGTTTGGTTATGTTATGGAGTTACAATGGAAATAAATGATTCCCTCCAGAACTATATGTAACATTTAAGTCCATATAAACAGTAAACTTTAAAGGCATACTATGTAGTTTTCCGGTTTTGTCAAACAGCTACCCCTAGAGTCACTGCGGAGTACTAGTATTTAACGTTAACTGTCGTAAATACCACTCACCAGAGCCGTCTCTTTATACGGCTCTGCGTCTCTGCACTCACGGCCTGATCCCCTCCCCCCCGTACACCGGTACATGTTCAGTAGGATGGAAGCATCGGACATCGAACAGGCAAAGATAGACTCCGAAGATGTCTACTGACCAGGTAACGTCTGAGTGAATGCCTGCTAGTGTCTTCCATTGAGGCTGCTTCTTATGTCGCTGATGTATGTGACGTCGCGCCGTAAAGCATCCCTCTCCTGCTTTGCTATCGGGATGATTCACTACACAAAGCCCTCCATAACCAGGCTCCTTCCTACCTCACTGACCTGCTCCATCGCCACAATCCATCCCGCAGCCTCCGCTCATCTGAAGCAAACCTCCTGACTCCTCCACCCCTGACCAAGCACCAAACCTGGGGCGACAGAGCGTTCTCTGTAGCTGCCCCCTCCCTCTGGAACTCTCTCCCCAAACACATCCGTGACTGTACCGACCTTCCAACATTCAAATCACTGACAAAAACACACCTTTTTAAAATTGCTTTTAATGTTTAGCTTAGTCTGATGTGTTTTCAATGTTTTACTATTTGATGTTGTTTTGCTGCTTTTATGTTTTTATGTAAAGTGTCTTTGAGTATTTAGAAAAGCGCTTATAAATAAAATGTATTATTATTATTATACTACGAGTTTGTGTACCATCGAAATGACTTCGAAGCTGTTATATTAAGGTAAAAATCTTGCATAGTGTGCCTTTAAATTTTAGATGTCAGATCATTATCAAATTCGAACAGTTATAGTAATGTGTATAATGATCTTCCATAGATCCTGTGGTTATGTAATACACATTGTTAACTCCAGGTGGCGCAGTCAATAATGTTTGGTATTTTTACATCATGATTATACAACAGTACAAGTACCCTATTAACCCTTCCTGTACAGGCACTGTGCTGCATTTCAACCCATTTATTCTACTTAAAAAATACAAATACATGAACTTGTCGGTGCTCCCTGTAATGTAACTGTTTGGCATTTTTCACTACAGTTTGGATTTCAGGGCTTCACCTGCACAGGAAACGGGTCAGACCAGGCAGGTTAGAGCAACTTACAGCGATAATCTAGTTCTTGGTTTGATCCTGACTGGCCGGAAGGTTTTCATTATTCTTTAATAACAGCTGCAACACATTCTCTTCAGTTCATCTTTATGAAACTGCACCTTCTTATACTCGTTGGGCAGGTATGATAACAAAATGTTCTCTTCCTTCAAAAACAATAAAACAATGACAAGGCTTACAGTGGAATGCTGCTGGAACATGTTGACAGGTGACACTAGCTTGTTGTTAGGTAAGCCCTGAACACAACTCTGGTTATGTTTTTATTACATTTATGGGGCAAATTATATTAATTGTTCTGTTTATTTGAAGGCAATCATCAACATAAACATACAACAATCAGCTAAGTAAGTTAATACACAACTACGTTAGGATTGTTTACAAAAACTCAAATTCAAAGACCAGAAAACCTTTCAGATTTGGCGGTTTAGGGCACAACCAGAATGGAGGAAGTAACGTTCCCGTTTACAGCGAGGGGCAGGTGAGATTTAAGGGATTTGGGAATGTCTTTCCAAGTTTAGCCACAGACCGATGACTGTAGTGAACTGCTTTAAACTGAATAAAAGAGGAGGCGTGGATACTTAAAAGGAGTTGGTGGCATCAGGAGGTTTTTAATGATTACGTATATATTTGTATATTAAGGCTCAGGATATCCTTTAAAGGTGTTTTTGCATATAAAATCACTAACTTGCACATAATGCATAACTAACCCTAATAGGGGAAGGCTGGAATGTAACACAAGTTCAATGTTCACGCCTGCATATATAAAGCCTTAAAATCACAGATCAATGCTGATGCTGCTTGGCAGGACAGAAACCCAACGTCACCGCTGTGTTGACCACACCCAAATAAAATCTGACTCTAAACAAAAGTCACAAAACAACGTGAGAGGTGAAATGAAAGTGAAAGTTTGGATACAACTTCATGGAAAAGTTCCTCCCAACACCTGAAGTTTCTTATAAAAAGAAGAACGAACTCACAGCCGTCACTCTCGGAGGAACCTGGAGAAAGGTATGTGCTTACAGTTTGTTTCATCTCTAAGTCTGCAGTTTTACAGAGACCCATATGGAAGAGACATATATACATTTTACTAAATGTTTATATGTTTTATCTGAAATGTGAAATATTATATATGACAGTAAATCCACAAACAATATCCTTCGTTTTTATGAACATAGTAACGGCTGTTAACGTTAGCATATTAGCATTGTTACAGTCGTGGTAGAATACTTTGTAGTGTGTGTTTATCGAGGTTAACCACATCCAGAACTTAAAATGAACTTTAATATTAGTGTTCAAGGATTCAACGCTGATAAATCTCTCTGTTGGACAGCGATACTGATACCAACATGGAGTATCAGTGGCCTGAAGATGACTTTGATCTGCCCTATGGGGTACTGCGCCTGGACCTCCCCGAGCCAGTTAGTGGTCAAACGTATGTCATGTACCATGGCACCTGCAGGACAAAAGCTCGATCCATCCTGGCCTTAGGATTTCGCCAGTCTGAAGACGGCATGCTTGGCCGCGGCGTCTACCTCAGCAGAAACGTGGAGAAAGCTCATCGCTATCCGATGGATCACCATGAGTCTGACAGGGTCGTCATTAAGGTTAAGGTCAACGTGGGGAAAGTGAAAGCCATCGATTATCAAGGCCACCCGCTTCAGAAGACCTGGCACAGCCACGGCTACGACACCGCCTGGGTGCCGCCCGACTGTGGGATGGTGAAGAGCGGATTGGAGGAAAATTGTGTCTGGGATCCGAATCGAATCCAGATTATTGATACCATCCAACCACACCAGGTCAGTTGGTTTGGTGGTGCATATGGCTACATGTGAGCTCATTTATTTTATACGTTCTAATGTATTTTTATATATTTGGATAAAAAGTCAGTGACGTTGCATTTTGTTACTGTGTCTCTGTAACCTGGAGAATAAATCATCATATTAACTCTGAGCTTCTGGTTGGTTTTGTTGACAGTGTGATGAGTATATTTTATTAAAGCAACACCACCTAAGATTTGGTATTCGCGCCTCAAGTCTTAATACTACTGTGGTAAATATGGACAGCTGGACATTTGCTCTGACTGCATCACTTAAGATCAAAAACTAGCAACTAGTCCAGGAGCAAGAAGGTCAGCTTGTTGTCTGTCTGCAGCCTTTTATAACAACTGGTAAAGCTTTTACGCTCCATCAGGAAACTCCAACAGGAAACTCCAACAATCACAGAGAGTTGAGGCGTTGCAGCCGGACGACATCAGAGAGAAAACCAGAAAACATTTTCTCCATAAAATATGATCCAGTTTCACCAAAATCACTGACGTAGTCGGTGGTTTGTGATTTACTGCCATAAAGCCAAAAGTTACCATTCACCCTGTTACAACTCAGTGTAGCACCAGAATGATTTTAAAGGTAGAAAAGTTACGTAATGCAGCTTTAAGTACAAATTTAAGACACTGTTAGTTTACCTGAGTATTCTGTTTTAATGCCACGTTTTAATTCTACTCCAAATTCAAATTTAAAGGTTTTTTACATTGTGTTATTATAGATGTTATGTTATGTTATGTTATGGAGATATAGTGGAAATAAATGATTCCCCCCAGAACTATATGTGACATTTAAATCCATATAAACAGTAAACTAGGTTTTAAATGTCAGATCATTATAAATTTCGAACAGTTATTGTAATGTGTGTAATGATCTTCCATAGATCCTGTGGTTGTGTAATACACGTTGTTAACTCCAGGTGGCGCAGTCAATAATGTTTGGTATTTTTACATCATGATTATACAACAGTACAAGTACTCAATTAACCCTTCGTGCACAGGCTCTGTGCTGCATTTCAACCCATTTATTTTACTTAAAAAATACAAATACATGAACTTGTCGGTGCTCCCTGTAATGTAACTGTTTGGCATTTTTCACTACAGTTTGGATTTCAGGGCTTCACCTGAACAGGAAACAGGTCAGACAAGGCAGGTTAGAGCAACTTACAGCGATAATCTCCTTCTTGGTTTGATCCTGACTGATTTATTAACAATTATATTAATTGTTATGTTTATTTGACAAGGCAATCATCAACATGATGCTGCTTGGCAGGACAGAAACCCAATGTCACCGCTGTGTTGACCACACCCAAATAAAATCTGACTGTAAATCAAAGTCACAAAACAATGTGAGAGGTGAAATGAGAGTGAAAGTTTGGATACAACTTCATGGAAAAGTTCCTCCCAACACCTGAAGTTTCTTATAAAAAGAAGAGCGAACTCACAGCCGTCACTCTCGGAGGAACCTGGAGAAAGGTATGTGCTTACAGTTTGTTTCATCTCTAAGTCTGTAGTTTTACAGAGACCCATATGGAAGAGATATATATACATTTTACTAAATGTTTTATTTGAAATGTGAAATATTATATATGACAGCAAATCCACAAACAATATCCTTCGTTTTTATGAACATAGTAACGGCTGTTAATGTTAGCATATTACGAGGTTAACCACATCCAGAACTTAAAATGAACTTTAATATTAGTGTTCAAGGATTCAAGGTTAATTTGATGTTGAAATTCAAATATAGTTACTTTAATGCTACATAAAGTAAAAATGGATTAATAAGTCACAAAAATAGAAAATATCACTACTTTGTATGATGAAGTGCTGAGGAAGAATTTATCATTCTCACAACCCCTGTTTACGTCTGGTTGCACATTCCTGTATTGTTTTATTAGATTGTCTTTAAGCTGATAAATCTCTCTGTTGGACAGCGATACTGACAACATGCAGTACCAGTGGCCTGAAGATGACTTGGATCTGCCCAGTGGGGTACTGCGCCTGGACCTCCCTGAGCCAGTTAGTGATGGGAGGTACATCATGTACCACGGCACCACAAAGAAGAACGCTCAATCCATCCTGGCCTCGGGGTTTCGCCAGTCTGGTGAAGGTGGGATGCTCGGCCGCGGCATCTACCTCAGCAGAGACCTGGAGAAAGCCAGCCGCTATCCCCTCGATCACCCTGAGTCTGACAGGGTCGTCATTAAGGTTATTGTCGATGTGGGTAAAGTGATCGCCATCAATCGTCAAGGCCACCCGCTTCAGAAGACCTGGCATGACCACGGATACGACACCGCCTGGGTGCCGCCAAAGTGTGGAATGGTGCCGAGCGGATTGGAGGAGGATTGTGTCTGGGATCCCAGATCGGTAATCCACCCACCCAGATCCCCCTCCGGGGGTTACCCAGTCAATGTCTTCGGTGGATACTGACGGGTGCCAGTGGATACCATGTCGAGGCCTCCGGTGGATCCCCGTGAGTACCACAAACCGCTTTATTTTACAGAATATTGTATATTTATTGCATTTGGCTACAATACTTGTGTTTCTTGTATGTGTGTGTGTGTGTTTATTCTCCCAGGTTTCTTTTCCTAAGTGAAGCTTCACTCAAAATGTTTCCTCAAGATGATTTTCTTGACTTTTATACATTGATATAGCCACAGTGGCATTTTATTTACCTTTAATTCAAACCCTAACCCCTCCGGATGTTAGAGAAGTAAATAATAACTAATAAACCTCTCTCCTACAGTGAGTATCAGTGGGTTGAAGATGACTTCGAACTACCTGCCGGAGTAGGTCGATTGGATCTCCCTGAGCCAGTTAGTGGTAAAACGTATGTCATGTACCACGGCACCACCAGGCAGAACGCCCAATCTATCAAGGCCTCAGGGTTTCGCCAGTCTGCAGACGGGATGCTCGGCAGGGGCGTCTATCTCAGCAGAGACCTGGAGAAAGCCAGCCACTATCCCATTGATCACCCTGAGTCTGACAGGGTCGTCATTAAGGTTCAGGTCAACGTGGGTAAAGTGATCACCATCAAACGTCAAGGCCACCCGCTTCAGAAGACCTGGCATGACCACGGATACGACACCGCCTGGGTGCCACCAAAGTGTGGAATGGTGCCGAGCGGTTTGGAGGAGAATTGTGTCTGGGATCCCCAGTCAAATCCAGATTCTTAAAACTTTTTCAAACCACGCCAGGTCAGATGTGTTTGGTGGTGCATACGGCTACAGATGAGCTTATTTATTGTATACGTTCAAATGTATTTTAATATATTTGGATAAAAAGTCAGTGACCTTGCATTTTGTTACTGTGCCTCTGTAACCTGGAGAATAAATCATCATATTAACTCTGAGCTTCTGTTTGGTTTTGTTGACAGTGTGACTAGTATATTTTGTTAATAATATAAGTATAAGTATCTTATAAAAGACCAGCTACTACAATGATAACCTGATTAATGCTGTAATAATTTTGTTGTCGAGGTGCTGTTTGGCCAGACACACACACACACACACACACACGACAGCACCAAGAAATGTAAAGAAAATCAAAATTTCTCCAAAATCTAATTAAACATTAAAGGCTCAGGATCCTCTCTCGATACTGACATCTGACTCATCTGATATATGACCAATATAGTCCTAATCTCCGTCACTGTGTTACTTATGGATGGAGTTAAAGTGGAAATAGATTATATATAATATAATATAATTATTCTCCGGGACCCCCTGGTATCCTCTCAAGGACCCCCCCCCCCACGTTATTATCAACCTGTGTTCCCTTCCCTGACTTTAAATTGAAAACAGTGAATATACTCAGTAATATATAATGTATATCATAATATACTCTCAGCCAGAGGCCATGTATGCACTCTCATTCAATATGTGTTCATAAATATCAACAGTATAAGAGGCGTTTTGATAATTACCGTATATATATATTTAAATTCAACAAACACATTATATAAATACTGTAACCAGAACTATATGTGACATTTAAGTCCATATAAATAGTAAACTTCAGTTTTAAATGTCAGGTCATTATAAAATCAAACAGTTATTGTAATGTGATCCTGTGGTTGTGAAATACACATTGTTAACTCCAGGTGGCGCAGTGGATCCACTCTCAATATGCAGGTACTGGATCAATGAATCATCCACAGGTATGAATGAATGCACCCTGTTTAAATTTAAATGATTTCACATTATTAATTCATATATTCACGTCATCATCTATGTATGGAGACATAAATCTGCATGAGATAGTATCAGATAGACGTTATTGATCCCACACTGGGGAGAATCTAGAATGAAACATATAATTAAAATAGAAGAAAAAGAGATTGAGAGCTTTTTATATACAGACATAGAATAATTGGGGGGGGTCTACAGCTGGTTCAGTAGGATCCTCTCTATGGTCTTCATCAGGTGAGAGGTTACTGGAACCACACAGGAGGTTTTCCACAGGACCAGACTGAGGCTCTGGTTGAAGATGTGCAGGACTGAGCTCCTTCCTCACGTGGTCAGCTGTTAGGGGGGAGGTTGGGGGGGGGGGTTGGAGGTGACGCCTGTTGAGGGAGATAGGGGGAGGGGGGAACTAGAGTAGAGAGGTGTGAGGAGGGAGGTGTTAATGTCTCATATAAAGTTAAAAAGCCCAGAAAACTAATAACTAAATAAATAAATAATGATTGAAATAATAATTTCAGGACTTTAGACCAACCAAAAAACATTTTTATCGCATTAAATATGATCTTTAGGTGGAAATGGGTTCAACTCTCTCCAGGTCAGTGAGTTGGTTATTGATTATTTTCCTCCATTCATTATTAAACTCTCCCTCTTTTCTTCTGTGTCTGATCTGAAACCAGTTTATGGAAACCAGTAAGCAGTTTCTGGCATAAAAATGTGACTTCACGGTGAGTTCAGGGACCTTTAAGACCCTGGGAAATGTTTTAAACAGAAGTAAAGTCAACTCATTATAACCTGCAATCTGAAATCACAACTTTGAGGCTTTGAACTGTAAACATATGTGAAAAATACGGATTGAGGAGCTACGTGACCTCTGCACCACGGAGACCAGAAACAGGACAGGATTTAGAGTCTGAACGAGGATGGAGAGAGCAGAAAGAAAGCAGAAAGAGAGGGCAAGAGGAGTGCAAGGAGGAGAAATCACGTCTATTTATAGATGTTCATTCAATTAGATCACTGGCACTTCTCTGCAATATGCATGAAATCAGACTAATGTGGTGGAAAAGTGTATTAGAATCAGCAGTGATGGAGCAGATTCATTCAACTGTAGAGTGTGTGTGTGTGTGTGTGTGTGTGTGTGTGTGTGTGTGTGTGTGTGTGTGTGTGTTGTGTGTGTGTTAGCTGCCTGGCTGAAGACATATAATGTGTGTGTGAAAGGTTAGTTATATATAAGGACAGTTATATTTACATATATTTCATTATATCTCCCGTCAGCAGAGTGGTCAGACACATGAGGAGAGGGTATACTTTATTTGACATTTATCAATTTATTCAATTTTTCAACAAAAACAATCTAATTATTTGTTCAAATTGCATCTAAAAGTTCAATAAATGGGCTGTTTAACTGGATAAATGCACAACATGCGAAACAGATGTTAAACAAACTACATTATAGTGCTGCCCAAAGTGTGGCCCGTGGGCCAAAGTTGTTCCTCCATAAAGTTTGGCCCTCCAGATGTTTATAGCGAAGAAATAATAGAAAGATAATTAAAAAATAATAATTATAATATAAAAGACTGTTTTCAGAATCAGAAATACTTGATTGATTCTATTATATTTATTTTTATGGCTTTATATAATTTATTATCCTCATTAATATGCAGTTTAACTCAACTGTTGACTCGTTAATGGCCACATGAGGGCCTCTGTGTCCCCTCTGCCAAACCTCTCTCCTCATTTCAAGCCTGTGCCAAAATCCCTCCCTCCTTCCTCCCTCCCTCCCTCCCTCTCTCCTCCTCCTCCTCCTCCTCCTCCTCTCTGCCTGCCAGTAGCCCCTCTCAGGCCGCGCAGGGGAGCATTCACACCCCGCTGTCGGCGCTTGGCGGATGGGGCTCTCAGCTTGAGGCGGAGGGAGGGAGGAGGAGAGAAGATGAACGGTAACCCGTGCGCCCGCAGGCTGGCCCGGCGCTCCAAGTCCGCCCTGCTGGTCGCCGCTCTGGCCGTCCTGCTGGTCCAGACTCTCATCGTGTGGAACTTTAGCAGCCTGGACTCCGCTGGCGGGGACGGAGGCGCCAGGAGCCGGGAGAAGAGAGAGGAGCGAGCCGGGGCGCTCAACAAAGCCGACAGGGAGCTCCCGCGGAGGGGGCTGCGGAGGAAGGGCGACCCGCCGCCGCCGCTCGGAAAGGCGGCCGTTCGGCACAAGCTGCAGGCGGTAGGTTTGAATGATATCTGCGTTCATGTTGTCAGGTGATGTGTGAGTTTATTTTTACACCTGTGCTTCCTCCACCGACTGGAAAATGAGCGTTTGTCCCCGAGGGGAAGCGCATGGTCGCCACAGAGAAGATGCTGCTGAGCGGCTGCAGCTGCTCGCCTGTTGTTTTGGCATTTGCATCAACACAGTTGGCCCCTTCCGTCCCTGCGTGGAGGAAAGGGGTCGGTGGACCAAACTGCATGTCAAAATCCGCCCATTTAAGGTGTCGATTAGTGGGCAGTAATCCAGGTAAACGGCAGCTCGCCCCCCCGTACAGCGACTGTTCAGGTGACTGTGAGCATCCAGTGAACTGAACAATATAACAACTTGAAGCTTGAATCAATTTGTTTGTTTCACCGCTTTCTTGTCCTGAGCTACCGATCAGCATGAACAGACCAAATATTGATTTTTACTGAAGTAAGAGCCGATTTATTGATAATATCGGTGCCGAATGTAAGACTGACACAATTATTGTCCAAAACTATCTTTAGTATTGATCTTCCTTGTACGTCCGTTTGTGTGAAATCAAGCGCGGGTATAATTGTGTGTTTTGTTAACGGAGTTCGGTGTGACTCCACTGACAGCAGCAGCAGGCGCCTGCACAGCGTCATTTTCGTTACTTTTAATATAAAAGGTCAACATGTTTTCACGAATCTCTTAATTCTAAACCTTAACAGCCATTTCAGCTTTTCATATTAATATAAAGGGGTGTGTAATAAGTAGTGTAGCTGAACTGTAGGGGATTAAAACTGTTTAATGTAACTCTGGATTTGTGATTTAGGGGTTTAATTAAAAACCAGTATCTTGGTGATATCAAGAGACACCTCAGGAAACTGGGAAATGACTAAGCCAATTTTTATTAATGGAAAGTGGTCCCCTTCGATATTAGCTTGTAAAAATATGATTAATTAAAAGGGGAAACATCATGTTGCTTTCCAGATCAAAGCTGGAACTCTTGTTGTTTGATTTAAGTGTAAACCCTCCAATGTGTCACCTGCACAGTGCACACAGATATGTGATGATGTGGAGGAGATTGCACAGTGTTTTTGTGTCTTTGTTTCTATACCTGGTGGGATCCAGGTGTTCTCACTCTGTTAAGACATGAATGTACTGTACTCAGTGTGTGTGTGTGTGTGTGTGTGTGTGTGTGTGTGTGAGAGTGTGAGAGAGAGAGAGAGAGACGTGGGCTGTATTGCAGGCATCCATTTTTACGTCCTTTCATTACAGTTAACCGGATACTCTGTGATCTTCCCTATGTATGTGTGTGTGTGTGTGTGTGTGTGTGTGTGTGTGTGAGAGAGCGGTGATATGTCCTGACAGTTATTGGCTTTTAAAACAGTGGAGATGCATGCCAGCACTTTTTTATAGAAAGGGGGAGTCTGGGAGGTGCAGAGAGATTTAAAAAAAAAAAAAAAACAAGAGGAGAGAAAATTGGATGAACTGAAACAAAAGGCAGGCGGTGAGGAAGGTCGATGTGAGAGCTAAATGAGTAATTAGAGAGATCTGAGGACGTGGCTGAGCGGGGAAATAACTACAGGCTGTTAATTAGCCAGTGAGGATTGTTGAGCACCAGGATGATGTTGAATCAGAACTACTGAGACAATATTTTGCTCCTGTATTCATCTTTTAATTTGACTGTTTGTTCTAACTGGCGATGCACCGATATCTTGACTGACGTCGTCCCATCGGTGAATAAAAACCGATATCAGTGTCCGATGTTTGTTGAAGCACTCGCACAGATTTGCACAAAAACTGGATTCCGACGTATCCGGGAAAAGCTGGAAATTTAGAGACTAGTTTTGACCAAAAATCCTGGAAGTAATCGATCAGATCAGATTGGATCAGATCGGCTACATAAAGCTCAGGATTAACTGTATTCTGAGTGACGTTAATTTAATGCTCTTTGTAAACTTATATAAGTTAATATTATTATCTCTCTGTCGCCTCCAGGATGAAGGAAGATGAAGTTTTTGTAAAATCAAATTCTACTTGATTTTGAAATGTTACTTATTACTAGCCTAGTGTCGTCCTGTATTGTCAAGAAAATGAAAAATCAGTTGAGTAATTGATTCGTCTTTAATGAACCATAAGTTAAAAAAACAACAGTTTTGAAATGTGATTACTGTAAAACTGACAGTTTATATAACAGACAGAGCTTCTGGGTTCTTAAACCTGCATTCTCTGTAACAGCCAGCAGGGGGCGACTCCACTGGTTGCAATATAAACTGATACCGTTCAATCTTATGGATAAATGAGTCGACTTCTCAGTTGATTTATGAGCTCAGTAAACAGTTTCCTGATGAATTTCTGGTCTCAGTCTCTAGTTTCAGTCTTCTTCCATACAGCATGATGTTCATTTAGTAACTGATGGTCCCATTTAGAGTAAAACAGACCATAAAGCAGGGTATGCTTTAGGGCGGGGCTACCTTGTGATTGACAGCTCATTCTCAGTGAGTCCGTCCAGCTCAACACACCAAACTCAGATCAAACTGTCAAACAGTGCTGATCAGATATGGATCCAGATTCTGTTGTTGACTATTTCTCTCCTCAAATCTGTTCACAAACACATTTTACTGTTTATCTGGAGAACCAGATCAATCGTACAGAAACATTTTCTGTTTCTGTTTTATGCTGCAGCAACATTTTAGTGAATCTGAAAGTGATTAACTGTGTGTAAGAGTGTGCGTGTGTGTGTGTAGGGTGTCTGTGTGTGTGTGTGTGTGTGTGTGTGTGTGTGTGTGAAGCTGTGTGTTTATTGATGGGAGGAAGGATCCTATTTCCAATAAAAGACTGGACATCACTGGAAGGAGCACAATAAAAACTGTAACATCCCTCACCTATACACTGTGTGTGTGTGTGTGTGTGTGTGTGTGTGTGTGTGTGTGTGTGTGTATCATACCGTAGCACCCCATGTGTGTACTGACTGTTGATGTCCAGTCGAGTGTGTTTACAGCAGTCCTGGATGGCGCCACGGTTGCACAACTCTCACATTCATCACACCTTTTAGGGGACACACACACACACACACACACACACACACACACAGCTGATTCACATCCTAACAGCCAGGTTAGATCAGATTAGAGGATTGGTTAGGATCAGGTTTCTCTGATGGGATTTATACTTTTTAATCTAGTTTAGATTGTTCAATAATCCCTAAATACTCTGTGTGTGTGTGTGTGTGTGTGTGTGTGTGTGTGTGTGTGTGTGTGTGTGTGTGAGGACCAATTTTAGACCTTATCACAGAACTTTTGGGGAATGGTTGGGATTGTAGCTGAGATGTTTTTTGGAGCTCAAAGCACCAAAAAATAACATTTCTTTCCAGAAGTCTTCTCCTTATATGGTCGTTGTGTAATTTAAATGATCCAGTATTTCTCCTTCTGATGGTGAATAAGGTTGATATCATTCAGACTTCTACAGGAGCAGTAACCATCGTCTCACAGTCTCACAGCTCGTGGTAAAATAAGATAAATAAGTTATAAATTGATAATATAAAAATGTTCACGTTAAGAGATAAAAAGCTGGAGGAAGTTCACAGATGATTGACAAGCTGATTATAGGACATTCATTTTTTATTTTTTATTTAAAACATCTCTTTGTTGTCTTTTAGAAAAAGGAAGACATTAAGGTAAATAACAAACATAACCAGTTACAAAACTAAGAGCTTGAACAAACCAAAACAAGATAAACAAATGGAAAATATAAAGTTTATAATTTACATTTTATTCAAAAGGGGAGAAAAAGAAAACCGGTCCCGTCATCATGGTTCTAAAGTACGATCCTAGAAATAAAATACAAATAAAAAGATGACAATAAAATAGATTTAACAGGTGTAACAATTGTGTTTAATGAAAGCTATAGTAGAAACTAGATTAAATAGATTAATACAAAACAATAAAATCTGTAAGAAGGATAAAACAGAATAAAGTAACTGTTAAAATAAATTAATATTTTACATGGAAATAAAATAAAGTGAATAATTATTAATTCTGTGTTTGTAAGAATGAAGAAATATGTGATTTATTTTTTAAAAACAACATATTTATTGTTTACAGATTAAATGCACTAAAGCTCATCAAATAATAAATAATAAAATAAAAATGACTGATATATCTATGTATGTGATTCTGCATGAAGCTTAACAATAAGGAATATTTTATCAAATATTTTAAGCAAAAAGGGAAATAAATTAAGTAAAAAATAGAAACAAAAAGTGTCTGCAATAAATCCAAAAGAGGAAATATGTGATTAATAATTAAATATAATATCATGTAGCGCCCACACACACACACACACACACGCTGCCACGTTTTGGCGATTAACGTTAAAGCTGCTTTATGGTTGTTGTTTTTTTTTTCTATTTTCTTTGAGATAATTCTCACAGAATCTGGCCGTAGATGGATTTAAATCCTCGCTGTAATCCCGGGTCGTCCTGCAGTCCCGGGTTTCATAGCACCTCCCCGTCCCTCACAATCGTCCATTTAGCTTCACTTCCTGTCCATCTGGCTCTGTTTTTCCTTTTGTCTCGCCGGCTCTATTTTCAGCATTTTGTTTAGACACTTCGTTTCCTTCGGGAGACGACTGTCTTCTTCTCTTTGTTTTGTTTTTTCAGTCTTGAGCGTTTTGTGATCCTCGTTAGCGTCTCAGTTTTTGTTCTCTTCCTTCTTATTTGGAGACGAGGGAGATAATGACCATCAGAGGCAATTATGGGTTTGATGGTGTGAAGACAAATTCCTCCACGTTAATATATTTATATAAATTCATGTTTATGTGAACCTGCTTTATGACAGACGTCTGGTGGTTTTATCCCAACATAATGAGACGTTTAAGTCATGATGACCAATAATCTGGAGTTTGAGGAAACGTTACTGAGCCTCACATCATGTCTGTTATTTGTACCTCACAGGCAGTGCGCCATGAATGTAGACGAGAGGAGGAATTCCTCTAGCGCCACCCTCAGG